CACATGAGGGGAAACCCCGTATATACTTTACTTACGATAAAAAACAACGCCACCCTCCTCTGGCGCATCCAGTTTTTGTGTCTCGCACACCAATAACGCATTGCGCGTGTTTTCTCTTCGCAGCTATGCCGAATTTTTACAACAAACTCGCGTAACTTCCTCATCGTTTAACGGTATAGCGAACGCTCAAGTTTTTCTCTCGCGTCTCTCCAAGCGAAAGAGACAAAGGACCGAAGCCTGAAGAGAGAAAAAAATTGAACACTGCTCTCTCTCTCTCTCTCTCTCTCTCTCCCGCTCTCTCTCCTGTTCGTTCGCCTCGGGCAGCTCGTACACGGCATTATTTATATTGTAGCTTGTTAGAAGGTCGAAAGAGGCCGGTCCCTGCAACGAGCAGGTAGATGCGGCGTAGTCGGAGAGGGAGGGAGGCAGGGAGAGAGAGAGAGAGAGTAGAAACAGGATCCCGAAGGCTCGGAGGAGGAGGAATTCTGATTAAAAAGGAACGGCCGAGCAACTCGCACAGAGAGTGAGAGAGAGAGAGAACGAACGAGAATCATTAACATGTGATTTGAGTTTGTACGGACGAGAGAATTTTTTTTTCGCGATGACGAGGAGGAGGATGAGGACGCGTATCACCATTGCGTATCGCCTCTACGGAGGAAAGTAAGATTGATAAAAGACACGAGAAAAGAGCTCAGGTGTACAAGTTTAGAGAAAGGGAACTTATACTTAAGCTTTATTCCTAAGGTTTAGTTTTCTTTAATCTTTTGATCCATGCATCTTAAAACATAAGTGTGAAATTAACATTGTACAAAAAGTATTGCCTCGTTAATAGTCACATTATTTGGCTTCTTTTGTACTCAAACTTTCCCCCAAATTGCTAATGATTTCACTTGTCATTCAATTTGATGCCACTGTTGTTATTCATACCTCGTGTTCTTTCTTTCATAGGGTCGAATTTGGTGTTCCATTCGATGAAGAATACAAAGACAACATACCCGGCACATTAATGGTGGGTGGCCAATAATAAAAATAATAATATTAATAATAATAATAATAATAATAATAACAACAACAATAATAAAATGTAATAATATATAATAAAAAATAATAATAAAAAAATTATTATTGTGTAGTTTCGTTGCGAATTTCAATTGTATATTTTGCATTTACAGGTATCAATATTGAAGTTGTATAAGGAAGCACTGAACAAAGATATATTCCGGGCTCCAGGACACCAAGAAAACATGAAAAAACTTATACATTTTCTTCGGACTGGACGTTTAGTTAACATGGAATGGTTTAGTGTAATTCAATTGGACAGTATAGAACAACAAAGGGACCAGATTCACAAGTATGTTTACACAAGTTTTTCATGATTAAACCCTCCTCACAGCTTATTTTAGCTCGGCTGGTTTTACAATCCACAGATTAATCACCTCTCTACCAATCTACACTCAGTGTTTGCTGGTTCGGTTATTCGGAACATTCAGGGTAGTAGCAGTAAAGAGCAAGGACAAGTATGACCAGTGAAGCCCTGGGACTCTGTTGCACCATTGTTTTTCCGAAGCTATGTTAGCGATGGAAAAACAGCAAAAATGGAGAATGTTCCTAGGTTCAAAGTATGTTTCATTACTTTGTTTTTCGAAACTTGTCAATTAAATATCACGAGTGGTGAACAAAGATAGTTGTTGTATGAACTAATACCTTTTTCTTCTATGCCTTTATAAAAGAAAATAATTTATTGAAGGTTTAAATAAAAATTGTAGTAAACTTTAGATTTTCATTGAGCATATAAACTAAAATTACTAATTGATCTATTGGAAAACTAATTTTTAGATTTGAATTAATGAAAACTATTTTTATGAGTGAAGGGTATTAAAAGTGAATGTATTTGGCATAATTCTTACAATTTATGTCTAATAATCTCTACCTAAGACGTTTTGCAGCAACTACCTTTGTAATGTTACATGAGTTTTTTTAATTTTTTGAACCGTGCATTTACAAATTAAATGAAATTGACATTTTGCAAAAAACATTTGTTAATTTCTTGAAAAATTAGTACATTACGATACAAGTGCGGGAAAGTAGATTCTTGTCTCGCGTGGCTTTTACGCCCGAGCGAAGCGAGGGTGGAAGGGTACACGAGACGAAAAACTCTTTCCCGAACATGTGCCGTACCGTATTTTTTGATACGACGTGTGGAAAGTGCAATTTTCAACGCACGTTTTCTGCCGAGCGTGCGGGAAAGACGCACTTTGCGCACGGAGTGTCGAAAAATACTATAAACTGCATGGTCAAGTTAATTCAGTATAATAGCATAATGAATTTCTATTAAATTGAACAAAAATAGAAGGATTTCAATTTAACATACTACTTGCTAAAGCCATACACATCAATTATCAGTTATTAGAAGAGCTAAATTTTCGATGTGCATTATTCTTGAGCATTTAAATTGATACAGCATTGAAATATCACGGAGTATAAACAGTATAGAATATGCATGACATTAATAAATAAAAATATCAACTGTTTGAATTAATCATTTCATGAATAAATCTATTGGTTTCTCAAAGCCAATAGAAGTATCGTATGATTGCCTCATTTTTTCTTCTTCATATTTTGCCTTCAATCGACGTTCGCCACACGGACCGAGGTATCAGTAAGTTTACCATACCGAACGATTATGCTGTATGTTTTGTCTCTCGACTAGCTCCTTCGAGCTTTTCAAACAATTTGCAAGCGATGATTGTCGTTATAGAATTCCTTAACGATTGTTTAGCCTCGCCAAAAACGTCGTGGCAGAATATATTGTTATAGGGTTATAAATATTGTTATAGGGTTTGATGTTTTAGCTTATCGATTTGAATGAAAAAGAAAAGAATCCTATTTGATATATCTTTCATTATTTTATCTAGTAATTTTCCTGCTTTGCTCGTTTTGTAAAACCTAAATATTTTTAAATCGAGAGCATTTTTTTTTATTCCTCTACCAAAAGCTTTTTTTTCGTTTGTATATTGAGCATTTTTCTGCTAGATTTTCCTAATTTTGCAGAATTTTTACATCATTTCATTCAATATTTTTATTTCGCAGGTTGATACAAGAGTAATGAAGTTCATGATAGACAATTTTGGAGTATCAAATTTGTTCGGCCGAGAGAACTACGAATTTTACGCGCGGATTACCGGATGAATTCAAAAAGTTCAGAAGATAAATTCTGATTAAAAAGGAATGGCCAAGAAACTCGCGGAGACAGATAGATAGAGAAAGAGAGAGAGTGAGAGAGGGAGAGAGAATCATTAACATGTGATTTGAGTTTGTACACAGATGAGAAATTTTTTTTTCGCGACGACGAGAAGGAGGAGGACACGTATCACTATTGCGTATCTCCTCTATGAGGGAGAGAGAGATTGATAAAAGGCGCGAGAAGAGAACTCAGGTGTACGGTTTAGAGAGAGGGGACGACGCTCAAGCTACATTCCTGAGGTTTAGTTCCCTCCGGGGCCAGACGCCCGCAGAGCGAGAGAGTCGACCCCCTCGAATGCGTTTTTCCCTTTGCATGCTGTTTGGCCTTCTTTTCACGCCAACAGATGCTTTTTCTTGTACAATCTCTCCACCGTAGAACGAATTTGCTGTCAGACGTTTCTTTCTCCTTTATTATTATTTTTTTTTTGTTCGACTTTTTATGAGTTTGTTTACTACTGTTCATTATTTCCGTGGCTTTACCATTGCTTGTGCACAGCGACAAAAATTACTGTGCAACGCGTGTAAGCGTTACGAATGTCAGCAGGATTCGTTGGAAAAGAAATAGTCGTGACGCTTGATCCGACTTCAATAAAAATAGGATGTTAGAAATACAATTGACGCGTGGTCGAGTTTTTACGACGAATTATTTATAAATACGGCTAAACTTAGCTGTCACGGCATCGGCAAGAAATAACAAAAAATTGGCGCTAACTTTTCGGAACATATTGCGATATCCCAACCCTTTGCCCGCAACACGCGCACATAAGGAACGAGACTGGATTATTTTTCTTTCTACGGTGGATGAATCGATGTTTACACGCCAACTCGATAAACATCCTTACGGAAACAAGTAGAGTAACGCTATACACATGTGTTTACCAGAATGAAAAAAAAGCAGCTTTCTTATCCTTAATGGACGGAAAAAATCCGATTGCGTACATCGTGACAAATGGACAACAATTACCGCGTAACAAGACCATTTTATTGTAAAGGCAACAAAGCCAGGCGTAGGAAGAGGCTAGATTGTCAATTGTGTGGCTAGCAAAACAGTAGCCGCATGCAAGCAGTAGCACGGAAGCCACAGTGACGATAAACACGTGGCATCTGGCAGATATAATTAGCGAGCGAGAGAGAAACCCGGGAAGCGCGCGCGCGCCCTTTGATCTGTCGCGCCTCATTGACGATCACGGAATCGTATAGCCCCGAGCAGGATTCAATTTTTCCCTCTTCTTTTTCTCTTGGTTTTCCTCTGTTACGTCCCCGGCAAACACCCAAATATACATCGTCTCTCGATCGGCTTTTCTCCGATCAAAGTGCTCCTGCCGGCTCACGGAGCATGATCAAAGTCTCTTTCATGGCCTTTTCGGATACTATTCCATGCCTCTACGTTTCACAGAAAAAACTTTTTTCATTCACGTGCATATATAATATTTCTTAGACTCATACTCCAAAAAATACTAAGACAAATTAACCAATTCATTCATTTTACACCAATAAGAGTGCACCGCGTGAATCTAATCTCTAGATTCGAGTTGATCTACGACTAATAATCTCGTAATAACCGGCGTAATCATTTCACGCACATACGTCCTACTTATCCACATGCAGCCGCGCACCACTGGAGAGTGATAGAGAGAATTCTTCGTTTACAGCGTACACACCGATAACCACGTCGTGTGCGCCTATCGGCTAATAACTCATCTTCGTAAATCGAACAATCAACAATAGGTCAGTACATAATTTATTTTTTATGTTACCTAAGCATAGCTTGGCAATGTCGAGCATCAGCAGCAGCATCAGCATTATCATCGACATGATCATCAGCTTTTCGCTCGCATGCTGCACCTTTTTTCCGTCGCTGTTGTCGCACACACGTCGAGTATATATGCACTCCCACGCTATATACGCTACTTTACACCGCGTCCTTTTCGCGGAATGCGCCGCCCATGGCTTCTTCCTTCGCTAAGCTCGCGCTGCACTCTCGGCTCTGCTGCTGTTATGCTCCCCCTTTGTTTTTTTTCTCTCTTGTACTCCGATGAGACGCGAACGTGCAACGTCCACTACCCACGAGCGTATGAACGAAACTGAGAGGAGAGACTATAGACAGAGGGAGAAGCTGCCTCTCTCACGATTCTCACCAAGAGCCGCACGCGAGTGAACGAAAAGGCCTTACATACCAAACGTTGATAAAAAGAGAGATGTTTGGCGGGAACTTTAGAAATTACTCTAAATTTGCAAATAATTATTTTACTTTTTTATTTGCATTCGTTTTCTATAATTTATTAATTATTTTGATCGATTTTATTTGTTTTGTATATTTTATTTTAAAAAATAAACCCGAATTTTATTTTGAAAAGTCGTGTACACCGAATAAAAACTGTCGATTCTTGGCTCCACGGGTAGAATTGTATAACTTTTGGATGCATGCACCATACGCGTCTGGAGGCAAACCAACATCTATCAACGCAGGCACATACCAACGTTCGTTCCCTGACCCGACTGCTAACCGTCGTAGCCAGGAAGGGAGCTAAGAGCCGAGCCACGACAAGCGCCACATATCAGAGTCAGTCATGTCCTGCTCAGCGCCAGGGTCGCCAGGCTGTGGTCTATGCTCGTCCAGTCGCGCTCATCGCTGTGTAGTCTTCAACTTGTACTCTCTAACAAAAGCATTGCTACTTACGTCCTGGCGTTTCTTTCCTTCCCTCGTACGACACACCTTTTGAAGAAGCTTTCAATAGGAGGGGTGGCTGGGATAAGGAGACATTAAGGACATTCAGACGTTTGAATTTCCCGCCACCCCAGCTACATCCGGACTCCAAACTCCAAACTACTCCAAAAAAATTATAGAATTCGGCTCCATCAATGGAGATTACTTAAAAACTGTTCAACAATAATAAAGTACTGTGATAATGTAGCATAACATTTCATAAAAGTACAAAATTCGATATTAAGAAATGTAAATAAGAATTTGAGATAATTATAATAAGAATGAAATGTTAATATTTTGAGAAGAAGAAGTTTATCAGTGTATAACCTTAAAGCACTACTTGATGTTGGTAAACAAATGTTTATAAAGCGAAATAATAAAGGTAGTTAGTTAAAAACAATTGTTAAAATGTTTGCTGCAACTCTCAAATGTTCCTCATTGTTGGAAAGAAATATGAAATTAGTTAGTTATAGTGTTTATTTCAATTTTACTAATTCTGAAAAGCTCAGTCATACCAAAGTAATTTTATCTAAAATGAAAATCAAAGATAAGAAGTCTATTTTTAAAGAGTCACCAATACTTTTCAACAAAGATTTGAATACTGGAAAAGGTATTCAAGAAAATATTTCTGCACTCCAAATGAAAAAGAGGCCTCTACGGAAGAAAAGATCCATCACAGAAGATGATGAAATTCCTATACCAGGAGTTAGTAATTTTGTATAATTGTCTTTTTAATACTTCAATTTTATATCTTAATATCAATTTCAGTTTTGGACTGTAAAAGCTGTGACTACTGCTGAGGAGTACGATTTAGAAGAATTAATGAAAGGACTGCTTTTACAAAATCTTTATACTCCAACTGAAATACGTACATCTGCTAAGCGTAAATTTTTAATTTAACAACAATGTATATACAAATGATGAAACAGTACTACAATAGCTTAATTAATTTTTTTAGGTCTTCCTGATGCCATCCAAGCTTTAGCTAAATATGAAGTAGGAAATGAACCTAGAGAAATTTATTTTTTTCGAGAAGGAACCACTGTAATGTGGAATATTACTGACTTAGAGTGTAGTAATTTACTTCAATTCTTAAGACAATATGAGGATACTAGTTACTCAAATGACCTAGTTCAAGCTGAAGGAGAATTAATGAATTATACTTATGCAGAACAAGAGTAATAATACATTTATTAAGGTTTTCTCTATATTTTACTATTTTATACTAATGTGTAATAATTTATTCGCAGTAAAAAGAGTCATTTGAAGGAAGGAGACATATATCTTGCACCAAGTTCTAATCTTGATAAATATACATTTTCCAATGCCATATCACAATCAGTAAAACTAGGAATTTGGGAAGCTTCATTAGATCTCTATGTAGATTCTATAGAATTTATAACAGAGGACCTGAAGAAAGGGAGGAGAATTAGAATGACTAGACAACAAGTTTTGAGGAAGCAAGGAGAACTTTTTGCATTAAGGCATTTGATTAATTTGAGTTCAGATCTTTTAGATACACCCGATTTTTATTGGGAACGTGATGAATTGGAATCGTTATACCAACAAACTTGCGCTTATTTTAACATAGCAAAGAGAACTAGGGTTAGTTTATATTACGAATTAGAGATATGAATAATACTAGATCATTTTACAAACTAAAAATATGAACTTTTTACAGGTAATGAACGAAAAAATAAACCACTGTGTTGAATTGGTGGAGTTGCTTTCATCCCATTTGAGTGATAGACATCACATCCGTTTAGAATGGATGATCATTGTTTTAATTATGGTAGAAGTAGGTTTTGAAGTTTTACATTACTTGGATCGTTACTTAGCATTACAAAATGTATAATCGTGGCAGTTTTAAGCGGCTGCAAAACTTCTTAACTATAGATTGACATTGGAACAAATTTAATAATTTTGTTATTCGCTAAATGTGATTTTTATATAATTTAAACAACCTTAACTATATTTTATAATTTGTTTTTATATAATCTACTTTATTTTTACCGTATAAAAATAATTTTTTATAATGAAGTCGTTAAACTGGTAATTTATTATATCATTATTCTATAAAACTTATAATTTTCAATGCGCATTTATAGAAGAACATTGTAATCTAGGCGATATGATGTAATTTTCATAACATTACAAATTTCAAAAGTTGAACAATTATTTCCAAGAACCAGTAAATTTATTTTTTCATTTCCTTTTACAGTTAAAATATCGATTTACAAGCTAATTTTACGTTTAGCCCAACGACAGGAATTCGCGCATAAATGGAAAAAATTGTCGATAAAATAAATTGCAACTCGCACCAATTAATATTTCAATTTACGTTTCCTCCATCCGTCATATCCTGAATATTTACCTCGCAAGCTCCACTCATCTTCTATCGGAGCAAGTCGAAAAAGTAGCAATTGTGAAATTTCGCGACAACGATGATCCAATCGGTGTCGCAGCCAACCGCAATTTTATCGGACTTCGAGGTAAGGGGGTTGAGTTGGCAAGCCCCGAGGATAAAATCGCCGAGATTTTAGCGTAATCGATAAATCCATCGTTGGTAATTAACAAATAGAGTCGAAAGGATAGGTGTGGAATCTACGACCGATCACTCGTTACAGCTGTTGGTCGCTGGTCTACCATCCGTACCATCAACTGCCATTTCGTGCATGCGTGATTTTATAGTAGCAGCGCCGACACTCAGATAACGTTCTGCTTGATGACGATACTCACGGTAATCGGAACGTCGAGGATATCGATCGATAGGCTCAATTTAACAACACCAAACAATAGACATAACATGATGTAACTGGTCAACTTACTATACTTGAGATTTGAGTGGTGTCGATTACATCCTAGATTCCGATGCTCAACTCCGGAAATTTTACAACATGCAACTGAAGTGGCGCGAAGATTAGATGATCGTTGCCTTGGGAAAAAAGAGAGGAACCGCGCAGAGTGCGCATCACTTGGTTTAGTCGCGCCCGAGATAAATCCGTGAGATTGAAGAAATTCATCTACTTCCTGCTGTTGCCAGTGTTCATCCGCTACCGGACAGCCACATTAATCTGCGACGTACTACAGTTGCAAAAGTTTTTGGAACTGTTTATGATATTAAAAGTCGACGACGTTTACGTTTAGAGCTTAATCGATATCATTCACGCTGCAACCTGACAAGTTTCCACAAGTGTTGAATGACGTAAAGTACCTTGCTAACGCGAAACGTTTGACATTTGCTATTGTATACTCTTAATCTTGTATATTTTCCTGTAACATAGATTAAGTTGCATTTGGAATGACGTATTTTCATTAATTACATAACTATTCAATATGTATAGCATAATATTTCAATTCTCCTTGATTTTATTTCTGATATAAAATAAACTTAATTTTTATTTGTTTATTAATATTTAACGGTGGATTGTGAGTACATAATCAGAAATACATAATCAGAATAATGTCTTCCGCGCATGCATACAAGATAATCTGGTAGGTCAGTTACCAACGCAGATAAACATTCCTGTTATGCAATTGACTCAGCTAAGAAAATTGTCACTTTACCATTCTATTTCTATTCTTTTAACAATGACTTATAACGTAATAGTTACTATGAACTTTCACAGACTAGTTTTATTAATAGATAATTATATAAGAAACATCAATAGGAAGTTCTAGATAAATGTCAGTTCATTTAAAATTGATAAAGTACGCGCACGTCACGTAAACAGAAACAAATAAACAAAAAAAACCGAGTCAAGTGAAAATATAATCAAAAACTGACACACTTGTTGCATACGATGCATTAGCAGAATAATTTTTATATTAAGTCATCAGCGCATTATACCGTCCCATTTTTTTTCCATTGAAACGATTATGCATTCGAATATAAAGACATGTATATTTTTATGAAGTACAGATGCTTTATGTTATTAAATAAAAAAATTCCTAATATTCTAATTTATTAGCACACTTATAATTTAGTATCGTGTACAAAAGATACACTATTTTCATTGATAAATTTTATAATTATATTTCATATCTTATTTTATTTAACGATTGAATAGGTTAAACAAATAATTTGAGAGAATTGCAAAATACACAACATGAGAAAAAAAAAAGCGCAAAGCCCAAGGTATTTATTGTAGGAATCGGCGTCTGTCTCCGCATGCCTGTGATGAAGTCTATGGTCTCTTGCCCAGTGAATAACATATTGAATACAACCACATAAAAAATACATCAGATGGGCCAGCTATCGAAAAAAAGTAGAATTCAGGTACAATATTATCCAGTCTAAAGGTACTCGTTAACATTGCTAAACATTTTCAAGAAATTGCGGTCGAGAGTACGTAATCTTTATTAATAATAACATCTTTGGATGTTTATCAAATAGGAGTATTTCGACAGGTACAAACAAAATATGTAGTTTGGGCAGATGACGTTAAAAGACTCAACTGCAATGCAGCTTCGAGTATAAAAGCCTGCAATATTTTATACGGAGCGGAGATCGCGTGTACACGATGTAACCATTGATAATTTCGTACAATTGCTTGACAACTTGGATACTCGTATGTTTATATTTCGTTAGGGTAAAGAGTGCTTTTTTTGTTCTTGAGTTTCGTGAAAATGCCCCCGAAATCTACGAGTTCGACTGCTGACGAGCATTACACAGTTGAAAAGTTAGAGAGAAACTTGGAAAACATCGGATCTGTCGAGGAGTTCGAGGCGAAAAAGCCATACGACATCAAAATAGTCTGGAAAAATGTCATCATACTTTCTCTTTTGCACGTCGGAGCTTTTTACGGTCTCTATCTGGTCTGCACTTCGGCCAAAGTTTTCACCTTCGTATTTAGTAAGTAGACGCGTGTATATAGTATCAAGTTCTCGTAAAATGTGGATACAGGCCAAGCAGCTAATTGAACATTGATAAATAATTAAATAATTTTCAGCGTGTTGTTACAGTCATCTCGGTGGAATGGGAATAACAGCTGGAGTGCACAGACTTTGGGCTCATCGAGCTTACAAAGCTAAGTGGCAACTTCGGCTGCTTTTAACATTCTGCAATACCATTGCATTTCAGGTCATCGATAATGAGACCCTTATCCGTGTACCTATCGAGAGAAGCTGGCCGCACACTAAACAATCGAATGTTTGTTCAGGACCCCGTTATTCACTGGGCAAGAGACCATAGACTTCATCACAGGCATGCGGAGACAGACGCCGATCCCTACAACGCCAAGAGAGGATTCTTCTTCGCTCACGTTGGCTGGCTTCTCTGTCGAAAGCATCCCGAAGTCAAGGAGAAGGGAAAAACCATCGATGTAAGCGACTTGTTCAGCGATCCCATCCTCAGATTTCAATACGAGTGAGCATTTACAGACGGCTTTCCGAATATCGGATAGTGATACACAGCAAAGATAGAGAAAAAAGCATTACTTGTGCTTTCTCTAACTTTCAGCCACTATTTTGCGCTGACGATCTTATGCGCTGCGATCATTCCGACTGTCGTGCCAGTGTACGGCTGGAACGAATCTTGGACCAGCGCTTTCTTCGTCGCGACAGTCATGCGTTACATATTGTCGCTACACTCGACGTGGCTCGTCAATTCGGCCGCTCATTTTTATGGAAACAGACCCTACGACAGGTAAGACAAACTCGTGCACTCATTTTCATAAGCAGCTCCAAAATAAAAAAAAGGCCCTCTGCATTTCAGAAACATATATTCCGCGGAAAATGGAGCCGTGGCTTTTCTGACTTTCGGGGAAGGCTGGCACAATTATCATCACGCTTTTCCATGGGACTACAAAACGTCAGAGTTGGGAAGTTATTCGTTAAACATGACCAATGCTTTCATTGACTTTATGGCGTGGATAGGCTGGGCTTACGACCGCAGAACCGTCTCCACGGATATGGTCAAACGTCGAGTCAAGAGAACAGGGGATGGGAGTCATTGGCAGTGGGGCTGTGATGGTAAATCTGTTGAATATTCATGACCAATTAATCAGATTTTAGATTTTGTATCTTTAGCGCACAATCTAAGAACTCTTTCGATGTGTACATATTTTAATATAATATTTTTAATAAAGCTTCTATTTGAAATTGTGATGATTGCTCCGATTGTTCTTCCGAATATAACGTAGCTTGCATCGATAATTTATTAAAGGTAATCTTTGAATTTAAAAAATCATCCTTTTATTCATTATTTGCTCCTTTTGTCGAGGCAGTACGTAATTGTAACTTGACGTACAACTGTCACGCGCGCAAATTCAAACTACTACCCTAGCGCCAAACCACCGCTCGCATTTGATGACGACCCGACCAATGAGTAACTCGTCACAAGACTCACCAGCGAAGGTGTGGCCGTAAAAAAAGCGAACGCGTAAGACAGAGATGGCGCGAGTAAAGTGAGAAGTGAGAAGTAGAGAGAGAAAGAGAGAACGTGAAATGCGATCCGAAAAGTGAGCGTCAGCGCTCGTAGTGTGTCTAAAGCTAACCTGCGAAAGAAGACGGCTCGTACTAGCGTATATTGTTTACTACACTATTTACTGCAACTGTTAAGAATCGTGAAATAATTGCCTTGTATTATTTTTGCATCAATGACAATACACGCTTCAATATTCGTCCATTTTTTACCCCCTAAACTAAATATTACGTTTGATTTCTAGCAAAACATTCGTTTTTACGAGTATCGATCATCGCTTCAATTAGCCAACATTTTTATTAATTTAAAAGAAATGTTATTCACATTAGTAGTAAGTGTCGATTATGATATTTGATTATTATAAACAACAGCTAACACGCTTATTATTGAAAGTATTCGACGTTTTATAAGAAGTAACAGAATGAGCAGCAACTCAGGCGTCTGTTTTTGTAGCTTATGATTTCTTCCATCGCGCGCGCAGTGACACCAAGTTTTTGGATCCGAAAAGGAAGGAGAGAGCGACATTATGTATATACACAGCAGTGAGGTTTCGTCTCTTTCCCCCGTTTTCGGGCATTGCGATTCGCGAGGAGTGTGTACTGTGCACGCGATGTGACGCGATGCACTTGCAATAAAGCATCACGGCGTCGCCTCTCTCTCTCTCTCTCACGCCATAGCTTTTGCAAGAAAAGTGCAGCTAGCCAACGATAAACATGAAGAAGTAACACGGCCGACTGGAGGCTTGACAAACGAGCGACACAATGCTGCTACTGCCCGCAACTTTCTCTTTTCGCGCGCGGCCGACCGAGTAAAATACACATCCACATCAAGAGAGACAGAGAGAGAGACGAGAAGAGAGCGAGGAGTGCGTTATAGTACGGTAGTACGGGTACGAGTAGGGAAAGTGGCAGTCGTCGTGGTAAATCACCGTTAATCGCACGCAAGAGTGTGCTGTGCGTGCTGTTACGACGGCAAGAAAGGCATCATCATGAGTACTTGGACCGAGAGGATGCACCGGAGGGCAGCCACTCTTGGCAATGTTGTCACTAGCTGCGGGCATCCATCCTCTGTTTCACCTTATCCCAGGAGATTAGAGAAGTTAGTATTATTGTTTTTTTTCTTCGCTTCGTTCACGATTACAGAGCACGATTACAGTATGCCCCTGTGGTTTTTCAATGTAAAAAATGCAAAAAGGAAATTACATAATGCCTGGTTAATAGTCACATTATTTAAATTCCTTTGTATTCAAGTTTTCCTTCAATTTGCTAATGATTTCACTTGTCATTCAATTTGATGTTACTATTGTTATTCATACTGAGTGTTCTTCCTTTCATAGGGTCAAATTTGGTGTTCCACTCGATGAAGTATGCAAAAATGACATACCCGGCCCATTATTGGTGAGTAGTATTGTTGTATAGCTTTATTCCAATGATTTAATGGTATATTTTACATTTAAAGGTATTAATATTGAAGTTGAATAAAGAAGCACCACTGCGCAAAGATGTATTCCGGGCTCCAGGGCACCAAGGAAACATGAAAAAACTCATACATTTTCTTCAGACTGGACGTTTAGTTAACATGGATAATTTTAGTGTTTACACGATAGCTAGTGTTCTAAAAAAGTTTCTGCGAAAGATACCTGGTGGTGTTTTTGGAAGGGATGGAGAGCAACAATTGTTTAGTGTAATTCAATTGGACAGTATAGAACAACAAAGGGACCAGATTCACAAGTATATTTAAACAAGTTTTTTATGATTATACCTTCCTCACAGTTTATTTTAGCTCGGCTGATTTTACAATCCACAGATTAATCACCTCTCTACCAATCTACACTCAGCGTTTGCTGGTTCTGTTATTTGGAACATTCAGGGTAGTAGCAGTAAATAGTGAAAGAGCAAGGACAGGTATGACCAGTGAAGCCCTGGGAGTCTCTGTTGCACCATCGTTTTTCCAAAGCTGTGTTAGTGATGGAAAAACGGCAAAAATGGAGGATGTTCTTAGGTTCAAGGTATGTTTTTTTATTTGTTTTTTGGAACTCATCAATTAAATTCATAATTGGTGAATAAAGGTAGTTGTTGTATGAACTTGTACCTTTTTCTTCTATGCCTTTATAAAAGCATGAATTATTGCTCTGAATAGAGATTATAGAAAACTTTTGATTTTTACTGAGCATATAAACTAAAACTACTAATTGATCTTTTGTAAGACTAATTTTTAGATTTAAATTAATAAAAACTATTTTTTTGAGTGAAGAGTATTAAAATTGAATATATTTGGCATAATTCTTACAATTTATGTCTAATAATCTCTACCTAAGACGTTTTGCAGCAACTACCTTTGTAACGTTAAATGAGTTTCTTTAATCTTTTGATCCATGCATCTTAAAAAATAAGTAAAATTGACATTTTACAAAAAACATTTGTTAATTTCTTGAAAAAAAAAAAAAATTATAAACTGTATGGTAAAATTACTTCAATATAATAGTATAATGAATTTCTATTAAATTAAACAAAAAATGAAAGACTTCAATTAAACATACTACTTGCTAAAACCATATACATCAAGTGTTTGTTATGAGAAGTGCTAAATTTTTTATGTGCATCATTCTTAAGCATTTAAATTGATGCAGCATTGAAATATCACGGAGTATAAACAGTATAGAATATGCATGACATTCATAAATAAAAATATCAACTGTTTGAATTAAGCATTCCATGCATGCATCTACTGGTTTCTCAAAGCCAATAGCAGTATCGTATGATTGCCTCCTTTTTTTTCATATTTTGCCTTCAATCGACGCGCGCCACACAGGCCGAGGTGTCAGTAAGTTTACCATACCGAACGATTATGTTGTATGTTTTGTTTCTCGACTAGCTCCTTCGAGCTTTTCAAACAATTTGCAAGTGACAATTGTCGTTATAGAATTCCTTAACGATTGTTTAGCCTCGCCAAAAACGTCGTGGCAGAATATAAGCATGATTCGCGCGAATCGACTTGATCAATTAGAATCCATGCAATCTCATCCAAAAGGAATTTGTGGATGTTTATATTATGTTAATTTTATACTTTATATGCATGATGAGTAATGAACTTCAGATCTCCTTGTTACGATATTAAGTGTCCTAGTGAAATTGTTATAGGGTTGATGTATTAGTTTATCGATTTGAATGAAAAAGAAAAGAATCCTATTTGATATATCTTTCATTATTTTATCTAGTAATTTTCCTGCTTTGCTCGTTTTGTAAAATCTAAATATTTTTAAATCGAGAGCATTTTTTTTTTATTCCTCTACCAAAAGTTTTTTTTTCAATAATTTTCATTTTCTTTCGTTTGTATATTGAGCATTTTTCTGCTAGATTTTCCTAATTTTGCAGAATTTTTACATCATTTCATTTAATAATTTTATTACGTAGGTTGCGACGAGAGTAATGAAGTTCATGATAGACAATTTTGGAGTATCAAATTTGTTCGGCCGAGAGAACTACGAATTCTACGCGCGGATTACCGGACGAATCCTGAAAGTTGAAGAAGATTGGATATTTAGCTTTCGCTATCCTCCTGATACCCTAGTATCACGTAAGTATCCAATAACAATAAAAAAAATCTTATTTCCGGCTCATGATAAATTCACACATGTGTAGACATTCATTTTGGCCTCAATAACATTCCTCTCATTCATCATACGTTTCCACGCATATAGTAGTCGATCTCGTAGTTCTGTCATCATCAAAATCTCTGTGAAATGTTTCATTTTTTTCTCTAACAAAACAAATCGACTTGTTTGCTTATACATACACTATTTTCGTATATCACCGCAGGGCAATTATCACTAGAAGCCGAAAAGACTTGGTTGCAATATGAATGTGAGAGATGGGGCCTGAAGTTTAATCTAGAATGTAAGCCTGCACTGTGATCCGAACAAGAAAATCTGCACGTTCTTGCCTGCATGAGCAGTTTTTTCATTACTAATGCATCTTTTTTTTTTGTTATAGCAATGTCACACCAAGAGGAATCGCAATCGACGCCGGCATTGATTCACGTTCCAGAGTCCCTCGAGCTCACCTCGTCCCTCGGGATGATCCCAGAAAATACGCTTTTGGAAAGCTACACGCGTCTTTCAGTTAGCCTAGAGGAAAATGGATTTTTTCAAGTACGTCATTGTTAATAATATTTTCTTTTATTTGCGTCTCAATGCTAAGACAACAATTATAAAGAACCGTTATTTGTTCATTAAACCAAACTTGTTTTTCGTTAAAAAAAATTTCCAATTCATACAAATGACATTAATGATTGATTTATAATGATCATTGATATTAACGCGATTAAAAATACATCCATTGTTCTTGCTGTTATCGGTAAATTGAATATTCATCATTCATCAATTTTGTTGTCTTAGACTAAACAAATGTAGTTATTGTCAGTTTGCTTGATGCTTGATTTTATGTACGATTTAGACATCTAGCCGCTCATCAAGCAATGGCAGCCACCACTCGCGTCACGCAGGCATGACACTGGATGAGCTGCGAGCCGTTAATCGTTACGCGGAGAGCACAAAGAGCCTCAGCTACTTGCCTCAGGTAGGCGTTGGCGAAGCTTAAGCAATGGTTGTTGATACGAATCAAGTCAAGCTTTTTTGATCGTAATTCTTTCTTATTTGATTCTCACTCTTTTACTACTTTTTCACTTTTTATATTATTATATTTAAAAGTTCGATAGGCATTGATACGTTATGTGATCGATAAATAACAAAATTATCTAAATTCAACATTCCTTATGAAGTCAACTTTTAAGATTAATGCATTGTTGTATATGTCGTCAACGACCATTTAGATTTGTTGTACAAGTATTGTAGTATGCTATCGTTTCATCGATACGTTTTTTTTCTCCTTTTGCGTCACTGCACATAATACACATAACTTTTTGAAACACTCTAAAAATCATGCACTTCAGAAATTAATGCTTGTTACATTTTTTGCATCGCAGTGCGTTAATTAAATTATAGTTATGAATATGTAGATTCGTAAAAACAAAGTGGAATATTTACTTTTCACACTTAATATTTGAACATTTTTTAATAAGTATTATTAGATCACTGTTGACAATAAATAAATAAATCCATGATTTAAAATACAAGTTAAGTACAAAAAAAAAGACTTCAAGAGATAGAGACTGCAATTTTTTTACAATTTGGTATTTACATATTTATATTGGAACTTCTGTCAGTGTGGTCTGTTCTTTATGTAATTTTTTTTGTCGTTTGTCAATGTTAGTATTTATTGTTCTTTCAATGCGATATTTAGTACACAATTCTCAATAATTATTGCGTTTATATATGTAGTTATGCGATCGTTGTTGCTTTTTTATGCTAAAATTCGAGGCACCTCGCATCAGTCACTAAATATAATTGCTTTTGAATCAGCTATTTAAACGCAGACGATTTTTTTATAATTTAAATGAATCTAGTTGTTGGTTGATGCACGATAATGATATGCTTCGTGGAAAATCGAGCAAGGAGCCTCAAATTTCAACTACAATACGTTTTTATAATTTTTGTATGCTCGATAAGGTCATCTAGACGTTTGGAAATAAGATTTTTTAATAATTGCAATAATAAAGTTATGAGCAAAGCTTAGGTCAAACTATAATCTATGTGTACATGAAGCCGCCCATTTCATTTTTTAAACTTAATCTCATCCGCTTTATTGTAATATCATCAATGTACAAAAACCCCATTATTGCATTTTTTTTAATGCATTTCTTTTCCACGTTCAATTTATACGTGTACAGAATTATGTATCGAAGATAAGTAATACAACAAATTTATCAAAAAAATATCATGGTTTTTATTTTACTTCTGTAAATATTTGCTTGTACGCACGTTGCACGCTATCGCAAATTTTATATTTTTAATAAGATATTGTTATGTTATCCCGCGCTTTTGTTTACGTTGCTTTATTAGAACTATTCACTCCTTAGCCCATTATCAATCGTTTTACTGAATCAAATCGATGGATCACACTTATAAAGTTTGTATTATAGCTACGGTATGTAAATATATATTATGAATTTAATTAGAACACTTGATAATAGTCTAAGTATAGTCACTTAGAATACTCAAATCAACGTTATACATTCCAGGTTTGAACAAGTAATCGCGCAAAAACTAATAACAATTGGAACACTAACCATGTTATGAACGATAATTTGTTCAAAATCGAATGTCATGTGATTGGCGTCGCGTTCGTGCTGTAGTATTGCTTCTGACTTTTGGATGGCTTACTAAATTGTGTTTAATCTTCTGGACTTTGATTTGTAGTCACTTGGAAAATTGCTAGATATGAGTGAGCAATGGTATCGTTTTTCATTAGGTGCACGAGCGGCAAACCGCACGCATGAGAACTCGATCCGAGTGGTTCCTCACTCCCGTTGGCGAGAGATTGTCTGCCACCGATAGCGATCCTATGACTGTGCACGTTCTTCGCGGATCTAATCGCTCATCTTCCGGTAACATTGGTAAGATACGCTTTCAAAGAGCAAAGCTCAGATGCGGAATTCCTGACACTTATCATTTATCGAATGCACGCATTACTCTTTTCAGCGACAGCACTGAGCGCGAGCGCCGAATCGGTAAAGAGACCGAGTCTTCGGCGAAACTCTTCTCGGGAAAAATCTCGTCTTCATCGTAGTTCTTCGCGACGCAACAAAGAGAATGGTGCAAAGAGTCGTGGCACGGAAAGCTCGAAGTCTCGTTCCATGGAAACGGTGAAAGCAAAAGGTGCGAGAGTAATGATAGACCAACAACCAGCTGAGAAGATGATTAAAAATGACGACGATGAGAAGTCGCCGCAAGACCAAAGGGCTATGACGCCGCAGATTGGTCCGCAAGACTGCACCGAGATGGACGTACAAACGTTCCACGTCACTCTCACCTACAAGCCGCGAATCTAGTAAATCAATCCTATTACAACTTCGTTCTTTATTTTCCCAAACTGTCCACGCTGACTTTCCTATCTTGCAAATTTGGTATCCTTCGCGACTTTATCTTACGTTGACAATATTTAAATTTGATGTATGTCATCCTTGAATCATTTATTTCTCAATTGTCGAGTAGTTTGAGTGCACTCATCTCCAAAGGTTGATTGATAAACCTTTGGCTAGATTGGAGAAAACTTCGAATTTTTTCAAATAACCTTTACGAGACTACGAGAAAAAGTTATTGAGGTTTTCTTATTCTTATTCCAATACATATGCTATCTTCATAGTCTATATAAAACTGAAAAAATTAATGTATAGATATACTAGAAGAGAAAATGCTTCTAATTAATTTTACTTTTATCGTTACTCAAACGTAAATTACACAATTTGCATGAATGGGATCGCAGCGTTGGCAATGAATTCAAAAGCGTAAACCAGTGAGTGGATCAGACGAATACAGCCAAATTTTTCAATTGATTTTATACATGTATCTTATAAATCTACACAAACTTGATCTATGTACAAATTCATTTTTGTACAAGTCTGTTCGAGTTCGATATAGATCTTAATCCATTTTTTAATCTTTCTACCGTGATGGGTACAACAACAAACAAGCGCGGAAAGTGTTTGCGTTCTAAAAAGACTATTGTTTTGTACATAATTTTTGTATTCTATCATCAGCTCAAGATTAACTAGTTTGTAATTAAATGTAGTGTCTCGAATAATCAATAGGAAACATTTGAGATTTTTTTTATTAAAAAACATTTGAGATACTGCCAGGGAAGTACTAGAACGGAAAACATATGTTCAGTGTCATTGATGATTTTATTTGATAATTAGTGAAATTGTAAATTATGTAGCATATTATCCAATTTTCGTAATTTTGATGAACGTTAACGAGAGTCATGGCAAAAAAAAGCCAATTTTGGTTCATAATAATAACGATTGAGAGAAGAATACAAGATTGAATGTTTTCCTGTCCAGTCAAGTTAAACTGAGCTAAGACAGGACAACACTGAAGAATTCGTATGCATTTTAGCTATAAAGAAAAAACTCATTCCATCAATCGAATTTTTGTACTTTACATTTTTATGATTAACCAATCATAAAACTGCACCATTCCAAGCGCATTTAAATGTTAAGAGTTATCTACGTATTGTATGTACTATTTTATTACCTTGTAAATTTTCGTTTTATTCATTTAAGCATTGTGAATCTGCGCGCGTTTATTTTCACGCAAGCACAAACACACAATCGACCTACTAACTCGAATGGTCGGAATTAAGCTGTAGCGAAAGCGACGAAAGTATTAATAAAAAAATCGTCATGGCTATAAGAGAACTTGAAATCTAATGCCTAAACGAAATGAGAGCTCTCTATTAAACGTCAAGAAAAGAAACAGAGGAGAAAGAGTAACAATAGCTGATCGATCACTTGCCATTCGCATCAAGACTCTGTTCGATAAATATTTCAGCTCGACGTGTTTGCCTTCAGCCTTTTTCAGACGATCGCAAGTAGCTGCTTTGCTTCCCGCGGAGAGAAGTGAAAAAAAACAGATGCATGTTGAAGCGCAAACGCGATATATGCATCAAGATAAACAAATAAATGCACGTACTAATTATATGCAAGTGTCATGGCAAAGACATGATCGCTTATTATTTGAAAGCATTACAAACGTGAAACACAAATTCCCTCCCTTCTCCCACGTGTAATCAAAAATATTCCGAATAAATGAAAAAGCATATATATTGTTTATCGTATACGGATATATTTTATACATGTGCTACAAGCACTTGTAGCTCATATATATGTATACGGATACGCAGAAAGCAAACATTTACTGGTACACATTTCACACATACACAATAGTTCTCGTATCTAAGTGTTTGATATTCTAAGTATTTAGACATTTTAAGACAAAAACATAAATGAATTTTAATTGTCTTACGATTTCCAAGTGACTGCGAAAACTTCGTCGGAAATTTATTGAGGAAAACAAAAAGGGGAAGAAAAACGATGAGTATTAATTGCATTATAATGCATTGAGTACAATTGATTTTCGAGCGATCTACATGCAATTTTAATCGATTTTTTTTATGCATATCTGGCGATAATGTCAATTATTGTATTTAGTATTATTTTACATCAGTGGAATGAATCTATCTTAAAACAAAAAGATTTAAAAAATAAATAAACAAAGCAAAAGACTTATTTCAAAGTTTTACCTTGCGTTCGATTTAAATAAAGGCTTTTTTCTACAGCACGTTTAGATGTAACTTTACATATTATATATAAAACAAAATGTAAAACAAACACCACTTTAAACCCGGTACATATATAAAGTAATGTAATGTATGCAAGTATATATATTATGTTTTATACAATATTTGAAAGCATACATTGTACAATAACAGCAACAGCAAAATCAACACGGCAAATAAAAGGGTTGAGCTGTTTTCTAGAAAAGAAACGTTGTAGGTTTTGTATAGTAAGACGATATAATATGATTGTAACTTTTATTTCCTACGATTACTTTATACTTTGGTCGTTGCATTTAGGCGATTGCGAACACGGTTGAATTTAATCCCCGGCTGTTTCGCTGATTTTATTTCTTTTGAATGTATATAATGAATTTTTAAGGTATAAATATTATTATTCCACATTTGTTGTTGAGGAAAAGAAGCACAGTTGCGACTAATCAAGTGATAAAATAACATCCTCGTTGTCAGGTTTTTCATTTATATTCTTATAATTTATTTTTATTCTTGCTAGCACCAAAGAAATTTGATTGAATGCATTATTAATGTATTTACCGCATTAACCTGATAACAATGATGTTTGTTTGGTAGTGCGACTGATGATTTCTTTTTAACAATGTTTTACGATTATTATAAAGTAGATAATTGCATAGGAAAAAAATAATTCTCGGCTACGTAATTGACAATGTGCATATCACTAGGCGTAGGTTCATTTGCAATTAATGATTATTTTAGATTCATTAACGTATGAGAATATATGATTTGTTATTTTTAATCTGCACTATCGTCATTATCAGTATTTAATATTTAATTGTAAAAACCTAATTTCTTTTTGCAATAAGTAACCCAGTGAAAAAAGTTATAGAAAATGAAATAAAATAAAAATTCTTTTTTCTAAACATTTATATTGATATGAAGAATAAATTAACTTTTGCTTATGCATAAATAAGTAAATCTGTGATCTCTTGACACCGGATTATGAATATAAATAAATAAAAGTGTTCAATCAAAATTATTGTGAGTGGTAATTTTGCAACCTTTTAACAACTATTTCAAAAACTTAACGATTTATTTTTATAAAATTTGTTATTTACAGTTTAATTTATCTTTTTAGTACGTCTATAAATGTTTCACGAGGCAAAGCAATATTGCCTACCATTCTCATTTTCTTTTTACCTTCCTTTTGCCTCGCTAATAATTTGTTTCTTCTAGTAATATCGCCACCATACTAAAAATAAGTTTAATTAGTTCACAATTTACAAAAAAATAATTTTTTTTAATGCGACTTTACTATTACCAATTTCGCCGCTACGTCCTTTCTGTACGGTTTCAAATTTTCTCTAGCCAATACTTTAGCACCTACACAGACTTGAATTGCTATTAAGAATTGCTGGCGAGGAACTATTTCCAGTAGTTTGAGACACATTTTCCTGGCTTTTTCAGTCGCTTTTGTATAATGTACGAGAGTACTGAGTTCTTCTACTTGTTGTCCATTCAGTAAAACGTCCATCTGGAATTTTTCAGTTTTTACTAATGACAACATTTCCAATCTGTTATTTAATTTTTCAATAGAATATTTCTCACTTTGATAATATTTGATTTTTCATATCCACAGTCTTCATAATCAAAACTTGCATAGCCAGAACTTACTGATTTAAGTTCATCATGAAAATCAACAATAATTTCGTTCAGAGGGAGTTTGAATTTAATCATTATTCTTTCATTGTCAATATTTATTGTTGATTGTTCAACTCCTCTCCTTTCCATGCAAATCGACATGATTGCTCCAAGATATTTCACTAAAAATTAATTGAAAAAAAATATCAGTCTAACCCTTCAAATTGATTTAATTTTGGTTTTCAAAAAATAAAAATTACTTGGAGCAATAATTGTTCCTATCACCATTGGTTCAAATAATTCTTGTATAATTTGTACATCTGGAAATTGACATGGATTGCTAAAATATATTTCATCACTTTTATATTTTATAATGTTCTTTTTTCCTGTAATTTTTGCTCTATAAGTTACTCCTGGTGCAGTTAAAATAGCTTGAGCATCGTGCTCCTGTTCAAGCCTTTGCGAAAATACTTCCATGTGTAAAAGTCCAAGAAAGCCAAGTCGCCACCCTTGACCCAAAGCTGGACTATAGTAAATTATTAATTTAAAAAATCGTCAATCAAATCGATATATATTAAAAAATTTTTTTGATTATTCTAATACCTTGACTCCTTTGTTACTGACACAGCATTGTCGTTCAATGTGAGTTTCTCAATGGCACTTTGCAAAGAAAGATACTGAGATTGATCCATTGGATAAACACCTGCGAAAACCATTGATTTAGCTATTTTAAATCCAGGAAGTGGCTCAACAGGTGTACTCTTCAAATGTAGAGTATCTCCAATATATGCCTCTCCAGAAGATCTCATATTACAAGTGATACAGCCAACTTGACCTGCATATCTAGATTGATGAAAGATTTTATTAAAATGCATTGAAGTTGGAAAAATAATAATTTTTTCAAAGAAACTAACATTTTTTTAACAAACTCTTCTTCTGGTCTAAGGAAGGATAATGATTTTATATCATATGACTTTCCTGTGTGACAGGAAGCAATTTGGTCTCCAATAGAAACCACACCATCTTTAACATAGACTAAAGCAATGCAACCTCTGTAACGATCAAACCAACTGTCAAAAATTAGAGATTTCAATGGTTTATCCCTGTCACTTGGTGGAGGAGGAATTCTTCTAATAATAGCTTTTAAAACTTCTTCAATGTTTAATCCTAATTTTGCAGATATTTTCAAAATCTCCTTTTCTTTTATATCAAATAGATTGAATAATTGCTTTGCAACTTTTTCAGGATTTGCATTTTTTAAATCTATTTTGTTGATAACAGGTATTATTATTAAATCACAACCAAATGCCAAATAAAAGTTCGCGACTGTCTGAGCTTGAACACCATCATTAGCATCTACCACAAGTATAACACCTTGACAGGCAGCCAAAGAGCGATACACTTCAGAAGCAAAATCTACATGTCCAGGAGTATCAATTAGATTTAAAACGTACTCTATACCATCTAGCTTATATTTCAAAGAAACAGTTTGAGCTTTTACTGTTATGCCTCTTTCCTTTTCAACTTGCAACTTGTCTAATATCTGCATTCCTGAATTTACTTTGATAGCTCCAGTCAACTCTAAAAGCCTGTCAGCAAGAGTACTTTTTCCATGGTCTACATGTGCTATAATGCTAAAATTTCTTATATTTTCTAATGGAGTTTCATATTCTTTTAAATCATCTTTATTCGTCGAATACAAATGTGAGAGAATCATTGGTGTACATCTAAAAAAGAATTGTTACAAGTGAATCGACTGAAAAATTTATTAGCATTACTAAACATTAAACTTTATTAGATTTTACCTCTGTTTCAAACAGAGTCCTAATTGTTGTTTGTATTGACTAGTCAATAAATTATATAATATGATTGTTGACCTCATGTTTGGAAATACACGAAAAAAGCACTTTTTTATTCAACACTTTGAATTTAATTTCATTGAGAACGAGTTTATGATGGTTTCATATATATAGTCATTCATGGTACAGTCGGGTAACGAGATACCTAACCTGATCGAACAGCTGATTAGGAAAATCAGCAATAGTAGCAGAAAGTAGAAATACTAGCAGAAAAATGGCGTTAGCCGGTATCTGTAAAACAACTCAAGTGCTCCAATTTTTTAAATTTTCACAAAATTCTGTCAATTTTTTGATAGAAACTCAATTTAAAAATGTACAAAATCTGTTTTTCATTAATAATGGTTACTGTAAATATTTCTGCATGGACAAAAAGTCGGGAACGCCAGGTAAACCAGGTGATCCAAAAACTTTGGAACAAGCGAAAAAGAAAAAAGGAATAACGAGTCCACAAATTACGTTAATTTCGTCTAATGACGAGGTATCTACTATGTCGCTGGAACAAGCTGAAAAATTATCAAAAAGAAGAGATCTTAAGTTAGTGAAAATTGTTGACTTTGACACCAAAACTGAGAAACCAGTGTACAAACTTATGACAGCTCTTGAATTCTTCCAAGAGGATTTTAAAATGAAAGAGAAAAAGAGGAAGCAAAAGCAGATGTCTGTAAAGGAGTCAAAATTATTTACCATCTCATCTAAGATTGGTGATAATGATTTGGAAAGTAAAATAAGGTATATGTTCAAATTACTTAAGAAGAAACATGAAGTTCGTGTGTTCATTGCTTGTGATGGAAACCCTATTAGAGCGGTAATTTAATTGACTCTATAATACAAACAAGCTTAACATATTAAATTTTAAGATCAAATATTTAACATTATTTTTTGCAGGAGGAAATATGTAAATTTATAAAGGAAGAGTTGAGTGATGTTTCTGGTTCATCAAATCATATTTCTAAAGGTAATATTTTAAGATTATCAATTCAACCAAAACAGAAAACTACAGTAGCTGCATGTGAAGCTGATGCAACCGACAACAATAAACCCGAGACAACCCAAGCGATAATAAAATGAAATAAAAAATAAAAAAAAAAGAACAATTGTAAATATTTATAAGTGATGTACAAATGCTATGTAGGTGAGCTTATGAGATAAGTAGGGATGAGTCAAATAGGATAAATGTACTTATAAATTCAAAACAGCCAGATAAACATTGTTTATTTATTTCTAATAGATCCATACTTTCTTTATATAAAAAGAATATTGTGTTTTCATCGGTCAATTATTATTATTGTCTACCAATGAGATGTGTTCTGCCAATAGGCACGACGAATTTGTAATAAATTGCGCATCTCATTTGTAAAGATATGTAATTTTTCGTCACATTAATTTTCTTAAGTTTATACAGTACATAGAAATACTTGATTACGTAACAGCGCCTTGATGAATTTTGTCAGACAATATGCAATATTATTTTGTCAGAATATTACGTTTGTGAATGATATATAACGTGTAATTAACAATGATTGTTTTTATAAGAAACTATATATTGCATGCATAAGTACAACACAGGTTGTCATTGCGCATCTGTAAATAGAAACGATAATTGAATAATGCTCGTTTGACGATCTATAGTGCCACGTTGATGACTAACTACAATAAAAGAATGAAAAAATCTTCATACTACTCGGAGAAAGAAAGAACTTATTATTCCATTATTTTGTGCCCGAATACACACGCGTACAAAATTAGGCTTCTGACTATATCGATCCGGAATTATTCATCTTTGCATCTTTTAAGGCTTCTAACACGCAATATTTAGTCTGCAGATATGCTAGGTATTTTACAGTGTTTACCATCAAACTCACTCACAGTTTTGTTGTTGTTGTTGTAAATAAAAAGGCCTTTATAATCATTAAGAATTGTGTTCGAATGTGCGTGCAACTGTGATCATATGCGCCGGATACTTTACTCGAATGATCGATCTTCCAAGCCGTCGAACTTGATGCTTCTTCGAAAATCTTGGTAGCTTTGCATCGCTTGCTCGGCTAATTAAACAAACCAATATGAGAAGGTTGTCGTCCCTTTTCACCGATAACCTTCTCGACACTTACCACACTCGGGCAGAACCTTCTGACACCTTTGCTTCTTGATCAGCTTCGCGGGACACGGTTTGCCGTCGTTCTTCGGCTCCACCTGTCATACCAATCAGCGTTCATCCACAGCAACAATCATCGTCAATCAGAGAAAAGCTCAAAACTCACGAGAACTTGTCGATTCATAGTCCGATGTCCCTTGCAACTGTAACAAGGCGACCAGTCGCTCCACTCGGAAACTTTGCAGTCGACTTTTTGCTTGTCACTGCCTCGCGGCTTCTTCCTTCTCTTCTTCTTGCTCGCCTCCTCCTCCGCTGCAACGACAATCGGAAAGGGCGGACGAGTTAGAGGCGTGCAGTTTCGGGCGTCGTACGAAAAAAAGCGCCAACGTGGTGGACATGCCGCGCGAAAACCAAGGGGGGTAAAAGCGCTAAGAAACGAAAGACGCTAGCCATCTACGAGTCACCACATTTGTCTCGCTTCGCCTTGAGCGCGTCGCGATCGAAGCTCAGCGGCACGTTGTAGCTGGCGATGCTGCTGACCTTCAGCTTGTAACTCCTCGGGCCGCCGAGGTCGTCTGGTGCGTTAGCGAATAAGCGATCGTTAGCGGGCCCGTGCGCAGCCCCTCGACACCTCAACTTACGGAATTTGCCGCAGGTCGCCTGGCACTCCTGCATCGTGCGGAAGTTGTTCATGTTGCCGTTGCAGCCGCTGTAGCGGAACAGCTTGCACTTGCCGTCGCGCTTGTCGTAGTAGTAGCGCAGCGAGTTGTCGTTGTGGCCGTCGAGGCAGGAGCCCAGCTGCTCGGGCTGCGAGCATATCACTGCCGCGCAAAAGCGGCGTGCGGATCAGGCTCTCGCGGACGGTCCGCCAAGATACATCGCGTACCTTTCATCAGCTCCTTGGTGATCTCGCACGACTTGGTCTCGGCCTCGCAGCTGGTCGTCTCGAACTGGCAGGCGTACAGGCTGAGGTCCTTCTCGGCCTCGGGCGAGCTCATGTACTCGGGCTTGATGGAGCGCGAGTGCGTCTTGGTGCCCATGCCGCACGACACCGAGCACGGCGTCCAGAACGACCACTCGGTGTAGCGCTCCTCCACGCACGTCTGCACAGTGCCAGTTTTACGCTCAGTTCGTCGATTCGCGCGCGAGCCCGGCCACCGCGAGCAGCGACGCGCGAGCAAAGCCGAGGAGTCTGCTCGAGCGTCTGAGATATTAGTTCGAATTGCTGAATTAGTAGAAGCGACGCACGACACGCGTACGTTACCGACTTGATGGAGGAGAGAGCGAGAGGATTGTGAAAGAGACAGAGTTGTCGATGAATCAGTGGTGTGTGATCGAATGGTGGCGTTGTTAGTTAAACGCGAACGGCGAAGCGTCAGTTTGCTGTGAGTTGACTCGTACCTTGGGAACGCGTTTGATTCCGCGCGCGAACACCTCGTGGCGCCGCCTGACCGAGCTCCTCATGCTTTCCTCGGCCTCCATCAAGTCGTGCGCGCTATCCGTCGACTGCTCGTCGTCGCTCCCCGTGGCCTGCTCCTCATCCTGCTCCTCATTCTCCTCCTCCTCCGCCTCCTCCTCCTCCTCCTCCACTTCTTCGTCTGCGCCCGCTGACTGCTGCTCGAGACCCCTTACCGTCTGCTCCTCGCTCGTGTCTACGCTCGGCTCCTCCGGCTGCGCTCCCCCGTTGGCCTCCTCGCCCTCCTCCGTGGCCGCCTCCGTGCTTTCGCCCGCGCAGCGCGGGTTCTTGGGGCAGTAGTCGGTCTCCTGCAGGTGGATGTCCGGGTGATCGGCGCGGCACTTCTTGCGATTTTTCTTCGGCTTGAACTTGCGATCGCGAGTGCGCTTCTGCGGGCCGCACCGGCGCGTGCACGGCGTCCAGTCGCTCCACTGGCCCAGGTTGCAGTTGGGGTCGACCACTTCGTCCGGCGGACTTGAACAAGCGGACAGCGGTTGCATTGCTCGCCTGGCGCGTGGCAAAGAATATCGGCGACACCGGAAGTGGCTCTCGCGAACGCGAAACGGCGCCGGGCCAAGCGCGCGGCCTCCTTCGCCTCGGCGCGTCGAGCTCACTGCCGACGCAACATCGGAGCTGCGAGGTATCGGCGAGACGGATGCTCACCACTTGACCACGACGCGGCCGCCGTCCGGGTCGACGGGCCAACAGCTGTCCCTCTGGGTGAGCTTCTCGTTGCAGCCGTGCTTGGAGGCTCTGGGCTCGTTCAGGTAGCTGCGCTGGCGCAGCTTGTGCCCGTGGCCGCACGTCACCGAGCACGGCTGCCAGTCGCTCCACGCGGTCGTCGTGCACGCCTCTGCAACAGGGTTCATCGCCGCGATCAGCCAGCCGAGCCCGACCCGAGCCCGACTCGAGCCCGGCTCGCGCTTGGCCGCGCCGCGCCGCGCCGCCCCCTCGCCCAGCTAGGCTACGTACGCGGCAAAAGAAGCACCTGACGCGCTCGAGCTCCGGCGGCCGACGGCCAGCCCCGTCGCGGGCACTCCTACGCAAGCGAAATAAAGGGCAAAACGTGAAACCAAAAATACTTGCTGTCTTGAACCGGCTCTTGCTCGTCATTCGCGTCGCCCTCGTTATTCTCGGCATTGCCGCCAGTCTCGTTAGCGCTATCGTCATCACCTCCGGCGTTCTCCACGCCCGGCTCCTGGCGCTCGCAGTCCTTCTCGTAGATCCTCTGCCGGTTGAGGTAGAGCCGCGCCAGCGGGTTCATGTCCACGGCCGTGGGCTCGTAGAACGGCGAGCCCTCGTCCTCCGGCCAGCTGGTGGTAATGCGCCGGATCACGGACTGCGGCTGCGTCGGCGCGTCCGGCGACTGCGCTCGAGAAACGCGCGTGCATTAGCCGCGAGGTGGGATCGAGCCGCGCGCTCCGCGTGCCCTACCTCGTATCCCACGCCGTCGTCGGTGCCCGCGTCGATGGGGTACAGGTTGAGCTCCTTGTGCTCCACCCAGGAGCAATTGGCCAGACAGAGCTCCAGTCCGCTCACGCCGACGAACCAGTCGGGAGACGGATCTGAATCAGTCGGACAGCGCGATCACACACCGCGGTCGGTCGCGTTCGAGCGAAAACAACAGTCCGCGCCTCTCACCGATCATCGACACGAGCGAGATGAGATGATGTCGCTGATCGACCCTGAACACCGCGAAGGTCTTGCTGGTGATGTTCGGGAAGTTGATCCCCTTGGCCTTGATGATCGTGCGTATGTGGGCGCTCTGCAAACACGCCACGGTCGCAGTGGGTCGCGCGGCGGAGTCGCTCGGCGTCGCTCGCGGCCTTACCTTGTTCTTCAGCTCGGACTCGAGGATCCGCGTGATGCCGCTCTCGGCGACCTGCTTCAGTCCCTCGCTCGCCTCGTCGTTGTACTTCCAGAAGTGGTAGTCGGACGTGTGCGAAGCCCCGATCACGTCCGAAAAGCCGGCGCTCCACGGGTTCGAGGGGAAGTTCTGCGGGGACAGATCAATATGCGAGCGGCGCTGTATCGCCTCGTTTTCCAAAAGTCACTCGCTCGCCGTTGCCGACGTTACCGCGGCCCCCATTGGCGCTACGCAGTCTCACCTTAGGATGGGTGTACCTCGACCACAGTCCCTCGAACGTGATCTCGTACTTGGCTTCCTCGCAGGCGCAGCACTCGGGCAGCTCCGGCCCCGGCTCGTCGATCAGAGCTTTCGGATCTTGGCAGATTTTCTGCTCGAGGCTGCCGTCCATGTACCAGCGCTCCTGTGACTCCATCACCATTCCTCTGTGTGCCGCGCAGTTCGCGACGATTAATCCACCTGGTCAATATTTGCTCCCATCTCTTTCAAAGGCCGGAGCGGGGCTTCGGGTTATTGGGTACACGACCACGCGGATTAAGCCTGCGACTTCAACCCGATAACGCTCCGCTCCGCTCTGGCTTTTTTATTGTCGTCGTCGTCGTCGTCGTCGTCGTCGTCGTCGTCGTTGCCGTCGTCGTCGTCGTCGTCGTCGTCGTCGTCGTCGTCGTTGCCGTCGTCGTCGTCGTCGTCGTCGTCGTCGCCGTCGTCGTCGTCGCCGTCGTCGTCGCCGCCGCCGCGATGACGTGCAAATTCGCCCGTTGTCGAGTCGAATCAGCTCGAGCAGTTCCGTACGGATGAACACGGCAAATATGCCGATTGCAGTCGCAACGGCACTGCGTTTTTCGGCAAAAATAACGCCTGCAGCCTCGTTCTACAATTGTCCCGTCGGCGTTTCAACGCTATCCACGGCAATCCATTGCCAATAATGCACTTAGATCTTTTTGGAAATACGCGCAATAACGCAACGCTACATCGAAAACCTTCGCTGGCCAACAGCCCACGACCGGAGCGCACTCGACAATGGCCGGGCAAGGTTCACCTGAAGATGACGCATCCGTTGCCCTCCGCAGGACTCGTCCAATAGGCCGACGCGTCGTTCTTGGCGATGTTCGAGGTCTGCGCTATGACTTCTGGGCAGTCCTGCGAGAACTCGGTGATCTCGTTGTCGTACAGCTCGAACGTGCCTGGCGACAGGGTCTTGTTCTCGTTCTCCACCGTCAGGTGAAAGCGCGCGAACGTCGAGTCTGCGTCTTTGGACTGGATCATCACTACGGGGCAGAAAGATCAGCTCGTCTCTCGCAAAGGGGTTGAACGAACGAGTCGTCGCTCGCCGCCGTTCCCGCTGACAGTCGCGGGCGAAGGGGCGGGAGGGGACGGTGGCTCTGCACACCATAACCGGCGGCAATTTATGGCTTCGCCGACCGGGTCTTCTTCCCCTGTATGCTCGCGCGCGTTCTCGCCTTTGCAGTCTCGATCGTTCGCGCCGAGGATCCGCCAAATGGAAGGCCACTTCCGGGCGCGACTTCGCGGTACGAGTCGATCGGCACGCGTAAGCGACTCATTAGCGCCGATTAATCTCCGAGTTGCCGAACGAAAATATGAAAAATCGTGGTCGATTGGAAGGGAAGGGGGAGGAGGCTCGCGACAACTCCGAGGTTGCATCTTCGTGGCTTTGCTCTCTCCACATGCACTCTCTTTTTGGCCATGAGCCAAGTTTGACTCGCCGAACGCGGAGTGCTGCTCGTTAGTGTTTTCGCGGTCAAGGATGGCATTTCCCGAAATTGACATACGCGACATCATAATTTACGCTCGGCAGGATTTCACCAGCTCGTAAGGTTCGAGCGCCGGATGAAAAGGGCACACGGCGTCGCAGCAGGCATTCAAAAAGCGCAAAAGCAACGCCAAAATCGCGCGTCCGAGCCGGGGTAGTTGTCGAGTATCGATCGGCGAGCAATTTCGTCAAACGAAAGCCAGCACCCGAATCGCACTTATCGGATCGGTCACCTTGATACTTGGTATTGGGCATGAAGCTCTTGAATTGCTCGGTGGAGTTGATCTTCAGCAGCAGCACGTGGTAATGATCGCCGACGATGTGCGGCCCCTTGACGTCATCCCACTTGGACTCGCAGTGCATCCAGCCGCTCGCACCACACAGCAGCGCGCCCATCAGCGCCAGACGAATCATCGCTGCTGCTGCCGCTGCTGCTGCGAACATTTCAGCTCGTCGCACTATTATTTTTCCACCTTTGTTACGCGAATGATCGTCGCCGCGAATAAATTGTTTGCGCGCACGATCCTCGAAAAGCCATTGGGCCGTGACTTAATCGAATGCCCCCGTAAATTATTTGTGCGCGGTTGCGCCCGAGAAAATCAGCGCGCTGCGCCATTTGTCGCGCCTTTTGGTGGGCGAGCGGGGTGCCGTGAATAAAATTCGACGATCGAGACACGAATCGCGGTGAATCAACGAGCAGCTCGTCGTCACTCGCGGCCGCGAACTAATGATTCGCGAAATAGGTCAGATACTACTGCGCTTTTTACGCTGCGGCGGCTCATTAAGCGAGCACGGCAACGCGGCAGTTTAGCTTCATGCGAAATAATCGATCGGCGCGCGCGCGCGCGCGAGAGAGAGAGGCAGAAAGAAAGCCCCTCTTCGGCAAAATAAGGAGTAGCAGGCTTTTCTGGCACTCGACGAAAGTCGGAAGCAACTTCCGTCTCGCGAAGAGTTTCGTCTCGAATGAAAGGAAGCAGCTAGGAGTCGGTAGCCGTTATTATGTAGCGCGAGCGCGAGCTTTGTAAATAAAAGCAAGCTGCTTTTAATGACGCGCCCGAATTTCGCGCCGATGTTGCTTCTTTCTTTCCTTTGCGCCCTTATCAGCGTCTTTCGCGATTCTAATTGCGCGTCGGCAGACCGACGAGTTCGATGTGTAAGAGTGAAAAATTGTTAGCCGCGCGGCCGCGTTAATTAACGGAAAACAGCAAGCACCGCGCGAAGCGAAAGCTCGATAATCGCGTGTCAAGCCCGGGAGAGAATGAAAATGAACTTGCGGCTGCCTGGGCCGGGAGAACGTAAATTCGCGGGGATAGCATCGGTCTCGAAACCTCGCGGCGGGCTCGCCTCGCGATTGCTTTCCTCGTGCCGCGCGAGATAAAAGCTGCTCTAAAAAGATCGTAGATCTGATAAAAACGCCTCGCGAATAATAAATCTCTCTCGGCTCCCTCTCTGCCCTTCTCGACAATCGATATCCTCCCGCTATAACGCGCGCAATTAAACTCTTGCTTCGACGCGCCTTCTCGGCTTTTTCGAAGAACCAACTCTCCGACGCGGAATAATAAAAGCGGATTTGAATAAGCTCTAATTGAGCATCAAGGTGAAGGTTGCGAGCTGCGCAAGCGAGCGGCGACGAGTATCAATTCGATTACCGATGCGCGCGCGCGGCTGGAAAATGACGTTATAGCTCGCGAGATTCAATTTTTTTTTCCACCGAAGACGTAGCCGAGATAGTTTTTCTTTTCCTTCTTGAGCGGGGGGGGGGGGGGGTGTGGCAGAGGCACGAGCTTACTCAGAGGTTTTCGTGTACTTAGGCTAAACGGTGACGATGGCCAATAGCGGAAGCCTCATGGCCAATTACTGGCTCGCCGCCGATGCTCGCATTTTCTCGCCGCGTTGCTTGCAAAGAGCAAAGTCTCGCTTCGGACTGACTGCCGGTGGAATAAGGAGTTTCGAGTGACTATGATTAACGGAGCGGATGAGTGGATTTGTGTGGCTTGGTTTTTGTGCCGACTCCGAGTTGTTTTTCGAAACGTCCTCCGGCCGAGCGAGCTCTCTTTTTTTTTTTTTTTTTATTCGAGACGCTCTCGAAGGACAATAAGGCTTTTTATACTCATTGTTAGGTTGCGCTTTGCTACTTGTAATTTATTGGCACGGTGCAAGTGCTGCGAGCATATCGATGGATTATCCGGAAAAGTTACTGAAAATTCATAAAATTAAAATAGAATTCAGTCGTGATATACAATAAATTTGAACTTAACTTCGGTTAGTCATGATTATAGTTTGAAAGCAATTTCCAATAGACATTCTCCTTATATATATCACTGCAGCCTTTCGGATAATAGCTATAACGTAATTGAAAAAAATGTTCCTACTTCGAAGCAATGCCGTTATCGGAAGAATAAAAACGCGAAGGCGGAATCAGCATGCGCGCGCGGTAGTTCTCTTCTGCAAAGCTGCTCAAGTCCCATCCTCGATACAGCTAACAATGACTTTTCTGTCTATTAGAGCTTCCTTGCCCCTTTTGTTCGCTCGATGATTGCGATTCAGCGCCGTAAAACCAGTTTTCATTATTAAATTCAATCGCAACACAATGACCAGCTCGACGTTTTGAAATTGATTTGCCCGGCAGCGCAAACAATTATCGACGTTAATGCATTTACCAGCGAGCAAGAGGGCGAGAGAAGGAGAGGGAGCGCGCGAAACGAATTGGCCGACGCGGAATTTTCAGTCATCGCATAATTGATGCATTTAAACGGGTTAATTTAGCTTGAACGCGCGTCTCGCTCTGGCATGCAGACTCAACGAAACCCATGCGCGCAAAGCGCGTCGCAGACGGATCCAGTTACTTCTTCATTCGCGTCAATGAGCACATCGACAAGTTATTCAAATTGATATCGCTGTTATTCGAAGGGAAAAACAACGAAACAACGGAATTCGGGAATCCTACCTTGAGCGTGGATTCACTGCGCCGTCGAGTTTCTCATACCGAGCGTGTGCCGCTCAGTCGATCCACAAAGAGAAGCAGTACTATCAGGCAGCGGCCGGTCGCAAACTGCGGCGTAAGCGATACGGCCAGGATCGCCGAGCGACAGGGAAAGCGAGGAGCAAGGGAGCTCGAGCGCTCGCGGCCGGTCCCCGACGGCGACTGAGCGAGCGCTCGCGGCGTTCCGCGGCGCTCGGCGTCCACCCTCTGGTCGCCCCGCGCGCGCTTGCGCGCGCGCCCACACATGGCCCCGCGCGGCGCGTCAGCTCTCGCAGCGCGCGGCATACGTGCGCGTTACCTCATTAGCACCCCTAAATCAGCTGCCGACCGCCTCCTCTGCCCGTGCTCGCAATTAAACGCCGCCGAGAGCGGAGAAAAAGAATCCGCTCGTCCGGTAAAACGCCGCCGGCTAATTGGCTGAATTGCTCTGTTTGTTGCGCGCCTTGAGCTCAATTCTTTTCCGGAGAGAGAGAGAGAAAGAGAGAGAGAATGTATATTACGGCGGCAAGGAAGCGCGCGTAATCTCCGGGGATGACTGGAGAAATATCAGACCAGATATCGAACTCCTTATATATTGAATTCTCATATTTTGCTCACGGCTCAGCCGAGTTTTATTGGGGACGCGTTATTAATTGCGCGCGCCTCGCTGGCGCGACGACGCGCCTCCTCCTTTTTTCGTAGCCGCGAAAGTTCCAGAGATATATGCACAGACGCAGCCTCCAACTTCTGATATGAGTAACGTGCTCGAATCTTTTCTTTATTTTTGGTCGTTCATAGTTTCGCGAGCGAATCTGCCTTCAATTGAATTTCCTGAAACATGTAATGGCGTTATTGGCCGGTCCGGCGAGATCGATACTTTCAATTAAATTTTTTTTTTTTCACGGGAGGTCTCCCCAGCGCAGGCAAACGTGTAACTTTTCACTGAATTTGGATTTTCCGCCGTACGCGGTGATCTTTCGAAATGTATAAGAGCTGCTAGGAAACGAGCTCAAATACTGTCGATTCCTTCAGCAAACTATTTTATTTATTATAATCTATTTTATTTTCCTTCGAAATATTACTAATCTCATATATAAATTTCATATATAAATCTCATATATAATATTATTTTATTTATTGTTTACAATTACTGCAGCCATCTACTTCTTAAGTCGAATAATCCGATATCGTTCTGAATAAGAAAACACCGATTACGCTTCACTTCTCACGAACAACTTTGCTAATTTTAGTCGTAATTTGGTTCCTCGCGACAGAAGCATAAATGTTACGGAATTGAAATACAAGGAAGTGACAAGGATCGCGAATCTTTGACTTATCGAAACATACTGAAGAAGAACAGAAAAAATAAAAAATAAGAATTTATGAAAACGAAGAAAGTTCTTTATTACAATATAATTTTGAGTCGATTAATTAAAATGAACATGTTATTGGGAGGATACTAAGACTGTCAGTGTTAGTTGGCGATGTTCTTCCTCTTCGATCGTTTAAAATCCCCCTTGAAAACGTTAACTTCTTGGAAGTTATTCCACGTAAATATCCGTTGTAGATGTCATGAAAGTAAACTTGAAATTGAAATACTTCTCGTCTCGCCTCGCAGAACACGTTCTCAAGCAGAAATGAACTTCGAATGGTACGCGTCTCATACGTATTTTTTATCTAATAACTCGCATTCGAGGAGGCGATTGCACGATTTTCTTTCCAAATTGCCAGATTTAGGACAGGGTTTACCATGACGAGATGGAGGCACCTAAAACGAAGCGAACGTCATGGTCGTTCACGCGTCAACTTGTCTCTCGTCGTCGTTCCTACCTTGACTAGTCTCGTTCTCGTCTGCTCTTTGACGCAGTCTCTACAGATGGACCATTCGGTCCACTCCATCAGGCAATCCGATAGCTCCCCTGATAAAACAGAGAGCGCAATTGAATATTCGTGCATCGAATGATGCGTCGAACGAAATCTCACCGATGACGCATTCTCTGAAGCATTCCTTTCTCTCGTCGAACGAGTTATCGTTACCAGCGCAGCCTCTGTACCGGAAGGGCTCGCACTCGTTTAAATCTTTGTTGTATCCCCATCTGTTGGACGAATCGTCGATCTTCCCAGGGCAGGCCTCGCCCTCCTCGATATCGAGCAGGCATTCGGCTTGAATGGCAAAAAGCTGCCGTTATAGCCGAAGGCAAAAGAAAGACGAGGACTCACGTGGTTTGCCGTGCGGACGAGCGGTCGAAATCTCTCTCCCCGAGGCATAGCGATCCACGATCGGCGCTTCGGTGATGCTTCTGGGGTCGACGCCTTCGCAGACGGCCTTCTCGTAGGTGCAGCCAACGTAGCCGGCGTCCTCCGGGACGTCCTCGCTGACCACGATGAGCTGCAATTCATCGCGCGCGCATTGTACTACGTCAGCGGGCTGCGGCGCGCGGTCTAGGCTTACGTAGAGTTTAGCTCGCAGCCGGTATTTAATTCCCAGGCCGACGGTCACGGAGCACTCTCCCCAATTCTGCCACTTCTCGTACAGGGAGTCGTTGCAATTCTGCGAACACGCGAATCGCCGGTTTGAGGCTGGCCGGGAAGGAGCGACGCGCGCGCGCCTGTCTTACGGGCTCGACGTTGGGACAAGGCGGGTGGCCGCAATCCTTGAACTCGTGCATGTGCCAGTCCGGGTACTGACTCTTGCACTCGGACTGGTAGCTGGAGTCCTTGAAGTTGCGAGTACGGCCGATGGCCTCCTGGCCGCAGGTCGCCGCGCACGGCTGCCAGCCCGACCATTCCGTCAGCTGGCAGCGCTGCTCGTCGATCTTCGCCGGGCTGCAACGCGCAACAGAACGAGCCGTGACGGACGGCCGAGAAGGAGCTCGCCGGCGCCGAAGGGCCATTACCACGCGCCGAGATTCTCGCAGGCCTCCGTCTTGCTGGTTTTGCCGTCGCACAAGCTCGCGTTGACGCCCTCTTTGTAGTCCCTCTTGAAGGTCAGCAGGCCCTCGCCGCACGTGGCGCTGCACTCCTTCTCCCGATACCACTGGCCGAAGCAATCCTCGTCGGTTTTCTCTGCAAAACGTAGCTCTGAGTGGTGCATTGTGCCGGTGCCGCGGAGCGCGGGCTCGCTGCTCGGCTGCGTTGCTTACGTTCCTCGGGCTTCCTCGGGCAAGTGTTGCCGAACGTTCGCATTCGTCTGAAGTGGATGATCGCCATGGGTCTCACCTCGTGGGTGTTGTTGGTCGGGTCCCAGAATGGCGGCCTGAGGCCGCTGCCGGCCGGCGGCACGGGCCAGCTCATGTTCATGCGGTTGATCACGTCGTCCGTATAGGCGTTGTTCTCTTGCTGCGCTCGCGATCGCGGCCGCGTCAGTGGTTGTCTGATGCTCTTCGGAGAGCGACGGCAACTTACCTCGAAGGTGAGGCCGGTCCTCGAGCCGACGTCGTACGCGTACAGGTTCAGCGTTTTGTCCTCCAGCCAAGTGTCGCCCGCGCACAGCTCCAGCGACGACACCCCGATGAACCAGTCGGGCGACGGATCTGCGAAGGAGGAGCGCTGAGCGTCGACCGGCAGATCGCGAGCGTTCGCGCAACGAGGCCCGCTAACTTATTCTAGCGACGAGCGAGACCACGTGGCTCCGCCTGTCGACCTGCAGCTGAGCGCGAGCCTGCGTCTTATTTTTGAAATTCGTCCCGCGTAACTTGATGATCGTGGTGACGTTGTCCATCCTCTCGCCGGACATCGTAGCTTGAGCCTTGAGTTCCAATTCCAAATCGACGGAGTCGCCGGTCTCGGCGAACTTTCTCATGGCTTCGCTCGCTCTCGTGTGGACTTCCCAAATTTTGTAGTCGTGATGGTGCGTCGCGCCGATCACAGTGGGGAAGCCAGCCAACCAGTCTCTAACTGGAAAACTCTCGAGGGCGCGGAAAACGGGAATTAAGTTTGCCAGGCGGTTAGTAGGAGGCGGTCGCTTACTCGAGGATGCGTGTACTTCGACCAGACTCCCTTGAAAGTCATCTCGTATTTGACCCGCTCGCAAGCGCTGCAATTCTTAACGATCTGGCCGGGATCGTCCAACTCGATTCTCGGATCCTCGCACACGGTCAGATTGGCGTTGTGATAGCGGAGCTCGGTTTCCTTCACGTAGGCTATCATCTGGATGCAGCCGCTCTTCGAGGGTGGGCTCTGCCAACCGATCGTGACGTTTGGCTTGTTCGGCGTGGCCAGATTGATGACGCGATTGATGCAGTAGGCTTGCGTATCGAACGTCGTGAATTCCGGCTCCCGTAGGTCCAAAGCTCCGTAGCTTCTGATGCTGTTCACGTTTTCTATTTTGAAGTGGAACTCTTTGAACGACAGAGTGGTGTTTTTCGGGCGTATTATTACTGCAAACGATTCGTGGCTTGCTTTCATTCTCCGTTCATCGAGCTACGATGCGATCGAGTGAAAAGTACGTTGCGCAAACTTACTGTCGTACTGAGTGTCCGGAAAGTACGTGGTCGCCAAACCGTGCACGGTGTTTTTGATCGACAAGTCGATCAAGTACGACGGCTCGATCACTTCGTGGGCATCCGGATAATCTCTGAAAGCGACCCTACAATTGTCGCTGTTGACGCTGATCGCGAGGCAAAGCAGACACGCGCATCTCACTACGTCGGCCTTGCCCATCTTTCGTATGCACTATTTCCTCGCGCACGAGACAATATCCCTTTACCCGATCGTACCGAATCGTCACTTTCTAGCAACGCGCTGGCGATACCATTGTATCTCTGGCCATTTAACGCGATCGCAGAACAACGCGATCGTCTCCAAAATGAAATACAACGGCGCGTGCGGTACGTAAAAATCCCCCCCCCCCTCTCTCCCTCTCTCTCTGGTTAATTTTAGAGTCGGTGCCGCGAGCGGTCGGAGATTTTTTTGTAAAAACTCACGCGTCTGCCCATGTGGCAGGCTTCCGGCTGACTGCTGCCCGCGCGAGCCGCGCCAACGATTGTTAACTCGTCGAGGTCGGGAACGGCCGCAACGCTAAAACTTATTTTTGGAGCTTTTTTCCCTCCCAATGGCCAAGTCGCGTTACGCGCAGCTCCGAGGTCCCGTCTATTCTGGAATTGACACTACGAGATCAGACTTTCGATTGTAAATTCCAGGCGTTCGCGCGGACAGCGCTTTGACGAATCGGCGCTGCTATTTATAATTTACGACTGGCAAGCTCACCCGCGTGCCTCGCGCTCGGTTGTCCGCATAAGCAGTCGCGAAAAATGTTATCCTTCTCCAGTGAGCGCGCCGAAGGGCAGTTGCGCGACCGATGCAAATCATCATCATCATCACAAAGCTGAAGTGAGCGTTTTGCCGGCGAACGAACAAAGAAGAAACTGCGCGCGTTTGTGGGGTTAATCGCAGCACGCAGGGGTGCTCTCGCCGAAGGGCGTGTGTGCGAGCGAACGCGACGTGTCGCAAGGTGCACGCACCATCGAAATTCCGCCAAGAGCAGTCAGAAGAAACATGAGGCTTTTGTCGCTGAGTTAATACGACTCCAGGGTAAAAGCATTCGCGCGATGTCGGCTCCGAGAGCCAAGACCCCAAGCTCCGACAGCTGCAGTGAGTTCAAAGCCTCGAGTTCATCTCGCGAGCGCAACTGACGGAGGCGACTGGTCGCGTTGCAGGCAAGCCCGCGAGTTCCGAGGCGAAGACCGCGCCGAGGAAGAGCGTCGCGGCGCCGCTCGTCAAGAGCAGAATACCGAAGCAGGACAGAAGCTCGGCCCAGTCGGCTGGCCACGTAACCGAGCGCCTCGGACGCGTTACCCTGTCGAATCGTAACGAATCGTGTGCACTAGGAGGTGGCGAGGAACGGAGATGACCCGCCCGCCACGCCGACGTCAAGTAGGCGCGGCGGCGTCGCGTCCAGGAGCCACGACAGCCCGTCGTCGCAGGCTCCGAAGCCCGTGGCCAGGCACTCGCCCTCGGCGGCGGGCTTCGTCGCCACGCCCACGGGCAGCCAGAGGCGCGTGCTCGAGAACCAGTTCTCCACCAAAAAGAGCCGCTACATTACCCTACGACAAGACATCGTCGACAAGCAGGTGAGCTGTCGTCGTGGGAAGCGCCCGGCTCGTCGTCGTCATTCGCACAACGAACGTTCGCCCGCAGAAATCGTCGGAGAAGGCCTTCGAAGAGTTGTTCCAGCTGCGCGAGAAAATCATCGCGTCGGGTGGCCGCGATCCTGGCCGCTTGGAAGAGCTAGTGCCAGCGCCGTCGATCGCGGCCTGCCGGCCGAGAACGACGGCACCCGGGGAGTCGCCGTCGCACGCGGACATGGATCTGATATCGCTGCTGGAGACCAGTCTGCATCGGATGAGCGACGACTTGCTGACGTTCTGCCACGAGGCTCTGGAGAGGCGCGCGAGCGCGCTCGCCTGGCTGGTCGACTTCGACTCGGAGCCGAGCGACGAGATGCCCTCGCCGCTACAGTTGAGTACTCGACCGGGCGTGCGTTTCGGGTCGAGATGACGATCGACGGGCCTTTCTTTACCCTCAGCATGAAAGAGGAGATGGCCGTCCAGTTGGACACGTACAAGGTGGAGAACACGGAGTTCGAGGAGCGGCTGAGCACGGTAAGGCAGGCTCAACTGCGACAGGTCGACGAGCTGATGCAGCGCGTGAGGTGTCTGTGGCACGAGTGTCAAGTCTACAAGAGAGAACGAGAGAGCTCCAAGCCGGCGGACGGTAAGGGCGACGATCCGGCGACGCGTGAAAAGGCGTTGGTCGATCGGCAATTCAGTTGCAGCTGGAAACACGGACGACTTGATGAAGGAGCTGAAACAGGAGAGGGAGAAGTTCATGAAGGCGCGAGCGAAGATACGCGAGCAGGAGAGCGCGCTGAGCGCCTCGGAAACCAAGCTGAAGCAGGCGCAGGACGGCGCGAGGCAGTTGGAGGCGCAATTGAAGCAGAAGGAGACGGCTCTCGAGCAGAAGACTCGCGAGCTGGCGAAGCTTCAGAAGAGCCACGACGCCGCCAAGGCCAAGGTGGAGAAGCACAACGAGGCCCTGGAAGCCAGGTACGAGCGAGCGGCTCGGGTGAGGCGGTGACTCGAAAAGCGGGGGCTCAGCGATCGCTCGCCTGCGACAGAGTCGCCAAGCTGAAAGAGGAGTTTGGGCTGAAGGAGAGCGAAGCGAATAGTACGGTAGCCCAGTACAAGAGGCAGGTGCACGAGCTCGAGAGGGAGTTGGAGAACGAGAGGAAGGCGGCCCGCGAGGTGGCGGACTCGATCGACAAGCTCAAGTCGAGGAACGCCAAATTGGAGGAGAAGTGCAAACAGCTGCTGGAGATGCAGGAGAGGAGCGTCGGCATTCCAGGTTGGGCGGTCGGGGAGGACGGTCGGACAGCATCGCGTATCGATTTGGTTTGGTCCGCAGAGCAAAACACCGAGTACGACATGCAGCTGTTCAACGATCTGAAGAAGACGAAGAGGCTGCTGGCGGAGAAGGAGGAGCTGGTACAGAAGCTGCAGCTCGAGAGAGATGAGATTATGGCCGCTGCGGTAGGAGCGAGCGCGCCATGCATGCGATGCATGTATTGCGTACTTTGACGGCTTGAAGATCGCGCGGCATTTCAGGATCAGGAGAACGACTCGTCGAAGCAGCGACTGACGGCCGACTTGCTGAGGAAGACGAATGAGCTGCAGGCGACGCGCAACCAATTGCTGCAGCTCGAGAAAAATTACCAAAAGACGTGAGTCGCGCGGACGAGCGGCGACGGGCGGGGTAACGATGAGTGAGTCGACGAACGATGCGCAGGCAGCAGAGAGCGGAGCACCTCGAGCTACGGTTGTCCGACATGAGCCGACTGCAGGCTCAGCTGAAGGAGTCGAGCGGCAGGTCGTACGGCGCGCAGGTGCTGCAGCTGCAGCAGCAGCTGGCTGACCTGCGCGGCAGCTTGTCCGAGACGAGCCAGCAGAACGCCGAGCTGGAGAAGACCTGCGCCCAGCTGCAGCTCAAGGTCGACCGCTACGAGCGCTACCTGCGCAACCTCGAAGGCGGCATGCGGGTGAGGAACGAGACGCGCTCGCTGCTGCAGCACAAGGAGCCGGACGCCGAGGACGAAACCCTCGCCGAGCAGGTGATCGATCGACAGCCGCGCTCGAACGAGGCCAGATCGCGACCGCTCGCTTGTCGACCGCAGAGCCACTACAACGCGATCAACGCGATCAACGCGGAGGAGTACCAGCAGCTCTGCTCGATGCTAGAGTCCAAGGAGATGCAGGTGATGAAGCTGGAGAAGCTGGTCAAGCAGATGGAGAAGCAGGACGAGTACTCGCAGACGCAGCGCACGCGGCTGGAGAGCCGCATCGGCGAGCTGGAGTTCGCGCTGAAGGAGGGCAAGCTGAGCCAGCGGTACGTAAGGCAGCGTCCGCAGCCGCAGCCGCCACCGCCGCCACCGCCGCCGCCGCCGCCGATCGTCGACTTGGAGACCTACGAGGCCGCGTCCTACGTGCAACCTTCTCACCGCCACGTGGAGAAAATTTACGCGTGTCGCGAGATCCACCACCGCCACCGAGTCGAACCCTACGACGCGACTAAGAGAGCCGGCTCTTTCCCTATTTACAAGTGGTTCTTGAAGCCCTTCATCCGAGAGCCGCCGACTGTCCTTGCGCCTCGGAGCCGACACTGCGCCGTGAGAAGGTCGACGCGTTACGACTACTGCTCCTCCCATCGGCACTAACTTCTTCCGCACGGGTTTGCCGTCGACGGGGACGTCAGGCCCGCTTTGCTTTTCGTTTGCACATGCAACGGAGGTTCCTTACACGAGTGCCTTATAAGCCCGCCGCGCAGACCTCGCGCACTAACTTTTATCTCTCTCTTACCAAATCACTCATCTCCACCTTTTCTCTTTTGTCTTTTTGTTCTAGGAATAGAGGCTTCAGCTTCCTGTAAGGAACTTCGCGTGCGCGCTCGCCGGAACCGCCCCTCTTTTTTTTTTGCTAGTAGGATCGAAATGTAAAAAAATGGAAAAATTAACCGGTTGTCGACGGAGCATTGGTAGAAGAAAAACTTTGTACGCTCTTATATAGTCAACATATATCTATTAGGTAAATTTATTCTGTATTACAATTTTTATAAATAAAACCATGATTATCCGTTATTAGCATTGTTCGTCATTTATTAATTACTATCCTCTTCACTACCAGAATATGAACCCAGTAGCGAGAGGCTGTTCGGCTTATCACTGGCTTTGTTGTTTGACTCATTTTGTACATTATTGCTAGATTGGTTATTCATATTATTCGACTCGTTTGTACTGCTACTTTGTGTCTTAATAATTACATTAGATGTACTACTAGAAATAGATTTACTTGATGGCTTGATGACTATGCCAAAGCCTTTTTTTTTGTTAGCTAAACTTGTTGAGGATGTTTTTGTGGGTGGCGCTGTTATCCTTTTCACTTTTGGTACCAGTTCAATGTCTTCGCTTTCTTCTATTTCTATAGTTTCTTCCTCTACAACTTTTCCCACTAATTTCCTCTTCTTTTTGAAAATCTCCTGAACTTCTAATTCATCCAATTCTTCTTGTTCTTTTTCTGTCCTTAGTCTAGCTGCTGTTGTATCATACTTTTGTAACATTTGGTCATAATCTATTGTTTGTTGTCTTCTATTTAAATCTTTCAACTCTTCCAACGACTCCAGCAGTTCCAGCTCTTGTTTTGACTGCTGTGTTCTTTTTTCAAGTAATTTCATAGGATTTGTGGCTTCTTCCTCTTTCTCTTCATCTTCTTCCCTTTTAGCTTGTTCCTCAGCTAGCTTTAGTGCCATGAAGTTCCTTGTTGCACCTGCTTCAATCTCGTAGTCTGTGTTTTGTGGGTCAGTTTTAAATGATATTTCTTGTAAACATCTGGTGCATTTTATGTAGAATCGGTATATCCTGATACCAAGATAACTCTGCCCTTCTACATCCTCCTTTCTGGCATTGAACTTTTTACCTTTGTAGATGTACTCTCCACAAGTACTGCATCTCATATTGAATGGAGCCATCAGACGTACTGTGTATTGGCGATTTTTTGGCAATTTTGCTCGTGGAATCTTTGACGGATCGAAATCCGGGGGATAGTATTTCTATAAAACCATAATACAAAGTTAACAACACAGTAAAAAAAATTAGAAACGTGAATCCAAGTTCGTAGTCAATATTATAACCTCTAAATTGAGAAAATTTTACTTACGTTTAATACTTTTCGCTCCGACATTGTGTAAGTTTTTTCTTATCAAAGCACTTACTTTAATATATTTATCTGAATCTGAAAAAAAAACCACGAATGGCTCCTCCTTTGAACGTATTCAAACTTTACTAAAAGTGTAAAATTATGGTATTTACTAATGATTGTAGTAAAAGCTTAGCCAAACATGTTTGTATTGATATTGACAAATAAAGGCATTGCGTGCTGCCATCTGTCGCGAACCCAGAAAACCTCAATAGATCATTTACTTGACCGAACGACAGCAAACAGATACTTATAACAATATTACGAAAGATAAATTAATCATCATTAAACGGATAATGGCTGAAGCGCATGAATGGGCGTAATAGCCAACCAATTTATTTATGGATCATCTGGAACGGTGCCGATGTATCTTTAGATGTCGCGGATGTTCCCTCGCGCGCTTAACTCTACTCCGTTCAGTGCGCGGATGTCAGTGCTCCGAAAAACAGTTCTCTGAGATTCGACTAGGAGTTTGTGGATCTGCGGATCCTGTAATTTTTACACGATACAGCCGCTTTGTTTATACGCTGAAAAATAATCAGCTTGGCTATTAGCTGTAGTGTTTGTGTTTACTCGCCGAGTTCTATAGGCAAATCGAGTACTACGTGACGTTGTCCTAAATATTACGAGTTTTGACTTGACAATAAATTCATTGAGAAAAATATTGCGAGCACGTTGAACAAGTGCAATGCATTTGTTTTCTCGGTGAATCTGAAATTGCGAAACGTCAAAATAAAACGGAAAATTGTATTATGCGCGTTCTCGAAAGATGTGAGGGGGATCGAGCAATAGATCGCAGACTACAAACAGTAAGTAAAGTTTATTTGCGCAGACTTTCTTTTTTGTGTTCTCACCCGAGATTCCGAGAGCCCGAGAGAAATGCATACTTGGATACGTCTCAAAAGTTATTCAGCCGCCTACGTACAATATTCAATGCGTAAATCGCGAATGGTGTTCTCGCGCTGAATGCGTCGATCGCCAAATATATATTTACGGAGATGCTTACTGATGTAAATAGAAACGAGGGGATTTTCGAGGTTACCGTTTATCAAAACAAACTTCTTCATTTTTACGGCTCCATTTGCCGAACAGGCTTGCAAGGTACATCCGGTCGGAAGTTTTGGGACGATCTCTTAACAAATCTCTATTAATTACACATAGGTAACGCACTAACCTTTGTAAAACGATCTTTATTATGCGCGCTAGATTCCGATTGGCGCTAGTTAACGCTATTAATTAGCAAAACCGTAGCGCAGGTCGTATACATCTTGCATAATGTTAAATTCGCATTCTTCACGGAGAGTCGACGCAATTACACTCTTTATTCATTCTCGCGAGCCCGAATGTTTTCGACGCAGCGCTCAATTACCATTGAAAATCCGTTATCAAGACGAGCAATATAGTCATTCGGAACAAAGCAGCACGCAGTCGAGATGAGAGAGAAAAAGAAGGTAGGCTGAAAGATATCAATCACGAGAAATCGCTCTCGTTACGGTGCACCTTGTCCGTATGCACGCGTATCCCGTTGCGCGATGCGTTCGCGGAAATCCGAGAGACGCGCGCATATCAATCTGTCCGCGGCGTGCCGGCTGTTTTTTTTTTTTTTTTTTTTCTTCTTCTTTTCGCAAAGGGTTCGCCTCGCCGAAGCGCGTACGAGAAATTCCGCCGTGGAGACGCAACGGGTGGGGATATAGTAGAGTAGTAGTAGTGGGCTGGCGAGCGAGCGAGCGCGGGGGAGTTTTGGGCGCATGGGATTTCAGTCATACGGCGAGCGCCACGCGGTTCGGACCGAGGATCGCCCGTGTTTTTCGTGCGCGTCGGCGACGTCGAGCCAAGGTGAAAGTGCGGAAAGCGCGTGTGCGCCGGTAAGCGAGAACCAGCTCGACGCCTTTGCGCTCCGAATCGTTTCGCGCGATACGAGTGCGCGCTTCGCGCCTCGCTAAGGAGCCGAGAGAGCAGCGGGGGCATAATTGAGTTTTGGCCGCTCGCCCCTTCGTTTAGATGCATGATGCGATCGATATTACGCGTGTGCAAGGTGCGTGCGAGGAGGTGAACATCTTCGGCGCGAGAGCTAGGCGAGCGACGATCGCGGAAGTGCGATTGTCGTGATTGTCGATCGCTTGTTGCCCAACACCTTGCGAGACGCATCGCTATTTCCAAGCAACTCTCGCATGACGTGTCGCCGATATCAGCGGTAAAACCCCACGATCCTTCCTCTCTTTCTCTCTCTCTCTCTCTCTCTCTCTCTCTCTCTCTCTCTCTCTCTCTCTCTCTCTCTCGTTTATTCTTCGCACGAGCCATTCGCAATTAAACGATTACGCATCGACTTGTGCGGGGCAACACCTGCCACGAGAACGTATTCCTTCGCAATTTTCCTCGCGAGCTTATTATACGAAGTGGGTCGCGAAGGCTAATTTCGTATACTCGAGTTCTCTCTCTCTCTCTTTCTCACGCGGGCGACTTTATCGCTATTCCGCTTTTCTAAACCAAAAGAGCATATGACACGCAGCGAGATCTCGCGTTTCCCCGCGCCACGACGCGCGACGCGCGCGATGTCGAAAGAGTCGGAGGAGAGAAAAAAAACTCGTTCTTTTTACGACAATGAGTGGAAATGGAGAGATATGATGTGTCTGTGTGTTTTAGGTGTAATATTTTTGGAGCGGCATCGTACCGCCGCGACCGATGACTCGAGAGAGAGGTTCTCTTTCTCTCTCTCTTGAAAAATCGTAAATAGAAATAATAGACCGATGGCTTTCTTATTTTAATTTGTGTGGTTCGGTGGAGGAGGGGAGGGGAGGCACGTAAGTGCACGGTGCTTCACACGAGCAGTTTGGTGAAGGCGGTAATGTTTCGGTTCGAGGAAACGATTATTTATGCTCGATGTGACATAGGCCATGCGTTCTTGTTGTCGTCGATGAGAGCGCGGCGCAATAAGTGTTTTCCGAGCGTGACGCCGATGGGGATTCTCATCTCGCGAATACATTTTCCCCGGACGGCGAACGCAGCCGCGCGGTACGGAAAACTCTTACCGCGGCACACACGCGGACGCAGCGATTATCCCATCAGCGAGAAATCGAAAACGAGGAGGTAAGCGCCGGCGCGTGCACACGCACGGTCGGGCGAGCCGATCGGCGTGCGTTACATCGCACACCTGCGCCAGCGCACGTTTGGCGAAATTCGAGTCAAGGCTCCCGGGAGGCCGCTCAACATGGACGTCGAACGATCGAGGACGTCTTGCCTTATTTGGCGCAATAACGAGGGCGCGATCGCTGTTGGTTTTCGGCCGCCGGCGACGAGCCGAACACGGCGACGCGCGGCTGCGCTGCAGCGAGACCGAACGGCGATCAGCCGTCGTCGCGACAAAGGAAGCCGACAGCTCGCCGTAGCGCTCGTCTAACGGCAAGGCTTAACGAGACGCGTGCGATCAAGGCGAGCCGCGCGCGCGCGCGCAGCTAGAGATCGTTACATAAATTCGTTGATTACTATTTTCGGCGCACACTTTCGAGCCTCTCAAGGCTGCTGTAAGAGAGAGCTGTAAATTTATTCGACGATGTCGCGCGAGAAAACTTCCTGCGCTAGAGAAAGAAAGAGTGAGTCATAATAAGCGCGAAGGGAGGTCTTTTTCTTCGTCCTCCTCCTCGATGTGTGCGTTTTTTTTTTTTCCTTTGTCGTTTCTTTTTCGCCGGCGCACGCACTTACGTGCGCCGCATGGGAAACTACAAGTGGGCGGCCGAGCAAACCCATCCTTTCACCTTTTCCGTGCGTTGTGGGCGACTTACGGCGATGCGCCGCCGGCTCTAGTTTCCCATTATTCTGCTTTTAGGCAAATATTGATCGCTCGCGTGTGCTTTGAACTGCCTTTTTATGGAATGTCAATACCGTGGAATCAATTAGTTTTTTGTTTTCTACTTTATTGACACCGCGGCGGTCGATGCTTCGAACATTTCACGCGAAACTCTCGGCGTTGATAAACGCAACAACGAAAAAAAGTCGATTCTCGAACGCTTGACACTTTTTAAGATCGACTGGCTGATGTGCGATTCGCGTCCGTGGCTCTTTCGAAAGGAAAATAAAAAAAAAAGGAGGAATGCACGCGGCAGCGCTTTTCGCCGATGTGATTTGGCCTCCACAGCGAGGAAAAAATAACAAAAATGATCTGCTTCCTGTGTTTCGCAGAAAACGCAAGTCTCACGGCGAGCGTCAGTAAGCAATTGGGATGATCCGCAATGACGCTACCAGTGTCGAACTACGAAGACCTGCTAGACCAGGTGCAGAAGCTCACTCAAGAGACGATTCTCTTGCAGGAGCAACTTTCGGCGGACCTGATTGGCGCGCCGGATGACTCGGCCGACGTTAACCACAACCTCGCGCTCATCCAGAAGAATTACGAGAGAGGTAACCATCGCGCCTTACTCTCGGCGCCGCAGCGATGACATAACCGATCGTCGCGGTCGTGTGGGCGGGTTCCCGCGCTCGTTGATCGATCGCTGTATTGTTCCGTTAATTGTCTCTGTGCGCTTGCAAAACGCATTTCTCCGCGAAGGCAGAGATGAAAATCCAGGTCGCAGCGGCGCCCGGCGTATCTCTACATTGTGCCTTTGCGCGCAAAGCGAGAGAGCGAGCGCCTCGCGGAGAAATGAGCCGCGCGAGTCGGCGCCTCTTTTTTTCCCCTTTTTTACAGACCTCTTTTCCCTTTGCATTTCTGTGTTGCAGGTATCGAGCTGGCCGACAGCGTGCTCGAGCGATGCGAGCAAACGGAGCTCTGCCAGACGAGCCAGGCGTCCTCGTTGTCCGCCCCGAAGTCAGTTTTTCCCGGTCTCCTGCGCTGAATCGCGCGCGGGCCGACAAGCGGATGGCCAAATTCATAACGCCACGTCTTTATTTCAGCATTGCCAGCTTGCCACAGCGAAGATCCGAGGGTTACAGCGTCGGTTTGAAAATCCCACCGGGTGATCCCTACTCGCGTCTCAATGTCTGGCGAAACAAGAACCGACATCTCTTTTCTCAGGTACACCCACACACACACACACATACACACACACACACACACACACATGCGCAGCTACAGATCGCAATTAAAATTCGCCAAGCGACGACTGCAGTGAACTGGAAAAAGCGATGGGCTTTTGTATCGATCGATCGCTATAGCGCGCGCGGTGCAACAACCTCGGTAATGGCAGCAAAAAAAAAAAAAAGAAGAAAAAAAGGCGAGCGCAACAATGCGCGCGTGTAGAGAGCGATCAAGGTCGTGCTACGCCGAGCGTAAAGATCTCAAAGTATCTCTGGCTTCGAGGGAAAAATCAATTGTTGCCCTCGCTTTGAAGTGGCTGCGGCTGAAAAATCAGCGGAAAAATTCATTTGGACGTCGAGCAAAACTAGCCCGGAGGCGAAAGAGAGAGAGAGAGAGAGAGAGAGAGAGAGAGAGAGAGAGAGAGAGAGAGAGAGAGAGAGAGAGAGAGAGAGAGTACGTTTATTGATCAGAGAGCCCTGCCGAGACAGGGCACGTACGCACGCACCCGCCATGGGAAAGCGAAAGTGACGCGAGGGAAAGAGAGAGAGAGAGAGAGAGAGAGAGAGAGAGAGATGAGCTTTCCGGTCCTTTGCACGAATTATTTTTGGCGAGGGTTCCTGTCTCTCTCTCTCTCTCTCTCTCTCTCTCTCTCTCTTTTTAGGAGTTGTCGAACGATAGAATTTTTTTCTTTTACGGCGCTGCGCGCGCGCTCTCGATTATTGAATTACTGCTCAAGCTCGATGATTCGCGGTCGGATCAAGGGTCGCGAAAAGCAAAAGTCAGGGACGCCGAGCTTCCGTCGCGTCGCACGAGCAAATGAAGGCGTTTAGCGCGTGTCCCCTCGGCGGAATTTTTCATCGTCGTCGGGCTCTTGCCACTCGCAGGTGCATATGCGCCCGCGCACGAAATCAAGCCGATGGCCCCGTGCTATTCCCCCCACTCCCCCTCATCCCGGAAAAAAAAAGTCGTTTGCTCTATTCCATCCATTAGCCTGATTTCACTCGGTGTTTTTCTGTTTGCGAGCCGAAATGCCACGCCGACGACGCAGTCCTAATTTTAACCCACGAAAGTACACGTAAAATTGTACTTCCGTTTGTCGCGCGCACTCGTCGCAAAGAAATGCGCGGTCGCGCCCGTTCAATTAGCGCGGCGACAAACAGGTGTCGAAGCTCTCATCTGTCCGTCTGTACGTAACGGTATGTCGCTTACACCGAAACTAAAGACCGGCTAAGGTGCAAAAAACTCTGCGAGCGAGCGCAACGGTATATCGCACTTCCTTCACGGGTCTGATTATCAATCGGCTGACGTTTCGTCGATTGCCGCCACGCACGTGACGATACAGTCTCGAATAATCCGTCATCGTCTTTTTCTGCGCTTTATGCACATCGAAATTACAGCTGTACGAGTGATCGGGCGTCACACGACCAGTTCGCGAACGAGTTTGCATTAGCATAACGAGGCGAAACGTGCGAAATACCGACGGAGTGCGCGTGAAAAAAGAGCGCGTCGACCGATAGACGGCAAAACCTCGGCCGAAGATCACGTGCGCGCGCAAAAGAAGATTGCAGTTTGTTTGCTCGCAAAGCACCGCAAAGCTACGGGCAAATTTGATCGGCGCGTCGGTGAACTGCGTGCGCAGCGACAAGAGGAATAAGAAGAAGAAAGCGCACGGAGAATGAGTCACGAGCTCGCACAGCTGCACCGACTCTCTGAGTCAGCCAGCAACCTTAAGCCAGTTCAGCTTAGTCTTCGGCTCGGTCTTCGAGGGCAGGCGAGAAAGAGCGATAACGGCGGGAGAGTCAACAGCGCGGCTCGTTATCAAGCCGTCCGGAGCACATGCCCGCGAGGGGAAGGGACGAGAGGCACCGAGGCGGAAGCGTTTCGTGCAAAAATTACGCCCGGCCCCGAGCGCGCGTGGGAGACGGAAGTGCGCAAGCCCCCGTCTCGTCCGCTCGCAGCGCGTTTTGAAAAAGCGAGCGGTCCGCGCGCGTCTGGCCTACGCAGGCGCCGGAGCGCGCGGCCGCTGCACCAAACGCGAGGCTATTTTCGGATATGGCGAATATCTGCCCGGCAGTCGCGCGCGCAAAGCACTTTCCAGTCTCGCGCCTCCGTCAAATTTTTCGCCGACGCCAATCAGAGCTGCGGCGAGCGGTTAGGGGCAGCCTCGGTGCGTTCGGATTTCGCTTTATCCGAGTTGGTCGGCGCCAGCTGTAATCCCGCCGCGGAGGGTGCGCAGAGGGAGAAAGAGAGACGCCGTGCTCGGAGGGAGGGGGTGCTGGAAAATCTTTGCTTCGACGCCTGCGCAACTCTCTTCTCTCGCGCAGGCGAGGCACCGTCTGCGACAGAAAAGGAAGAGAAAAGAAGAAGCTACGTCTACGTCCTCCGCACGGCCTACGCGTTCTTCTCTCTCGCCTGCTTCCTGCAGTTCTCTTGCGCAGCAGCAGCATCAGCAGCGGCGGCGGCGGCGGTGCCGACGACGACGAGTACGACGACGAATACGACGACGACAAAAGCTAGCCGCGCCACGCTTCAGTGCTCGACGAGATGCTGGACGACGAGGAAGAGCATCATCGCTGCTGCCAGTACCGAAGCTAAAGTGCGCGCTTGCGAGTGATATCGACGTACGCGAGGAGCGCGAGAAAAATGCCAGGAGGCGGGGTAGGCAGTTGCACGATGATACCCGTGATGAGACGCACCACCCTCGACAGCAAAGTGGCCAAGACCGAGAAGAACAGGTTGCAGCTGATCATGCAGCGGCAGGACAGTAGTTGCGAGCTGCGGCTGCGACATGGCGACGAGGACGACGAGCAAGACAAGGAGAGGAGGATCGATTTGGAACTGATCTGCAAGGAGGACAGAAGGAATGAGCAGGCCAAGAGGAGGACTAGCGTGCCGCGGTGCAGGGACAAGGTATAATTTCCATCTGCACGCGAGTGTCGCACGGAAACGATCGAGTGAGCGATCAAGGCCGGCCAGACAAGTGCGCCACGTACATCGTCGAGCAACAAGGAACAGTGCGTCGATCGGCCGTCGAGGAGGCGAGCCGACGGACGCCAAGCGCGATAGCCGAGGCGGACGCTGAAACAGTGTCGCCGCCGCATCAAAGTCAATAAGTCGTTCTCGCTGGCTATCGTATAGCGGGGCGCGCGCTCCTCTTCCTGCTTGGCATCGAGACTCTCTCTCTCTCTCTCTCTTATGCAATGCTGTAACGAGGCGACGCTCCGTATGCATATATACATGTAGATATGCGTCGTAACGGGGCGCCTATCCAAGCCGACTCTCGAAATGCAACCAATCTCATTGTGCACGCGCCTCGGGGAAAAAAGTGGAAACATTTGATAACGGAGCTCGCGGGAGAAAGTCGCGCGACTGTGCGCGAGTATTATTTACCGCTAGGCGAGCTTCATTGGCGACAAAAGCAATCGATCAAGAAAGCTGACTGATGAGCATCTATCGCACGCGCGAAACGAGAAACGCCCGACGGGCGCATGCGCTTCCTCTCTCGCGCGAGAGAAAGTTGCATGCAAAAATCGGGAGGATTAATAGGCGCGCACCTTCGTTATGCGATATCAGATGGATGCGTGAGCCACTCGGTAATCCATTGCACGCGCAATTGGCTCTCCCTCCTTCCTCGCCCCTTGTGTGCGATTATTAGTAGCCCTCGTATCCCGCAATAACGCATCTGCCCGATACGCTACCCTACGGGATACGCGCTCGCGTGTTACGATGCACGTGCGTGCACGCGCCACTTTTTATCACTATTCGGAGGATGCACGCGCGATGCGTTGCACTGGCCGGCGACCACGTCAATTTTCCACGCTATTCGTTCGATGTGCTTTTCAATCGAATGATTTATTCACTGTTTTCGAATTGATCTACCTCGTTGCCAGAATGATCAGTCAATCTTTAATTGCTTTTACAGGATCAGCAGTCTGGCAGTCCGAGTCATCAAGACGCATGGGAACGACGACGTCCCTTGTCATTACACGGCCCACGAGAAGAATTACTCTTCGGTCCTGGTGCATCGTGGGCAAGTCACAATCCACCTCCAAGTCTATCAGACTCGTGCCTCGGACCACCTCCGGCGAGCTCCTCTTCGCTTCAGTCGCTCCACCGTCCTTCCGCCGAACAAACCGAGCAGATTCCTTCGCTGCTCAGGCCTACGTCTTCCGGCATCTCCACGCCTGATGTGAGTTACTTTCTTTATTTTTACTTACTTCAGAGAAAAAATACACTCCTTTGAGTTGAGAAAGCGCGCGGATCGACATATATAATTTCTTTTTTTTTTTCTTGTGTGTCACGCTCGGCTAACGCGAACTATAAAATTCTTAACTTTATAGCTAAAACATATGGCGCCAGCCGGTTAATTACGAGGCTGTAATAAACAGTAATTGGAAATCAGCCGCTTCTGAAAAAAAAAGAATGTTTTCACTTTGAACAGTTGCGTCGGATGCTTGTCTTTTCAAGCGTGTATAAAATTATTGACCTTGCATGAATATTTATATTTTTTTGTCCTTCATTCATTAAGAAGCAATTTTTATTTGACCATGTAAAAGTCAATTATAATATTATCATAATGCGATATCAGAACATCAAAATATGAACGTAAATGACAACGAAAAAACAACAAAACGAGCTTTTTCCGAGAAGAGGGTGCCATACCTAATGATCGTATTGATTTAGCACACGGAGGGAGGGAGACAGACAGACAGACAGACAGACAGACAGAGACAGCAAAATAAAAGCAGTATATGTAGCAAGCAAGAGTGTCTATCCCTTATATTTTCAGTGCCCCACTTCATGTGTAGGTCTGTATGATTGAATTCTCGATTTTTCGGCATCCCTTCGCGTATCCTATCTTAAATCGCCGGTTTGACCTTTTCTCTGATCTTCCCGTGTTTATGTGCGTGCGCGTGTCATTGGCTACGAATGCGTCGTGCTAGTGCGTGTCTTTCAGCAGTTTATACATATACATACAACCATCCCCTTCGACGTTGACGCACCTCTCTCTCTCTCTCTTTCTCTCTCTCTCGCCTCTTGGTTGATGCAGTGTAGTGTAATCTTCGCTAGATTGTGCAGTGTACTTATAGGTTATAAGGGCGTCAAGGGACAACTCTCGACGAATGAGTCAGACTTGCGGCTTTGTTACTCACGTACATTGTGCCAACCTTTTATATACTGTTTATTTTTCTCCTCTCTCGATTTTTCTTTCATTTTCTTTTACTTGGTTGGTCTATGCATTTTATTTTCGCTGTTGAGTTTTTTCACTTCCATTGATTGACTACAGCTTTCATGAAATTCGCTGCTTTGTAATTAAAGTGCAGTAAATTTCTCGAAGTATTCTAGTAATGTACTTAAATTCAATTTTGTTTGTATTAGAATAGTTTTTCATATTTCATAAAACTTCATCTTGTTAATTATTCGAATGCATACACTGTGAATGTCAGTTTACAATAAATACAAATTCATAACGTAATTGGATTTTCACACAGGCATCACTACATGATTACTATATCAGAATTTATTTTTTTATTTTACAGTCATATGCCAAAAGCACTCATAGCTATGAGCTCGATGAAAGCAGCACTGAAGATGATAGTCGTCCAAGTTCTTCCTTGCAAGCCCAAAGGCTGCCAAAGCCACCTAATGTTTGGCCAGTAAAAAGAGATTCATGGGGTTCAACTCAATCTGTAGAGCTACCTGCTCCACAAATTGGATCTGTAACGCAGAAGGTAAGATCAATACTATTGTTTAATTTCATTTCCATTAATTCTAAAAATAAAATTTCAATGAATTTGAAGAATTGTTAAATTCAAATATTTTATGAGTGTTTCGTTTCCAACTTATATCCTAATAATCGACAGGACTTACCAAATGCCATGAGCATGTCTTCAACAGCTGGAATGAATATCTCATCTAGCATACAGGGTCAGCGACGCTTGGGTGCTAAAATGGATGTGGTTTACAGTTTACTGAGCATGCTGGGTAGTACAGAGGGTCGAGATGACATGAGTGCCACTCTGCTGTCAATGAGTAACTCAGTTGACAGCTGCTTAGTCATGAGGCAGTCAGGTTGCCTGCCACTTCTTATTCAATTAATTCATGCACCAGGCCAAGACCCCGAAACTCGGGAACGAGCCTCCAGGGCACTATACAACATCGTCCATGCGAGGGGAGATGAGAAATCAAGCAGACGTGAGGCACGAGTTTTGAGGCTACTGGAACAAATCAGAGATTACTGTCAGATGCTAAGGAATTCATTGGAGACTATGCCGCTTACCGACGACGAGACTGATAGGCATCCAGGAGCAACGATTGCCGCTTTGATGAAACTCTCCTTTGATGAGTCTCATCGACATGCTATGTGTCTCCTGGGTGGATTGCACGCTGTAGCCGAGCTCATTGAAATGGATCATATAGCTCACGGAAGCGAATGTGAAGATCCAAATTGCATTACGCTTAGGCGCTACGGCGGGATGGCATTGACGAATTTGACCTTCGGGGATAGTAATAATAAGGCGCTCTTGTGTTCGTTCCGCCAGTTTATGAAAGCATTGGTAAATATAAATCTATTTAGAAGCTTCTAATACTTAGATCAAAACATTTACTCGTGAATATTTCTGCTAATAGGTTTCTCAGCTTCGAAGTTCAAGCGATGACTTGAGGCAAGTCACCGCAAGTGTTCTACGTAATCTTTCATGGAGAGCAGATAGCAGTAGCAAGCAAACTCTTCGTGAAGTGGCTGCCGTGGCGGGCCTAATGAAAGCTGCAATGGAAGGTCGCAAAGAGTCCACCCTCAAGTCCATACTCTCTGCTCTATGGAATCTTTCGGCTCACTGCACCACTAACAAAATGGACATCTGCGCCGTCGAAGGCTCGTTAGCTTTTCTAGTCGATATGCTAAGTTACAACGCACCTTCTAAGACTCTTGCAATCGTCGAGAATGCTGGTGGTATTCTTAGGAACATATCCAGTCATATCGCTGTTAGAGATGATTACAGGGCTATTGTCCGCGAGCGTGGCTGTTTGCAGGTGCTTATTTTAAAAAGTATACTTTCATTTTAGCACTTTATAAGTTTTATAAAATCACGTCTTTGTTCTTAGGTGTTACTTCGACAGTTGAGATCGCCAAGCTTGACAGTTGTGAGCAATGCCTGTGGAGCACTCTGGAACTTGTCTGCACGTTGTCCTCAAGATCAAAAGCTGCTTTGGGATCTTGGCGCAGTGCCCATGCTTCGAAGTCTTATCCACTCCAAACATAAGATGATTGCAATGGGCTCGAGTGCAGCTTTGAAGAATCTTCTCAGTGCACGTCCGAACGGAACTAATATTGTACATCTGGACTCCACTGCCAGAGGATTAGGTTTGCCAAGTTTGCCTAGTCTGATGGCTCGAAAGTAATTGAATTTTTACTTGAACCTATTCGACTCAAAAAGTATGGCAAAAAATTTGTTATTTTTTGTTTCATATAGACAAAAAGCTCTTGAGCAGGAAATCGATCATAACTTAGCAGAAACTTGTGACAACATCGAACCAAGTAATTCTCCGGTGAATAAAGAGGACAAGTTTACTTTTCGGCTTGAACAGACTCTGCTCGATACTCCAATCAGAAGCGGAAAATCGCTTCATCAACCAGCTGTCTATTCAACTTATGCGAATCAACCAGGAACTTCTGGAATAAAAACTGGATTTGCTCGTAGCGATAGCAGAGAGTCCATGCGTTCGGTTACCAGCACACAATCGGACACGATTTTCGAAAAAGTAAATCGACATGCTTCTAATGGAGTTTCGTCTTTGGATTTGCAATCGACTTCAGTCCACTCGCCGAGTAATTATGATTCCTCAAAATCGAGCAATGGACGTTCAAAAGGTACAGTTAATGATCTTAAATCGTATTAATGTGGCAAAGTCGAGTAACGATTGATTTTATTGTTTCAGCTTTATCAGAAAAAAAGTATACTTTGCGTTATATGAATGCAATTCCAGAACGTTTGAAGCCGGGCGATCCTCTCCCAGATTTACGAGGCTTGAAATACACCGATTCAACCATATCGTGGGCCACAGCGCCAAACCAAGATATTACCTGTCCAAAAGGTCTACTCCATTCATCAGTTGATGATAACTTTTCGATAACAAACTCGGGCTCGTCAAAAAACATAACACCGGAGTCAAGCACTTACAATTTGTTAGGAGCAAGGGCAAAGTCAACAATTGTTACTCATAGTAACATTCCCCAGAAGAACATGAAAGTTACATCTCCTTTAGCAGATTCTTCAAAAGTCTTTGCCGAAATAGCATTGAATCAGCAAACAGACTGTAGTCTGAAATATGCTTCGGATGATGATAAGCAAAGCTCTGCTTACTACACTGGCACTGATCCCGATACTGGCAAGACTTATTGCGCCGAGAGTACACCTTATCAGAGTTCGTTGAACTCATCTCGAGCTTCATCTATCTCTGATGCTCACGAGGACGGCAAGGTCAAGATGAATTTCAGAAAACTCCGTGAACCTCAGAAGTTCTCTTATGCCTCAAAACTTCCAACTGCTGACGCTCTTATTGGACAAAATCTTAAAGATGAATCTCATAAAGTCTCGCGAAATGACTCTTTACGCTCTAATACGACTTCTAATTCTGGTAAAAAAAAATTCGACGATAGTACGACTCATATTCATTGATTAACAAGTAACCGATTATTTATTTATTTTTTTTTTATTACAGAGAAAACACTGAACGCTGATGAATACAAATCACTAGAAAGCGACAGTGCTATTTTTGAAGGAGAACGTAGACAGGGAGAAAATTCAGACGTACCTAGTTTTAGTTCTCTTGGGAATGAACTCGAAGAAGATTTGCAAGTTGATAATACTCTAGTGCGATACAAAACTAATGCAAGCTTGAACAACATTGACATTCAAGATGCAAATGATGACGCATCAGACCAAGTAAGTTTTTTCTTGTTAGACTTTAAAATCTTAATTTTGTTGATAATTTTATTTATTTAACTATAGACAAGTCCATTGGCTTCGCTAGAAAACTATGGCCAGCAGCACTTGCAAGATGACGAAGACTTTAGCGAAATGACACACACCATAGATGACTACTACACGGTACAAGACACTTATACTGTCGGCAAAAATGTCGATAAAAATCCTCAGAGTCCGTGTGACGACGACTGCACAATATCAACGATGACCTTTACGTCAATCGATGACAAAGATACTCGTTCCAACTGCTTGAAGAGCGGGATCGAGACCAGCGAGACTCTCACAGAGAACATGCATACTGCAGTTACATCTAACTCGGAGAGTTGTGAATCATTCGACTCGATTGAAAGATCAGAGCATCACCTCCTTGAACTATGCATTCAGTCTGGAGTTTCAAATCCAGAAGCGCTTTTATCCACTGGATCAAGGGTTGCATCTAAATCTCGTACCACAGCAGATGTAACTGATAACTCGACAGACACAATGGTTACTGCAAAAGATAGTAAGACTGTGTCTCAACAAGAAGAAGTTACTGGTAAAAAGGAGGAGGAATATCGAAGACAGCGAGATCCTGACGCGATGATAGCTTCTCTCGATCGGCTTACAGCTGCATTAGTGCAACAAACAGAAGCAATGCGAGAGCGTGAATTCAGCGCAATGAAGTCTAGTCTCCCAAGTGATCAGAATACCTGGAACGAAGACTCACCAAATGATTTTTCGTTTCCAAGTATCAGCATGAGTGCACCTCTGGTCGCCTCCTTCAAGAGCGATGTTGATCAAATTACCGACGAAGGTAGTTTAGGAAACAGCATGACCGAATCAAGGATCATCGAGATGGAAGCTAACAAACTTGCAGCTGCTGTTAGTGCTGATGTTAATCAAGTTAGTCTTACGCATCTTGATCTCGACGCCATTAATCCGCCCTCGAACATGGGCAGTCTCGTATCGCTCACTACAAGCATTGGTGGCACCACTGACATCGTAGATATTTCAGGAGGTAAGTCCTTCGATAATTCAAAATTTAGTATTAATTTTGACAAAGTCTAAAAATTAATTACTTTTTATAGATAAGAGCCGGTGCAATTCAAACTCGCTGCCGCCAATGTACTCATCAGGTGGCAGAAAGAAATCGTTGCCAATGTCTGGCGTTGTTGCGCGACGAGCTCTGAATCATGGCCAAAATTGTACCGGTAGTTTGGAGAATTTGCTAAACGAGTACGCCAACGCAAACAATTCACAGCTAGAAAATGTCAAGCCACCATCGGTTATGGACGAGTTGTTAGATGTAGCTGACATGGAGAATAGTATGCTGAGTGTTGCTAGTATAACTTCGGAAATTGCTGACTGCAAGGAGAACGATTCTAATAGTTTAACCGGAAGTGATACAGTCTTCGATTTTATCAAACCTGTTGCCAATGTATTGTCTATGACGTGTTTGCGGTGAGACATACTTCGCTTTATTATATTTATGTTAAATTTGATTCGTAGAGAAATATTCAAATATTTTCTTTTAATTTAGTAACATTGAGACAATGGAAGGAAGTGCCAACAATAGCTTAAGTGAATGTCTCGATAATATTAATCCACCGTCTCTCTTCAATGAAATTAGCCGAATCGAAAATTCGACCTTGGAGACAAATACTCATTGCAGTGAAACTCTCTGCGCTGATGCGGACGTTTACAGTGAAGACGCGACGCATTGTGTGTTTGACGAGCGCATTGAGGAAATAGCTAATGATACCGACGATGGGGTTACTCCACTTTCCAGCGAATATAATAGTTCCATGGAGTCTACTCCCAAAAAGCGGCTTTCTAAAAATCTTCCCGGTAAAACACATCCAAAATACATTTTTTATTGAAACAATCATCTTATTTGTTCACACTTGTAATTTATTGATTATAGGTCATTTGACACCAAAACAAAAGCGACAACTAACCAAGGAAAGGTACAAAACATACACTATTGCGGCGGAACGTATCAGAAAGGAGCAACAAGAATTTAAAAAGCAAGAACAAGCCAATGAAGAAGCTGTTAAAAATTTAGGTGGCAAATGTTCTCCATTTACAAAGCGTACTCCCAAGCAGCGTCGTCAAGAAGATAGAGCAAGATTCCAAACGCAAGTGCTTGATTCACCAACTATTAATACGCCAACATTAACAAACGACGCTACAATTGAGAATGAGAATACTAAAGTAAAAAGTACCGAAAAAAGTGGCATTCCTTCCCTCGTAAAAACTGGTATACCCATGTTTAGGAAATTAAATGGAACTAACACTTACAAAATCAATCGAAGCACCAGTCCAGGAAATGCAAATGCAAATGGTGAATCAGACGTAATAACAGTCGCACAGAGTGTAAATGAAAAAAATGTTAATATTTTTGTAAAAGCCAAATTCGAGGGCGAGTGTATGAGCTTGCCGATTATGGAACCGACGAGCTTGATAAATGGAGTATCGAAAAAGCTTTCAAATCAAACTCTTCCGCAAGGTGTAGAAGCTAAGCATCAAGAATTCTTTGCCCAGGATAAAAATGAGTTGGAAGAGTCGCACTCGGAAAGTGATAATGATTCCGACAAAGAAGACGCTAATCAAGTTAAGGGTCGCCCTCGAATCGTAAAACCAGGAACTCTATCAAGAGACTTAAGTGTGGAGTCTAACGGTTCTATCGCGGAAAAATCAGAGCCAGAAGCACCCAAGGGAATACGCGGTCGAAGAAAACCTTTATACTCCACGCCAAATACAAGGAAGTCAACGCCTCAATCGTCTCCTCTGAAACAATCAACGGCAATTGTGCAAATTCCTATCAGTCGTAGTAACACATCACCTATTGTTCGAGCCACGAGAACATTGCAATTGAGGCAAGTCAATAGTTTCCAAAAGTCCAATAGCACTCCGAAAATGAGTGCAAATGCCGTGCAACAACTTACCACTACGACTCCAACACAAGCTAAACGCAGCTCTATACCACAAAAAGGGTACTCCATGACGTTTACCAAGGCGACAAAGAGATTGAGTATACCCGTGACCGCAGAAAAAGTCGAAAGTTCAGTCAAACCTCTGGAGAGACAAGGCACTTTTACTAAAGACGAACCTGAAATGGATAACACACATATGGTTTTACCCATGTCACCGTGTAATTCCAAGCTGATTAGGCCTAGTAGTGGAGGTAAATCAATTTTGTTTTACTAATTTTTAATTTTCTTTTTTTTTTTTGTTTTTTTTTTCGAAAACAATAGATTGTCAAAAAAAATTTGTTATTTTTATTCAATCTAAGCAATTTATAAATAAATATTTCCATGAACAATTACTTACAGTCTTCAAACTGTCACCAAAAACAACTCCTATCCAGACCAAATCAAAAATTTCGATGCGAACGCCACAAAAACCAACCACCCCAAAGCTCACAAAAACAACAAGCGTTGAAAAAATCGCTACACCAACAGGTATCCCAAGTATAGCTAAACGTTCGTCGACGAATCTTGGCAATACCGGGGTGGTAAAGTCCTCGTCTAACTATCAAATAGTGAATCTGCCAAATGAAAGTGGCATCCCACGGAAAGTTTCGCTAGGTCCACGTTCAAACAGCAATTCCAGCATTGTGTCCAATTCATCCAATCAGGGAACGCGCAAAATGGTCAAAGAGACTACCAGCAGGATTGCCAGCTTATGGAAAAAAGTAGAGGAGAAGAAAAAAAAACAGGGATATGAGAGACCTGACACTAGGCAATGGATCACGCATAGTCGTGATTCCACTGAAGTTGATACCAATGGTGATGAAGCTTGCAAGCTGTACAGGAGTTCCACTTTTGAAGGAATTACTAATGACTCGGCCAACTCGCGTTAGGACTCAGGCTCAACTTCTGGGAAAAAATCACGAAAGCATGAAACTAATATTAGTAGAAAATCTAATTGAGGAAAGTTAACTAGTTTGTTATTCGCCTTTGAATATATTTTTTAGAGCTTTTAGTTTAGAGAAAAGCTAAAAATTTATGACGATGTCTGAATTTGCACTTTAATAATTTGTGAATCAATGATAGCATAAAAAATTTAAACATATATAAAAAATAATTGTCCACTTTTAAATGCCGTTCTATCAATGGTCATTGAATGTAATCCGATTGATGTTAAACTTTTCAAAATGAGATTTTCTTACTATGAGAAAGATCATTAAACAGGAGGATCTAATACTATTGTTCTTTTTTATAATTTCAAAAAATATGTTCTATGAGAAATTATATTTAAGATTTGAGATCGATTGTTATTTAGTTACATTTTATTATTTAACAAAACTTATTAATACGTATGTAATTACATTCAAATTAATTTACGGTTCTGATTTATAAATTTTGGATAAAATTAAATTTCTATATTCATATTTGATTTTTCTATTTATGCAATTCAACTATTACATGTTCAGCAAATTCACTATTCCAAGATTATAGATTTTATTAAGATATTGAATGTAAAAAAATAATACAGAATAATTATATTAAGCTGCATAAATACAAAGCATATAGTTTCTAAAGACCTTGAAATATATTTTTACCGATTGAATGTAATAAAAGTGATAATCTACTTCATTCAGCTTCGAAGTACAGATCCAAATCATTTAAAATAAAACTAAAATCCGTAACATGACATCTTAAAATTTTCACATGCTTAAAATGTATATAAGCAACGCATGAAGTGAATTCCCTAAGGTTGAGTCGATCTTTTGCATTTGAAAGCAAATAAATTATCGACTGTTTATCGATTCTGTATATAAAATCTATACAAAATGTGTAGAGAAAAAGTTTAGTTATCAATTGCATCTTAAGCTTGCAATCATTGTACATCCAAAAATCGACTAGAGCAGAAAAGAACTCTTACAATTTATAATGAATATCGACACGTAGTATTTTTTGTTTTCAAGTTAGCTTTATTTCTTTTCAAGCATCGTACCTTGCAAAAGCAACGAGTCTTCAGTATCTAATTTTTGCTTTCAAAGACTGATAAGGACATATTCTAGTTAATGATATAAAGCTGTCTAAAATCTAGTTTCTTTTTTATGACAGTTTTCAGTAATGTAAACTAATTAAACGCGTGACTTAACTAATTAGCATCTGAAAATGACTAGATTCATTTAATCAATCAAAGCATATATTACAGTAAGAAATTTTGTCTCTAGTCTATATTACATTTTCAGTTAAATATACCATGAATCAAAGCAAAAGTTGTTAGTTTCTTGTCAATGTTGCAAATGACAAATGAATCAGAAATTACTTATATGTTTATTTACTATTTCATCTTTTTTAATTTATGATCAAAACAATTACGTAGATCTGTGATGTTATTGTTATGTATATATTTACCGTATTGTTGAATTATTTGGTAATCACAATTTCCCGCTCAAATAAGTATCTCGTTCATCTCGAAAAAAATTTCTTGGAAAAGAAAGTTCTTTGAATCAGCGAGGTAGAATTACCATTTACATGTTTAGTTTATTTATTTATACTATTACTTTGAACGTTGTTCCAACGTATTTTGAAGTTCCCTGCATCCAGTTCGAATTAACTAGTGTTAATTCGCATAACTAGGAATAAATTCAGGGTATATACTTTGTACATTGATTTGTCAACAAATATCGTCAAAAAATACAGACTCTCGATGAAAACATTTTCTGTATAGTCATTTTGTAATAACTTTTATCTTTCCCCAATCGCCTTTAGCCTGTAAGCATAATATTTTGTCAGTAAACATTTAAGTTTGATCAATACTTTTGAAATTTGTATATTATCGTTTAAAATATAATAAAATTTGTAGCTATAATGATTATTGTGTATTAATTCTTTTATTTGTTTGCTATGAGAAAATAATATGATAATTTAGAATAAGTAGGATTTGTAAAAGTAGTTTTGTTTAGAACAGTAGATTATAATTAATTTTGTTACCAAAAAAATTTTTATTTTGCTCATATAAATGTACAGTATATACAAATTCAACATTATTCTGGGTGTTCATACAAGTTTACAGCTTTGTCTTCAGCTACAGAAACAAGCAGATTATTTTTAGTTGGATGATATTTTACACCCCAAACCTGAAACATAAAAACAGCAACAAAAATTATTAATTGATAAAATTTTAAGATTTTAAAAAAATATTACTTGGTCATTATGTTCTCGGAATGTGTGCAAGCATTGTCGCTGAGCCAGTTCCCAAATTTTGACAGTATGATCAGAACTGCTTGATGCAAACTTCTTACCATCAGGTGCAAATGATACTCCCAATACCCAAGAAGCATGTCCTGACATAGTTCCAGCAACTTTGGTGTCTTTTCTATAAACAATTATAAAAATTATTGATTCAATACTGAATTTAAAATTTTATTGTGATTTATTTCACTTACATATCATATAGTTTCATGTGACTATCATCACTGGCAGTAAGTAAAAGCTGTGAGTCTGGTGAAAAACATAGAGAACGAATTGGCATAGCATGTCCTATAAGGGGAAAAGTGAAATGATATCAATCTAAAAATTATATAAACTTTTTCAATTATAAAATACTCACCTTCTAAGGTCTGGAACACTTTGCCACATGCAACATCAAAAATATTAATGATTCCATCAATAGCACCACTTGCTATATACTTTCCATCTGGGCTCTGAAAAATAACTTTAATTACTTTCAATCTTGAATAATTTATACTAAAACTATCTTACATAAGCAATGCTAAGATTGAATTTTCCTCCTCTTGTATCCAGAACTTGTTCCTGTTTTCCATCTTCTGCATTGTACAAATGTATTTTGCCAGCATGACTACCAGAAACAATATACTTATCATCTGAAGAGAAGCATACTGTCCATATGTCCACAGGTCCTACTTCGATACCAAAACTTTTTTCACCAGATTCCAAATCCCATACTCTCAAACTTGAATCCAAGGAACTGGATGCACATTCTATGGAAAAAATTTATTGGAGGTAAAATGTTAATTCGTTTCACATTTCTATAACTATTTAACAATTTGAATAGTTAAAATTGCAAAAGTTATTAAATAATATTTAATTCATAATTTGTTACTTGTTCCATCTGAATTAACAGCAACTGATACAACTCCTAATGAATGTCCAGTAAGTTTATGTTTGAGTTTTAAATTTCCATCCTTATGTTCCCATACTTTTACACTATCATCTACTGAGCCAGTTATCACATAGTTATTTGTGTCATCTAGATTTGATTTTATAGAATCTCTGAAAAGTCAGTTTTCAATTAAAAAAACAATCATAATTCAGATATGAAGCTAATTTTACCTGGAGTCTTCATTGTCCACTTGCATAGTATCCTTCTTCTTTTTTGGACAACCCCAAGCACAAGTCCAAATACTGTCCTCATGTGCATTTTCGGTTTTGTGTATCAAGGAAAACTAAAAATATTGCAATAAAGTTGATTACTTACAAAAGAAAATTGCCGGTAAAATTTCAGTAATACATCTAGTTTTATTTCAAATAAATTTCTAAAAAAAGCCGTTTCTTATACCATAATTTTTCACTACTTTTATTGATAAATGTTACGTTCTAAGAAAATCTCTTCGCTCAAACTAACATATCACAAAGATCACAAAAACTTGCAAGCAACACTTCTCAAAAATTATGTTTATAACGCATAATGCACTGCAATCTTAACCTCAATAAGCAGACGATTCTTTCGCGCATGCGTCAAGTTCATAGAGACATGTATACAGGGAAGCACAATGTATAACGAGAAAGAACATCGCCTATTGTTTATGAGTGTATAAAGTTGGCAAAGACAGGTTTTTTAATTCGAGAATTAAATGGAATCTAAATTAAAAAAAAATTTTTAATTTAGATTCCAAAAAGCTACAGTTGCAGTCCTAGCACTGTTATTTTCATTAATTACTTATTATAAATACTGCAAAAAACCTTCAAAAGCGGTCACTTTTAACATTTCGAATATTTGTTGCAAAAATATCTTTTTTTAATTGTAATACAAATTGAAAGACAGCTTTTGTGATTTTAAAAAAATTATACCTTACACGATGGAATCTGTTAATTAGTTACCGAGATTTTCTTATTAGTTTAAAGTAAAAGACGTCCAAAGTATGGAACTGTAATTTTTTTAGTTGAAAGTATTGAGTTACAAAACGACTCAATCTCATTGTCAAAACGTCAATTTTGATATTTATTACGGGTGTGTGAAAAAATTGATTTTTTAACTGTGGCGTTTATATACTTTATAAAAAATATCTAACTTGAAAATTCGGATAGCTAAATTCGCAACGAAAATTTTGAAAAAAAAATTTATTTATGATTATGGGAACCAAGTTAGTGTTTTTTATAAATCGTAGTCCTTAAAGTTGGAAGATATATGTTGCGGCATGGAATAGTAAAAAAGTAATATTTTTTAATACATTGTTACGTTTAAAAAAATTTTGCTCTTGTTAGATGATTATAGAGGAGGATGAAACTCTGAGATCACAAAAGCTGAAAACCGGTTGCAGCAGTGGGGAGGATCTCTTTCTTGCGCGCGTTCGAATGAAGTCATGCACTCGGAAAAATTTAACGTATCTCAGCAATTATTGCACCAATTTTTATTATCCTTTTTTAATCTAGGGTAGCTTCAGGAATTAAAAATAATTATGCCTTTGTCGTCAATGAATGCAGACTTAAACGTTTAATAACAATTATTTAATTAAAATAAACGCATACGTATGAGAAATAATGAGGATAAACATTGTACGTAAAATTATATTCATTATTAAAATTTCATATTTTTATGTATAATCATATTTATCTATTTCTTTTTGGCGTAAGTTCATAGGAATTATTCGAGTCGCATTCGCTTAAAGTATATATACGTATATTATCTAAATGTAAATTATAGTCATCGTTCTGAATAGAGTTGCATTCAATTGTTTCGACGTTCGAACAGTTTTTCCCTGAACAAAATCCACACAATCGTGAACATTTTAAACCGTGTTTACGGTAGCTGCAGGAAGCTTCGCACTCTTTTTGACATTTACAAGATATTTTTTCTAAAGCTTCGGGTGGTATCATTGTCTCCGAAGAATAGTATATTGCTTGTAAACCATATTTTCTCTCTCTTTTCCAATCATGAGGGGATTTAAGACACCAAGCCACGCTTGTATTTGCAATTACGTTCTTTTGCAATACTCGGCACCTGCCCTTTCAATCGGGAGTAAATTTTCGAGTTTATAAGATTTATTTGTACACCTATTTCAAAATGTAAATAACATAGCTCGCTTAAAGTTAAATATTGTCCGCTTTTTTTATCACTTTATCAGCGCTATTAAAAAACATGCGAATAATAATAACTGTATATCATTAACAGATTAATTATAAAACGTTGTAGCTATATCAATTAAAGTTTCGTGCTCTACTTTTTCAAAAATAGAGTTTTTTTCGATACAAAAAATGCAGATGTAGTCACATCCTGTTAAAATATACATAAAAGAGATAATTCCTTTTAAAATAAGGATATTTCAAACTATTAATTGTATAAAAATTTTGAGTTTTTACTCGTTGTACACGTTGTAGTTACTGGTCTAATTTTTTGAAAAACTAATTTAGAAAATTCATCTATTAAATGACACAATAGTACTAATAAATCGGTATCGTTACCTATTATAATTACGTTATCTCCACATTTTGAAATATTAATCGCAGTATTCACAATTAGGGCATCCATCTCTTCGATGGCTATATAGAGGAAGTGAAGGTGTATTCTTCAATGCAATTGAAATTGTCGGCAAATACGCTTTTGTCTCGTATGTTTTATTGTAATGTATTCTTCTTTAGGCAACAAGTCCAGACACAGTCGATTAAAGACTATCAGAAACACGGAAAGGGTTGAGCTCATTATAAAAATCAAATAATTGTAAGTCCGACGCATCTCTTTTAATTCTACTCGCATGAGAGCCTACTGTAACCTTCAATAATTATTTAGTAATGGAACGTTATTGTACCTCTTATAACAGAGATTAGGAGGGAAATCGGTCAAAGTATGCTTGGCTAGAGATTAAGAGGAAAATCGCTAAAAGCAGCTAAAAGTATAGGTCGTGCCGTGCTGACTGCTTCATCAGCTCTCAGTTAAGCCAGTGCCATCTACTAAAACTAAAACCAACTAACACAGGTCATACAACAAAATAATGTGACGGTAAATTTAAATCTCGCTGTTCACAATGACTCCAATGTCCCCAACTCCCCGCGAGATTCTATACACCGCATCACATATACATTTGTCAATATTCTATTGGTGCTTCAAGTTTTTCTCACCTGTTAGTGTCAATGACACGTGGGCATTCACCAGCGTGCCATGTAATGATTATAAAACAAAATACTCATTGCTTGACTTTCAGTTGAGTGGTTGAGCTCATTGAATATTCAAAACCGTTTCAGTTTATTTATTCATTTTTTTTTAAAGTTTTCGTTCTAAGATGAAGTCGATAATTATTTTTTCTACTGTTCTACTCCTATCAGTAGTTGCAGCGCATGGTGTTAACTTAAAACAAGTAAAATGTTTAGGTGTGTATGAAATTTAGTTTTCCATGTGAAATATTTCATATATTTAAAGGTAAATAAAATATTTTCCTTGTAAAGTTTGTAGAACAGTAGTTGATGAATTCAAACATGAAGTGAACAAGATTGACCCAAAAAAAAATATTGAAATTGGACAATATAGATTAGATTCTAAAGGAAATGCTGTACAAAGAAAAGTAAAATGCATATTTACAAAATGGATATTAATCTTACAGTTATATCAAATACGTTTTGTTATTAAAGGTTCCTTTAGCTTTGTCAGAAGTGCATTTATCGGATATGCTTGATTCAATTTGTAAAAAAATGGATGATTATGTGCGAGCTACTTATAAATCTAATGGTAAATTAACACTTCTTAAACTGATTACTGATGAAGGAATGAATCCATTAATGGGTGAAGTAGATATTATACAAGATGGTGACTTAAACAAGAGCTTAGGATACTTTGTAAGTTCCTTTTAGATCAAATTATATACATTTTTAAGTGAGAGTAAGCTGTTCAACACTGTTATTATTTTTATTTATAATTTCAGTGTACAGACATTGTGAATGAGCACGAAGATACTTTCATAGAAGTCATCAGCAAAAAAGAAAAAAACGCCAAAGACAAAATCTGCACAGAGGTTGCAGAGTATTGTGGAGAGTTTACAGATAGTATAGACACAAATGATGATGACGATGAATCTGATGATACTGAAGAAAAGGAAAGCCAAGACTATGATAAAACAGAACTTTAAAAGAAATTTTCAGTGAACAAAAACTGAAATATCAATGACTGATGTACAAAAATTAGTATTTTATTTATAAATTTACAGGGCATTTTGAAATGTTCTTGTAAAAATATCACAATCTTTATCTTTTATATACATTTTGATATTACCAAAGGTATAAATTTACTCATCTAAAAACAATATAATAGTAAAAGTTAATATATTTTTTCAAATTCATCTATGCAAAAGTCAATATTTGTTAAATTTTCTTGGATGCGATAACATAATCATCTATATAAACAGTAAAAAAACAGTATAAAAATCAAATATATTGTTTCTAGTCAAATAATTAAAAAAATTTTCAATATAAATATCAATCTTCAATATAAATCATTGTAATAGTCTTGATAAATATAATCAAGGCTTATAATCATTACATAAAATATTGACATTAAATTTTTAAAATAACAATGAAGAATGAGTATAAAGCTTGAATAATTCTATTGAAAAAGAATTATTCTGATTTATGAATAACTGCCAATTCTTTGGCACAAACATATTCTTCAGCAGTCCAGAGTGCTTTGAGTAATGCACCAAGTGTAGCTAGCTTCCCATACCTATGGTTCCAAATTGTTAGAACTTGGAACATCACCTCTCCTATGCCTTCTTTACTGTGATCTATAAAGCATTGTTCTACTTCACTTTTTTTTAAATCAAGATTCTTGGCCACTTTTTTCCAATTGTCTCCTATATACTGCTTGGTTGTCAATTTATCCAGAGTAGTAATTATTGATTGGCATTCGATCAAACTTTTAATATACTGTGGCATTTCTTTATTTGCTTTATCTGTCTCTTTGTTTCTGTCTTGTTCTTTTTTGCTTGCTGATGTACTATTTGCATTGACATTTATCAGAGTTTGATTAGAAAAATTGATACTGACGTTGGTAGAACCACTTACAACGTTGTTAATGGTCATACCCCGATTATTACTTGAGCTGCTATTCTTTCGCGATTTTCTCCTTGGCTTTTTCTCTTGTTCTTTATCGTGGTTAGAATCGCGATCATCGGACGCACTACTATTTTCATGATTTAAACGTTGATGACGGTGTTTATTACTAACGTTGCCGATTTCTGGATTAGATGGAATCTTTTGATTTTGTTGCTCTTGAATCCGCATTTGTTCTTTTAAAGTTGTTTCTTCAGAAATTCTTGGGGGATCGGCTATTGCATCACAAACAAGAGTATCAATATCGGTCGACATTCTTCCCAATTAGAAAATATTTACGATTTTCAACTTTGCTAAAGTAAATGTATATTTATACGCTTTTGCAATAAACTTTTCTTATAAATATAAGGTTATCTAAAATGATAAGACTGACAAAGTGACAGCGGTGAGTTTACCCATAGGCAAATAAAGGATAGACTGCTGATGCCAGGTTATGGAATTATCCGCGAGAGTGAGAGAGATAACAACAAATATGGGGAAGCTCTCTTTAAGTCGACACTTATTTGCGTGGCGACAGCCAATAAGGTTAGTAAGCGTTGACTACAAAGAGACAGAAGTTTCCTAATATTTGTTGTTATCTCTCTCACTCTCGCGGATTATTCCATAACCTGGCATCACTGCATCAGCAGTCTATATTCATTATACCCAGATAACAGAATACGTGTCGGAAACAGATATGACTGTCGGAATCATGTGAAAATATCGAAAACTGTCAGAAACTTCAACATTAGTTAGTTTTAAATAGCGGTGGTTCTCTAATTGAGAGCCGATATGCATACCAAACTGTGATACTTTGACATTTTTTAATTTCAGGTAAAAATAAATACCTTCATTGTTATCCTCATTTAGCTAAATTTCCTAATATATTATTTGAAAACTAATTATGATCCAGTTACGCTAAGGGTTTAATGACCAGAAGTAATATGAGGCATTTTATTTTATTTTTTATATTATCATTCCAATGGTTATTTTTTAATTAATTTAAAACAACTCGCTTCGCTCGGGCGTAAACGTCACACGAGACGAGAATCTACTTTCCCAGACTTGTATCGTAATGTACATACATACTATTATGCAAAACGTCTTAATTTTTAATTAAGAGAAATTATTCGTAGGTTGTAATTATTTTTAAAAAACAACCCATTTTACAAATCCTTTTAAGCAACAATTTTATTTCATAATTTCATCACCGTCGTTTTTGGAATCTAATTCATTTTCCTTTTCAGAGATTTTAAAAATAATTACAACCTACAAATAATTTCTTTTGATTGGATTGACGTGAGCATCTTGGAAGAGCAAAAAACTTGTTTCATATTTAAAATTCTTCTAAAATAGCAATGTAGTTTAACCGATTAAAACTCAAGCCGAATTAATCTAGCCGAGATAGCCTGCTCAAACTAACTATTACATACATGGCGTAGCTAAGAAAAAGTATCTGTGTTTTTTTAATTTGACAATTGTAAATTTGTTTAAAAAGTTATTTAAATTATTATTAAATTTAAAATGATATATAAATAAATAAATACTTCCGTAAGCATTTATAAATTGATACTGTAATAAATATTATTAGTTGTAGTGAATATTAGTATATACATATAAAGTCGAGATATATAGCAATCTATTGCGAGAGTCTAAATGCAAAACAACTAATTAATATAATACATACAATTTTCTTCGGCGTCGTTCTCATTCAAATTGCCAAATACCAATAGCCAAATAATCTACATCACCCATTATCATATCGATGTCATTATTTTCTGGATACACCGCGTTTTGGGCAGTATCAGGTTCGCGATGTCTGGGTTTATGCTATATAATTTCTTCACTCGGAATGAAACTGTACAACTTTACCACATCCTTGTAATGCTAAGCAATCTTTGATATGTATTATTGATCTTATTGAAGCAATACTCTGTAAATTTCTATATTTATTTTTTATGTATTTATTTTCTGTTTCTTCTTTTCGGTAATAAGCTCTAACGATGTAAACGAGTAATAACGCTTGTATAAACAGATGGTATAAAGTATTATAAAAGTACTAGATGATTGTATGAAATCCAGCAAGAGGCCATCTGATGGCTTGAAATTACATAGTATATTTTATTTTTTATCGGCTACCGCTAGATGACCTATTGCTGAATTTTACACGTCCATCTAGTTAACTTACCACCTTTACAATAGTTAATATCTTTTTAACAAGTTATTACAATTATACAAATCAAGTCAAGATGAAGATATTATCCGTGTACTTAGTCTAATTGTAATAAAAAATTGTTAGTTTCTTCTTTGCTGAACTGCAAAAAATTTGCTACGATACATTTTCGGGGAAATTAAATATTTTTGGTATCAGAAGTTATACGATCAAACATTTTTTTTTTGAATAAATAACTTCTTCAGTTTGCATCCATCCTTTTATATCTTCGACTGCCTCTGGGATGAATATAAAAAAAGTTATGAAACATGGTACAGTAGCTGATCTCAGTAAAATCGATAATTCGATGGATTGGGGTTTTAGAAAATTTTTTATCAAACGATCATTTATGGGTTCATATTTTTCATCGAGTCTGATGAGCTTACATGATGTAAAATTAGAAGACTTTCCACATATATAGTATTTATTTGATTTTAGATAAGCACCGACAATCTTTTTGTTGAACAAATACAATTATATAAATATATTAAAATTTAGACAATCACTTAGAATTTCTCCTTGTGCAACAGTTATTAACACCGATCGTAGTGTTGCAACCGTCAGTTATAGAGAGCATTAATTTAGTACATTACGATACAAGTGCGGGAAAGTAGATTCTAGTCTCGTGTGGCGTTTACGCCCGAGCGAAGCGAGGGTGGAATGGTACACGAGACGAGAAACTCTTTCCCGAAACACTCCGCGCGGAAAGTACGTTTTTCCCGCACGCTCGGCAAAAAACGTGCGTTGAAAATCGCATTTTCTACACGTCGTATCAAAAAATACGCTACGGCACATGTTCGGGAAAGAGTATATAAAAAGTTTATAAAAAGCACTTGATGTATCGTAATGTACTATTTCGTGAATTTATTCACTTTAAATCATTATTTATATAATAATTTGTTTTGTCAAATAAATCTTTCATATTTTTTATTTTCTTTTTATTTATTTTATTTATTTTTTGATATTGAAATGGAGCCTATACAACAAATTTGTTACGTACGATATCATTAATTTTTATATTTATACATAGATAAAACGGCATTATATTTATTAAGCATATATCTTGCTGAATTATTAACTTTGATGAACCTATTTTTATTAATTGAACTGATATTTGTTTGTGCCTCTTTCTCTCTCTCCCTCTTTGTCGATACGTATATAGATAATAAATAATAAAATTAAAAAATCGAATTACTATTATTAGACAAAAATCCATTATTAGATAGAAAAATACGATAACGTGATGTATAAACAAATTAATATTTCCGTAGACATTTACAAATTGATATTGTAATAAGTGTTATTAGTATAGTAAATATTAGTATATATATAAACCACAGATTATAATTGTTTTATATTGATACTTAGCTCATATTTTTATTTTCATAAAACAATCTTATTTAGAATATATTATAATGTATAAAAAATTGATTTATAATATGTATTTATGTAAATACTTAAAAAAAAAGAATTTTATTCATTGAAATTTGAACCTGAGTTTCCGAGAACGAAGAAAGATTTCATTTGGCCTTTGGCCTAAGCGCGAGGAACAGACTTTTGCTATTCGACCCCGGTCCCATGTATGTACACCCAACGTGGATTGAATCGCGACCCCCCCAGTTAGGTTGGTATGAGACTATGAGTGCTACTTTCAGTCCGTAACGGTGGTTTTCAGATCGGCCATAGTATAACGCTCGTTCTTAAATTATATAATTAAAACCTAAAATCAAATAATCATGCATCTAAATGCATTGTTCGGCAAACAATTAATTTTAAACCTAAAAAAAAATTAGTAACGTTTTAGCTTTTTATCGTATCTTAAAACGAATTTTCATTTTTGAATTTTCCCGCGGTTTCTTCGTTCAATGCAACGACGGAATTCTCATACCAACCTAACTGGGGGGGGTCGCGATTCAATCCACGTTGGGTGTACATACGTACAGATGCGGATGGATACGGACGCGAATCGCAACTGTAGTAACATCACTAAAAATATCTAGTTCGATTATTTATTACCAACACTACCGGTCGTGAGTAAGGGTCTGTCTCCATAGGGCCTGCCTGAGTCCGTCCGAGCCGGCCGAGATTTTTTATGGGCACGCCATCTCTATAATTTCGTATCCAATGGCGAGTTTCATAGTGAATGGCTGCGTTTACATAAACGAGCCCGATCGGACGCAGCCAATACGAGAAACGCATGAACACGAAATTATAGAGATGGCGTGCCCATAAAAAATCTCGGCCGGCTCGGACGGACTCAGGCAGGCCCTATGGAGACAGACCCTAAAAGTGACTGTTGTTTAAAACTGTAGCGCCGAACGTACCACATTTAATGTTCAAATGTCAGGTCTACAATTTACTTTTCAAATTTTCATGAATATTGCTTATTGATGAGTATGCTAATGTAAAAAAAGTTTTTGGGATGATTAATACATATCATTTATATATATTTTCTTCTTCTTCTCATATATTCAAGTACTTCCATAAAATTATGGCCTAATTCCACTAATTGTAGTTGAAAGTCTATCAATTCTCTATAATTTGCCATCTTATAGACTGCAATAATGTAAAGGTTAGATAGGCGTTCATTAAATGCGGTACGTTCGGCGCTACAGTTTTAAACAACAGTCACTTTTGCTCACTACCAGTAGTGTTGGTACTAAATAATCGAACTAGATATTTTTAGTGATGTTACTAGAGTTGCGATTCGCGTCCGTATCCGTCCGCATCCGTACGTACCTATGGGACCGGGGCCTCAGCGGCCAGTGGCCACGGCACCGCCACGAATACTGAGCTCTAAGGCATTTTCAGGCCTGCGCTATAAGCGCTAAATTTTATTCAGCGTGTGTTACGACGTAACAAGACAGGTTATATTTACACCTGCGTCTGCACTTTAACTACCTTTGTTGATTTAAGTTACTCTAAAAATTAGTAGAAAAGTAAGTTTTTCTTTGATTCATTGATAATATCACTATCTCAATCATTGACATTTCGAAGGAAAAAACATGCTTATTATACGAGAAGTATCAAGACGGCATTTGCCTTGTTTCTCTAATACTTGCTATCAATTCCGGCATTTGACAACTAAAACGAGAGAAAAACCAAAAGATATTATGGCAGATTTTAAAACAAAATTGCCGGCAGCTAAATCAAAAAAACCCAAACGCGATCCCTTCGTCAAAAATCTCTTCCTTGGTATTGTCGATACTGAATTTCTTGCTTATCCAGAGCCACAGCATTACGACAGGTAACGTCTGATTTAATTATAAACAATGTGATTGTTGAACTTTTATCAGTGTACTTAGTGAAGATTATTTTTATCAAATTGGCAATTTAATTTGAAGGTATAATGAATTTCAAGAGTGGTTTCAACCTCTTAAAGATTATATGAAAACTGTTAATCTCAATGAATTTGAGGAAACAGGCGAAATACCAGCCCATGTCATTCAAAAATTTAGAGAATTGGGAGTATTTGGAACAAGAATTCATGAAGATTATCAAGGCTCAAATTTATTAAATTCTGAGTTTTTGCAAGTTCTTGAAGTTGTAAGCAAAGTACCAGCTCTTGGTGTTTATTTACTAAAACATAGTGTACCACCTATAAATATTTTGAACAAATATGGAACAGTTGAACAAAAACTCAAATACCTTCCGAAAATTGCCTTAGGACAGTCATTAGCTACAATAGCTGTAACTGAACGGGAAAGTGGTCCTAGTGTAAATAATATAATGACCACAGGTACATTATCTATAAATAATGATCAATGGATAATTAATGGGGAAAAAACGTTTGTTTCCAATGTAAAAAATGCAGATGTATTTTTGATTATTGGTCATGCTTCCCAAAGTGGTAATGTAGATAGACGACCAGAGACTCTTACTGCTTTTCTTGTAGACAAGGGGAGTGAAGGTTTGCATGTAGCACAGGATCTTATTCATACAGTAGGTTTGAAAGGTTTTAATACTGGTAGGATTATAATGAAGGATGTAAAAATACGCAAAGAAAACATTCTTGGAAAGGTTGGAGATGGTGCTCAACACCTTATTGATATGTTTGCCAACAGTAGACACTTTATTGTATCTATAACAATATCTATACTCAAAGCCTTTTTAGAGCTACTAATAGATGATATTCTGCAAAGGAAGCACTTTAACCAAAATTTACATGAGACAGAAATGGTAAAAAATGTAATATCAAACATCTCCTGCTCTATATATAGTATGGAAAGTATGCTTTATATGACCGCAGCAATGATGGACATTTATGATAATCAAGATGTGCAACTTGAAGCGGCTCTTACAGAACAATATTGCATTCAAGAATGTTTAGCTAGGATAATGGAGAGTGCTGGACTGATTGGTCCCAGAGTTACTACTCTAGTCAAACCCTTTGAGCAATTATTTAGAGATACCTTTACAGTTACAAATTATGATAGTTCACTCATGGATACAAAAATTTTCTCAGCTCTTTTGGGTGTTCAACATTTTGGTCTTTTTATGTCAGATAAAATAAAAAAAGAAAGGAATCCATTTATGTTCCCCAAGAATATTCTGATGAAAATGTTTTTAAAAGAAAACAGGTTAAAATTGCATTTAGAGGAATATTTGCACCCCTCTTTACAAGAGTGTGCTGATTTTCTTGATAGAAGTCTCTTTTTATTAAAAGATTGCACAGAATACTTATTAATTACAAATGGTCTGATCATTACTGATAGACATGCAAATCTTAGTAGGTTGAGTGATATGGCGTGTCAAATATATGCATATATTGCTAATGTTAGTCGAGCTTCAAGATCTTATTGTATTGGTAACAGAGATTCCGAAAATGAAATTAAAATGAGCATAATATTGTCTTACAAATTAGAACAAAGAGTTAAACAATTAGCTGAAGATATCAAAGCCAGTGAATATGGAAATGGTGATTTCTTAAGTAATGAAATCGCAGATATAACAATACAAAGGAAAAAATATATGTCAGTAAACCCTTTACAAAGAAACTATTAATTGTACAAAGATATATAGTTTTTATTATAATGTAAAAAGACTGTTTCAAATTCTTCTACAACTCAATGAGTTTGTTCAACTAATGATGAGAAAACTTACTGCATTCTAAAAAGTTCATTGAATAGATGTTGCATTTTTTTATTACAATGAAAGTAGTCCGCAAATTACGATTAGATTCTTCTATAAATTTGCCATTATAAAAAAGCTGTAAGATATTAAGAAGTACAAGACTTCGAACTTTAATTGTAGATAAATTTGAAACATAGCATTTTAATTCTAAAATTACTCATGATATGATTACTTATATCTGCGAGTATCAAAAATTTATAAGTGACTATGAGAATAATTGTTAATTAAATAAAAATAATTTTTTTTTTCGAAGAATTGTTTATTTAACGCTTCTGACATTGCATATACGCTAGCACTATATTATGTATAATCATTGACTTTGTTGCTAACATTTATTTGTTTTTTTGTTATGAGCTAAGAGCTTAAGTCAACGAGAAATGCACTGAATTGTATCACTATTATAAAGAAGACATTTATAAAAAACGTTCCCTTTTAACATTCTAGTTTTTTAACTCCAGAATCAATCACATATTTTTCTATCTAAATTTACTTTCTTTTGGTTTCAAAATATCTTAAAAATAAAATTAATCTCTCTTTATTACCTTAATGATAAGTCTGAAGTTACAGTATCTATTGAAGCTTATATGCTAAGATAATGATTCAAAATACAGTGCACGATAAAATACTTTTATAATTTTTTTTTAATAAATGTTTAAAATTATCTATGATAAAAACAAGTTATTTTTGTTGTTGCTATAAGTAATAAATAAATGCACGCTTAACAAAACAATAACTAACAAATAAACTAAAAAAAGTACAATAATCTAAGAATAATAATAAATTAAATCTAATAATAATAATAAAGGAATAGTTAACAACTTTAAGTATATAGATCGCCAAATTGTCTGTCTAAAAATGACCACTGGTTTCATTCTTTGAGTGTCCTACGCCGAACGATGGACGGTACACGCTTTCCTGTGTTTTTGTAATTTCTACAAAAAGATCAGGTAGTTTTAATCCAACGCTTGTTTTTTTATCTAGTTTAGAAATTCTGGAGTGTTTTGGAAGAGTAGTGTTAAGCATATCAGTAGGCTTGAGAACTACAGCCTCTCTGCCTGGACAATCACGTGCTCCTCTCGGTAAGAGTCCGTGGTAGACCAACAACTTCTTACGCACGTGAATATCAGAATCGTGCCAAACTCCAATTGGAAGTAACGGTCACTGCGAGTGTTAAGTTTTAGTTTGGGTATCAGAGTCGGTAAAATCTGCAATTCAAAGTTCATCTCGTCGCCACAATGTCTGCATCTACCAATGCAGCCGCCCATTGGATATAACAGTAAAGGTGCAGAATTATCCCTTGCATACCTAGAAAATTTAATAAAGTTAATTTATTTTAAATTGTTAGCATTTGTGTAAATTAACTTATACCATACCTCAAAATTTGACCAGGATTTTTTTGTATCCGACTAACAAAGTTATGAAACATCTCATCACCGTGCTTGGGTATACTTTTTTCATACTTTTCCACGCCACCATCGTACGCTTTACATTCATCTGAAATTCCATCAGAATGTTCAGCCGTGGCATCGGGATTTGAACGCTGATATTCGACGAACAAATCTCTGACATGTTGGGGAACATCACTGACTGAATACTCTTCGTCAACGGAAATGAATATTTCCATAAAGTTTAGAGAGCTTTTACCCTTAGATTCGGTCTCTTGAATAGGTGGCGGTGTAACTTCCTGCAGTAAACTTATCAAATCGCAATGTGGTTGTGTTGGCGTATCGATGCAAACGACTTCGCTTTCTTCACCCTCGATTTCTGCCGACGCGTGTGGCGAATCTAGTCGACCTACTGCGCCTACTCCAACAGGAGATTCAACACTTGTAGGACTAAAATAACATATTTTCTTTATGATATTTATTGCTTTCAATACTTATTATGTATAAATATACATAATAAGAAATCTAACAAGGTTCGAATAATTATTAATCATGAAAAAAACTGTTGTCAATCTTCTCATACCTTAATCATAAAATATTGAAATTAAAAGTACCTGTTTGCATTAGGATCATCTACTTGTAGTTCTGAAAAGTCACCTTTAAGTTCTTCTTCATAATTAGTATTCTGTGCTGACAAGCTGAACTTATTTGAATCACTTATCAAGTTGTTCCCATTTCTTTCAGAATCATTGTCGTTCCAATTACTATCACCCCAATCATCAGCATCAGCTAGCCAGCTCGTGGCAGTTGTTTGTACTGTCGCACAAAAACTTGATAGTGTATCTGTATTAGCAGCGTGCTCTAATGACTGAACCCTCAAGCATGTCCAACTTTCATTTTGATTCCAGCAATTTGGATTTATGCATGAAAATATGTATAATGTTCTATGGTATTTAGAATTATCAAGTGGAGCATAGATTTGTAATGCCAGTAATTGATGAAGCCCACATAGCCTACATTGAGGTGCAGTCAGTGTCGTCTGTTCATTATGCCAATCCTGGAAATATTCATCTTTTTATTAATCATATTATTACTCTAATAATATGATTAATAATTGTTAATAGTTGATATAATTTTCTCAAATACAAGAACATACCAATCAAAAATAAAAATTTGATATTAATATTTTAATATTACTAAGGGTTTATAGTATAGATTAAATTCATTTACAAGTATTATATAGCAATCAAAACATTTAATTTCTTTTGAAGATAGGTATAGAAAATGTTGTTATTCACAACTTTTAAGAATTTTAATAGATTGATTATTTAATTTCGAAGTTTCATCGATGTATGTGAAATCAGTATCTTTATTACTTACAGTTTGTATCTTTTTGCATTTGTACTGTAAGAATAAACAAAGAAACCCTACCAGAAGGTTACCATACTATGTAAGAAAAATTAGTTAATATAAAAATAGTGCTGAAAACTTACTGGTTTACCGCCAATTTTGTTAGTTGTAAAATTTACAAAGCTACGGTGCTTTTCAGTGACATATTCATCCTCGTAGCCCAAATAAATCCTTGTCCTGACATCCTGAGCCATTTAAACTGGATGAATAAATTAAAACTCCAGTCAGTAAGTTTGAAAACAAAGGCTTCTTTAAAATCAATTTCAACTCGAGCAACTCGTACTCTTAGAGGAAAAAAAGCCTCGCAGAGGCAGAAGAGAGATGTCTTTTTGTGCCAGCAGTACTTGAAAACTAGCAAGTATGTATAATCCTATTGCAGCTGATGAACCGTTCAGTAGGCATGCGTCGTCCGTAGCTTGGAAAAGCGGAGCAACTCACTAACGCGTGCGCCTTTTTGTGGTTGCGGACTTATCGATTTTCAGCCCTCTTTTTCGAGGGTGTATGTGCATCCAACAGCGTTGTGTTGAGAGAGCAAAACACACCTCGTTCAAATCGACGCCCTCCTGCGAAAATGTGTCACGATACTTTGTTGAATTTCCAACTTGATTACATCGATTATTCAATCTACATTTTCATTTTATAGGCGAACTATTTAGCTATGTTATAAGTTTCAATAACTATATATTAAGTATTGGTTATTCAAAGAGGTTATAATTCTAATTACCTTGGAATATCACTGATGTCAGATTTTAAGATATGGCGCTTATAAATTATAACTTATCTACTACGGTTATTTTGTTTAGTACTCTGTTTATTAAAAACTTTATTAATTTTGAACTATTTATTAATTTGGAATCTATTTATTAATTCTGAACGAACCTGTTTACATTTATATAGAATGAGTTCCGCATAGTTTCTATACGTTTCGTTTCGTTTCGTTTCGTTTTAATGACCTTACCTGAGGAGTCCGATGCGCCACAATTCAAATTTGAGACGCATAGTTTCTACAAGCATACGCACCTATAGTTTCCTAAAAAAAACAGACGACTTTGGACCAGTTGACGTCACGTCATTAATGTCTTTTTATCGAACATTATTTACATTATTTTTATATTATCAAATTAATTTATGAAAACTTAACAAAAATTAATAAAGTATGATAATGCGTGTATGCAGTGTTACAGTGTGTTCCTTTTTAAATAAATTACCTAGAAACTTTCAGCAGTTGGTGCCGTACAAAAAATTGTTCAGATATATACTTAATGTGGCAATTACATCTTCCTGTCTAAATAGTTTCGATCTTAAGATTAATTTTTAAAGTTATTCAAAGGTTAATGTAATTTTTTTATATTGCAGCCTATATTTCTGATACCGGATTCGAAAAAATCGTGAAATTTTACGTGCAAAATGATATATTAGTTCATAGATATACCAAGGTCAAATCAAGTTCAGCATCCGAAAACAATATTTAAAAACTGTTTTTTTCATGTCTGGTATAAAAAATGTTAGAAAGTTGATACAAACAACCTTAATTTATATTTTCACTTTAAAAGGTCATCCATAGAGGTCAAAGTAATTTGTGGAATGTCTGACATTCCGCTCGAAATAAATAAACAAATTTTGTTTAGAATATGTAAGAAAATTCGTACAAGAATATATACAAATGCTGTAAAAATTGAATAAATAAATAATACACGCATATTATTATTTATTTAATTTTTAAAGAAATCTCCATTATTGAGTAAGATAAAACTTAATTAAATAACAGTGACCTGGGATTTGACCTTCAGATTGATTTTTAAGATCAAATTAAAGGCTGCTTTAGTCTTTTTAATGGGGACCCATATTTATTATTATGATTTGTATTCTTAGTAAGAAAATACATAAAATTTGTATAGAATATTTTTTTGAAAATGCCTATCTATCTATGTCTTGCTGATAAGCGGTGCAAGAGAAAATTACTTGTTTTCTCTTGTTTGTTGATTTAAAAAAATTCTTTTTCTGTGTGAAATAAGTAATACTTTTTTTAGTTGTCGTCGTATCACAATTCTTGGAAAGGCGTTAGAAAGCGCGTTTTTCTTTAGTTTTAAAACATGATCTTTTGAAATTTCGTAATTGTTTTCTCAACTAAACGGAATGTTGAAAATAAGTAGGAGAAATTCACGAGAAAAATCAAATTGCAGCATATGTTGTAATGGGAAATCAATATCAAATATTAATTCTTGTTTCTGGTGTGATTTAGGAAAAGCTTACAAAATGTCAGCCAAATCAGCGAATAACACTTATTTTTAATATTATGTGTGAGAGAAGTAACTCGTGAACGATCTTTCTCAGGATAGTTCACGTAGAACTATTTTAATATCTAGCTACTTAAAAGGACGAAATATGCAGAATTATTTGAGAAACGAAATTGTTGATATCTCGTCTCTTGGGGCATATCAAGGCCGATATCTTGCTGTGGCAAAGTTTACAGCCATAATTATCAAGGAAGGCTTTATTACCCGAACCACGTAAGAATTCAAATCATTAAGTGAAGAGAGAGAGAGAGAGAGAGAGAGAGAGAGAGAGAGGGAGAGAGACGTCAATCATAAATATATGCAGAAATCATCGTCGTATTAGATACAAAACAAAGGTTCAATTCTCGTCATTATAGTAAACGTACTGGTGTCCCGAGATCAACAGCCAGCAAAATCTTGTGTCTTTGCAGATTCCATTCGATTCGCATGACGTTGACTCATGCATTAATGACAGCTGATGATGTTCGTCGCAGACTCAACTTCTTTAATTGGGCACAAGAATGCGTGAAGATCCGGAATTCTTTAGATATGTTTTCGGATATGGATAACGGGCAACTTAATAATCATATCATTATTGGTTTATTCAGAACCCTCATATTAACGATAAGCATAGATGGAGCCTTATAATTTGGTGCAATACAATGAATAATTGTAGAAAGCCTTATTTTTTCGATGAGATTGTTAATGGTGCCGCATATCTTAAGTTTCTATACAGAATTAGTTATTAGAATTATTGGAAGATATGGATTTTGAAACAAGACGACAATTATGACTACAACACTGTCGCATCGCTCACTGATAGTTGGTCGAACCATAACTTTCTGTGTAGTCAATGCCTTGCTTTGACTAACTGGATATTTCTATTATGTCTTTATTATTTGAATTGGTTCACCCTCCTGATTGTGGCGCGTACTTACATGATAATCAAATGGTTAAACTAACTTGAGGATTGTATTATGTTATAGAGTAGCTTAATTCACTGTCATGTAATTTAATTGATTTAATTATATTTTAAATGTAAACAGAAAGGAATTAAAATTAAACAACATTAAGTATTTTTCGCTAAAGTTTATTTTCTAAAAAGTAAATACTCATTTCGCAAATGTATGATATACAAAATGAACAGTATGTTAGACAATGTACTAAAAGACGCATCTTTGCTGGTTCGCATTATGATAAACTTATACACTATAATATTCAGATAATGGGTAAATTAGAAATTGGATGTTACAAAAACAAAATATAGCTTTCAAGGTTCTATACAAAGCTTATCGTATAAATATACGTAGAAATACAAAATAAAAATTTTTTATATACGTAAGACAGGACATCGTATGATTTGCAGTTTTTTTCTTCTCTTAATGAATTTGGTAAACTTTGTGAGTCATGTCTTAATGTACATTAGATAGGGTATTTAAGAGTACTTTTACAACATAAATTAATTGCGTTAATGATCGACAGAAGTAAACGATCGTTATAACTTAATTATTTATATCAGATTTATTATTTATAACCATAGGTAATATACCCGATTTTTCAATAAGATGTTCGATCTAGGCTAACGAGTTTCCATTTAGAATCGAAAAAAAATTAATTACCATTTACTTTGACCACGATCACAATAGCATCATTACTAAAACCTTTTCTAATAACTTTGGGTTTCAATTAATGATGTCTAAAACCAACGAAGGCAAGTAAATCTAAAAAATCGCTCAATCGGTGGAAGACTACACAGGAAGTAACATTTAGCCATATATACTAATTGACTTTTATTAGCCTGTTATTGATGTCTAATTAAAAACTCGTCGAAGCTAGAGTCGATCTTATTTCGAAATTTTCGAGCAAATACTTGTTTTTTATCGCAAAATGTAGATAATATTAAAATTGGCCTTGTTTTATCTGTTTAAATATCAGGCCAACACAAAAATGCATCCTCGACACATTGTATAGCAATTGTTTCTAACCGCGGATTGGCAATCTGTAAAATTCTTTGCAATTGTTTTTTTTTTGTTTTCACAATCCATATACATGTACATGCACACATATAAGATACCAATTTATCAACGGATTCTATTTAGATCTTTCAATCAAAACCTTCATAAGAAATCTTTCTGACGGCCACAATATTTATTTAACAACTATTATTTTCTTTCCATTTTAAAATATACCCTACGACAAATATCATCTTACTCAGTTTATGTAATAATTGTGATTAATTATCACACATATTTGCTTTTTGATCCTTCTCTTTATCCCTTTGTGAAATTGTATATACAGATTGTTTAATAATGATTTGCTCGAAATTATCTTGGTAATTTCTTAACGCAGTTTTGAGGAACAAATACTACGCGCATGGGTTAATTCTTTTTGTAAGTCAGTATTTTTTTGCAACGATTACGTACATAATATTAATTATATCAGGTAATTTTACTTAAAAAAATCATGCTTTCATAATTTTTAATAATGAGAACATAACTTAACTTTTACAAAAATATTATCAACGGCCACATTTTCCCATCGACACTCCGCTTTTTTTTTTAATTCAAAGTATTTAACATTTTAAATATGAGGCCATTGTACAATAATTTGACAATCGATAATAACAGCAATCAATATCATGTATATTGGTTATAATTAGAATAACGTTTTTATATAAGTGTTCATTTAAGTCATATCTTTTCTGCATTTTTATTTATTTTTATATTAACGAATGACAAAATAAAACTATCGATATCAACCAATAAGCGGTTCTTATATTTGATGAAAATATCAAGTATCTCTTCTTCAATTCACGCGCCACAATTCAAACGGTACACTTCATTATTCTTTTAGAAATCCATCGCAACTCTTTGACAAAGTCACAGTCAACTTTCACGTAATACAAGATTAGATTGATATATCTCGTCATTCTAGAACACGTAATACTAATTTGGTAGAAAGTTATCAGCAATAAACATTACAAAAACTGCAATGTCTAACGTCCTTATTTGTTTTAAAAAACTTTGGTTTTATGCTGCCAAATAATTTGGTAAATGCCGAAGTGTTTCTAGTTACTCAAATTCCACCATATATAGATAGTATACACCATGATCTCATGTATGTTCAATCTGATTTTATATTACGTTAATCTATAATATCATCGTGTCATAATAATAATTACTATTTCTCTTTCTTTCAATTCGTTAAATTTATTATAATACAATATACAACTACAGACCTTTGTCCTAATCTCGCCGTAAACGTAATTAAAAATCATCATGTGAATTTTGACGTACGATACATTATCTCTCTATATACATATGAATTTATAATATTTCGAAAGTGTTATAACAAGTATCAATGCGACATCGTTATTTAAATAGTAATAGCATCTTTTATATTTTGCATAATGTATTAAATACTTTTTAATCTACTCGATTGTATTGGAATTGCGTATATGATACATTTTAGCTTTTTTTAACATTACAGTATTAGCTATTTTTTCTGTCTAATAATTTATCCTTTAAAAGTATTTAATAACTTTGTATGTATTTGCAGGTTAAGTATAGCCAACTGAGTCAATTTAAAATCAATTGTCAACTGCTTTTCTGTATATAGACTTGGATTAATGCGAATCAAATAACGATTAGAAATTCGTTTCAAATGAAATAAAAAGGTACACGGGAGAGTCGCGTAGATTATAAACAATTTATAAATAGTAATACCTATAAACAAGTTAATATTATATTTTGCATGTGTGTGTGAGATGCATAGATATTAACAATGACATCAAATAACTAAATGTCTTGGAATGATTATTGTTATATAAAACTGCTTGCGACTCTATTTTTAGTTAAATAATATTCAAAATGTAATTTAAAAAATTAAAAATTAAAGTTATAAGTATCAGGTGCGTTTTTCACATCTTTTCGTAAATTCGGAATGGACGTTTATTTTCTTTACGAGGAAATTAAGTAATCTACGTTATTGACAAACCTACTCATTTAACTACAAACAAATCTAAATACTAAGCATGATTAATAAAATTTATGCTTGTAAAACATATTTCCATCATTTTTTTCTTTAATTACAAACCGCAATAAAGCATAAAATTTTGAAAGATTCGTCATTTTCGTTATATACAAAATTAAAAAAAAATAATTTCTTTTTTAAAACTTTTCAAAATGGCGAATTCTTCAAAATTTAAGGCTCTCCTACCAGTACTCGTTCATTCAATGCTATTTCCAAGTCTTTATTTTTGTAAAAATTAAACCATTCACAATTATAAATCATATTCAAAAATCTACCAATATAGTTATATATTCATTGTAACAATTAAAAATTATATATACCTAATTCAGCATTAATACGACTGTCATAATCATCCTTGCATCAATGTGCCAACATAAAAAAATCTAGGCTCTATATTACTTACAGCATTTGTAATCTACTTTCGATTGGCGCACTCTGCCACTTATAAAAATCCCTCTTTCTCGAGACGAAAGTTTACAGATTGATTAGTACTCGAAAAAACGTTTAAGTACCATTGTGTTATATCATCAGTTTGAAAGGCGTTTTACAATACTTACACACCACCGTGTCACTCCGTTCGCAAAATCATACTCTTGCGAATTGTCTACAAAAATTAAAAAAACTCCGAGCCTGCAAAAATGACAACGAGTCATAAAGATTTGTTTGTTTTATTGACAATCTCATAAAAAGAGCGCGTGCTATGAAGATTGCAAAAAACGAAGCAATGCAGCATCAGCAGCATCATCGTCTAGTTCAAGGGAAGACAAAACATCTGTTTGAGAAGTCCCTTCTTGGGGCTGTCCTCCTCAACCACGTCGTCGTAATCGTTCTCATCAAAGACACTGCCCATGAGCGAGGTCATCTCGTTATTGTTGTTGCTGTTGTTGTTGCTGATGTTGCTGGAATTGACAGAGTTCATGGAGTCGTAGCTCTGGTCGGTGAAGCTGTAGGTGGTCGACCTGGTGGTGTAGCTAGGTGTGTCGTAGCGAAAGGCGAGCGGCGGTGGTGGTAGGTTGTAATCGTTGTAATTGTCGTCGCTGTGTACATAACGCATGAGAAAGAGTGGCTGTTGTTGGGCCGGTTGCGTTGGTGGAAGTAGCGGCGGATGATAGTATCGCGGCTCGACGTTGAAGTGTAGCATGGCTAAACGGTCTTGGAGCTCGTTTATGTAGCTCTGGTGGAGCTGACGGTGATGCTCCTCGTGTTGGCGCAGCAGTTGCTGATAGCAGTTGTCGGCTGGCAGCAGCGAGTACTGGGGCTGATATTGGTAATATTGGTGATGCTGTTGCTGGATCACCACCTGTGGTCAATTTCGAAAAAAGAAAACGTGAAATCTTCCAATTGACACTAAAGGCCTTGATGGTCAAAGAAAGTTAGTATGGACGTGTATTTACCGCGAGATGCTCCTCCTCACTGCACGCTGACGCTTGCTCACTCGACGTCTCTTGTCACACGCAGTCCTCGAGAGACATTAGCAGTGGATTCACATATTCGAAGCCTTCGAATTCTGTCTGGTCTATTCTTTCGATAACGCGCCTGTAATAATATTGTTAACTTCAGTTTTAGTGTCTCTTACGGGGGAAAAGCGTAGAGTTTGACCTTGTACTGTCAGAGAAACGCGAAATAGATTGTCAATAGCGTCAACGTCAATTGAAAACAAATTCAGTTGACGTAACTTTGACAAAAGAAAAAGTATCGCAAAATACGGAGACGAATATAAAAAGAAACGAATGAATATCTAAAATACGCCTTGAAGAGAAGCAAAAGAATATTAAATGAAGTTGGCTATGGATAGATGATGGCAGGCAGAGGCACAGTTTCATTGGGGATTCAGACCGAATATATGGAATAATTCAGTCGAATTTGCAAGCTCGCGAGCTGTAGCCAAGATGAGAAGTCATGCGAACGAGGTGGCATTCAACAATGAATAAGGTTTGCAGGAAGAATTGGCTTATTATTTAGGGAGAGGGGAGGGGTGGAGAAACCACTGCCCCCTTTACAGTCGTAGCTTACAGCAAAGTAGATACGAATTCCGGTAGAGCTAAAGCGATGCTTGAGAGGCAAAAGTAACTTACGGATCATCGGGTGTCAGATGTACTGGCTCGTCCGTGAATTCGGGCGGGAAGTTTGCCAAATCGCGATCTGAGTCCAGCCGCGGCTTATAAGGCGGTGTGACCTGTTTCTGCTCCAGCTGCAACATATATCATAAGAAATGTTCAGTAAAAAAAGAGGGGTAAGACGAGATACACCAATGTGATCGGAAACGAAAATACATTGCCGCGTGTTATGAATTTAAAGAGCGTTGGATACTCTTGTTTCTTTTTTTTTTTGCTCTGTACCGCGCGCGAATCGGGTCACGTGTGCTGTTACTCTTTTCCAACGGTTCTTTCATACGGAATGACCAGGGGCTTTATCGCCAAGATAGATAAGTATACAGCTCAGCGCTGCAAATCTACCTTTATTGATTTTACGTGAGCAGGCTATAACAAATGAATGCTGTAAGTCATATTTATGCGATTGACTCGTCGAGTGCTTTATTATTGAAAATTAATAGTATATCTTGATAGCCTGGTTATTTCGACACGGCAATTTTTTGCGCAATAAAACGATGCGCACTGTGGCAATCGAGCGCTTTCTTTCCGCAGTCGCGTTGAATAATCAATGAGATTTCGATAAGACAAAATGAAAGAAAGTGCGAATAAAATTGAATCCTTTGATGACAGGCTTTGTAGAGAGTAAAATGGAAGGATAAGCTGCTCACCATTTCCCAATCGATAGTCTTAAAGAAAGGATGCGTCATGATTTCAATAAAAGCAGTAGGGCTTCTACCGCAACCAAGACGCTCGTTGGGATCTTTGCAGAGGAAGCGCTTGAGCACCGAAGCTGCCTTGACGGACAGCGATCTTGGAATACGAATAGTCTTTTGCAAAATGACTTGGAACAGATAGTCCTCGGTATTCTGATCGGGATTCTCAGAGGCACCGGCGATATCGAATGGGCTGCGACCAGCCAGCATCTCGTACAGAAGAACTCCCAGAGCCCACCAATCGACGGAGAAGCCATAGTCCTCGCCTCGCAAAATCTCCGGCGCAATGTAGTTAGGAGTGCCGCAGAACGTCGCCGTTGTGTCGCCTTCGCGCACACCCTCCTTGCACATGCCGTAATCGGTGAGCTTCACGTGACCCTCGTGATCCAACAGTACGTTGTCCAATTTCAAGTCGCGATAAATGATTCCTGCAATTGTCATCGTTACGCTGAGCAATGAACAATACACGAGCGTTGTAGTTACTACAACACTAGTTTGTTTCACGTTGTTACAGTAAATCCGCAAGTTTTAATTAAGTTGCTGTTCTTCGTCTCGATCGACTTTACTTTATAAATCGAATTCAGGCTTCTCAAAGTTAATTACAACTGAAAGATTGTTTGATGTGATGTCTTTGTGACATAAATTCACGTCTCAGTCTTATCCCAAAGGAAAATCACGGTTCGTGCTGCTGTGACGTTATTTTAAAAGTATATATTATGTGCTATCAGATTTTATAAGCAAAAAAATGTAATTAAAAGCCATCATATAACAGCAAGATTAACATTGGTGTGGGTGTTTATTCAAATAAGCCGTTGAATAATTTGCATAATCTAATTTTTAACTGTTGATAGATTATTAGTTCTCAGTTATGCACCAAGTTAACAGGGTATTATTATACACGAATAGAAAGTGTTGGTTTGAAAGAAGACGAGGAGTCACGGAAAAGCGTTGTACAACGACCAATTGACCAGAAAAGCTCAAATTCAACTTACCCTTGGTATGGAGGAAATTGAGCGCCAAGCTGATCTCAGCCGCGTAAAATTTGGCGTGATCCTCGGGCAGTCGACGCTGTCGCTGCATGTGGAACATGAGGTCACCACCCCTGACAAACTCGATGACAAAGAACAGCCTCGAGGGCGTCTGGAAGCACGAGTGCAGACCAACGAGGAACGGATGATTGGAGGCCGTCTCGAAAACGTGTTTCTCCGTTTGCACCCAGTCGATGTCCTCGTCATCGGTCACCAAAGCCTTCTTGATCACTTTCATCGCGTAAATACGCTTCGTCGCTTTCAGCTCGACCATCAGCACCTTGGCGTACGAACCGCGACCAATCACGCGAATCAGCTCGAAGTCATTAAGATTGTACTGGCGGTCGTTCGCTCCTTCTGCGCCTGGCATGTCGTCCAAGGCCAACTCGCCGCCCTCGGCATCGTCTGCTGCTCCTGTCGCTCGCAAAACTGTTATCAGCCACGGGATATTTTCAATCATTCGGAATATCAATGAGCCCAATGGCGAGAGGCGTATACTTTCGAGCTCGACATTTCTATTGAATTATCAAGCATGCCATTTGTGCCCCGACTACGAGGAAACTGCGCCGAGATATTAACATAATGTTGCTCACCGGCAATTTATTTCACAACGCCGCGCTTATCGGCAAAAGCAATAATCGTTTCATAACGAACTTGTTGACGAACGTTCCGGACGTTTGAGAAAATTAGCGCGAAACAATTTGGTACTCGCTAACAGTTAGCGCATGCCTGCGCGGAACGAGGTGTACGTGTTTTCCGTTTTCTTATTTTTACACGCACGACTACGGTTTGCTTTTATTATTTCGTCTGCCCCCTCCCCCCTCCCCCCTCAGCGGAAATAAGGTATGTGGAGCTACTTGTCGCCGAGTGCTGCGCGGGTAATACGACCGACGGCATTTGCAAGGCTCGTTCAGCTAGCAGGCGAGAGAGAACTGGGTTTATGCGGTCTAGATTCTTAGCAGTGGCAGGCGGCGGACTTTGCATTTTTCTTCTTTTAATTCCCGCTCGTGCTCTTTCGCATTAGCTCCCTCCGGCAGCGGGCTGAGAGCTCGTTGCAGCAGCCGACGGCGTCTCGGTCGAAGCACTCTCGAATCGTCAACTCGAAACGCCACCGCCGCGGCAAAGTCGAACGGGCGAAGAACTCACGGTTGCGGAAAGCGTGCTCCTCGGCGACCGAGGGCTCCGCGCTTTCGTCGTCGTGATGGGCACCAGGTGGACTCGACTGCGGCGAGTCGGCCTGGCTCTGCTCGCCATTTCTCTCGGCTTGCTGTTGTTCGGATAACGTCGAGGCCGACTGCTGCTGCTGAGTGGCGCACGGCTTGCGCACGACTTTGTGGCACTTCTTGTGCACCAGTAGCTTGCACGTGATGCACTTGAAGCCTTGTCGGCCGAGGCCCCATATGCGGTCTTGACAGTAGGCGCAGAACGCTCGCTGTTTTGGACCAACAATGCAACGTTAAAGCGCCTATTTTTCTTTGACTATTCGCGAACTTCGGTAACAAGCGATCAAAGTCTTACCCTGTTGAATCGTTTGGCCTGGAAAGTATGTCCGTTCACTCGATACAGCTTTCTCCATCTGCGTGCTCCACGTCTGTAGATACTCCCTTTTGATAGGCAAGAAAATGGAAATACATGTACATATACATTCGGAGCTTTGGCATACGGCGGTGAGAAATATGAAGCTAATATATTGCACGAATGAAGTGGGATTAGAATGCGCAGTATCGTTCGTTTTCACTCGTACAAATTGTTTCGCGATTACACGGTCTCCAATCTCGCGACTTATTGTGAAAGCTCTCCCCATCTAACATCTGGCTTCTCTTCTTTTTCCCTTTTAATAAGCCCGTAGGAAGGAAACGGAGCTCTCTCTCTCTCTCTCTCTCTATCGTTATCACAACGTCTTCTCTCGCGACTGCCAATATCTCCGATAACAAATCTTTCGATCTCGCTAAGGAGGAGCTACGTTAACGTCGCTGCGGTTCGTCCCCGCGCACCGGTGACACATCTGTAAAGTCTAACAAACGGCGCCGGCTTAATCACCGCACTAGGCTTGCCTATAAAACAAAAGTAAACTTCTTTTTTCCTTTGCCCTACGGAATCAAAAGCGCTGACTAATCCGTGCTCATTAAGGGGAGGGACGAACAAAAAAAAAAGAAAAGAGGGAATGCCGATGTTGATTAAAGAAATTCAGTGGTTGAAGATTCGGTTATTGCAATATGATTGATGGCGGCAAATAATAATACATTCACGCATAACACATTGTGCAATGCACCGTACAGAGAGAAAAAGGAGGTTTTTTAGTAGGTTAATGGTATTCGTCTTCAATGTTTTATATTAGAGATCAACGAAATGTAACACTTGAATTTTGCATGCAAACTGATTTATCACTGCAAAAACATACGCCCGTGCGCGCACACACACGCACGCAAACGCACACTCACGCGCATTTTAATTAACAAGTCGACCTTTAATTAGTCAACGTGAAGAAATAGGACGCGTTTTATTTATTTTTTTTTTTTATTTTTCGCGCACGTATATCGAATCCATATTTATTGATATAAAATGAAGAATCAAACTTTTTTTACGAAAGATACCGCAGGTAAAGTATTCGACCAACGAATGCACGTCTTCCGATGAATCATGGATCAATTCGTCCCTAGCTTGATCGTCGCCCATATTCGTACGTATGTAAGCACCTGCGCGCCGTTCGACTGAGCTTTGATTTGACAACGAACGCTGACGATGATGTTCAGTATAGCCCGTCTGATATCCTCGTGTTTGTGTTTATAAATAACATTGTTGTGTGTCAACGTGCTTGGAATGTCAGTTATGTCAGATCGAGTCTAGGATTATCAAAACCGTATGGAATTAGGCATCGTTAATTTCATTTGATAACCGATCAATTTGCCTTCCTTTCTGTTTTTTTTACGAGATCGTTTATGCTCTTCTTCTACCTCTCTCTCTCTCTCTCTCTCTCTCTCTCTCTCTCTAGGCGGAGGAAAAAAAGTGGTAAGTAATTTGTAGCGATAAAGGGAGCTATTTCCCGTGCAGCTTACTATATTAAACCCACATCCTACAAGATCCGCTCCTCTTTTAGCGGAAAAGAAATAATAACGGCTCTTTCTTGCTCGTAAAAATCGAAAAGAAAAATTGTTTTAAAACGATAAATCGATGCAATGCGATAAGGAAGAGCAAATACGAAATTAGGTATACAGAAACGTAAGTGGACCGCAGGGCAAGAAATGTCATTAGGCTTCTATGCACGACGAGATTTCGCTAACGAGTAACCAGCAGCGCCGTTGCCGCGCCATTCATTCGCGGTACTTTTTAATGAGCGGTAAACGTCTTTCATGTCGCTATGCTCCTCTACTTTTTTTTTTTTTTTCTAATTCACTTCGGATGTAAGCTTCTTTTTTGTCTGTTTCGTGGTCGGCTGTGTTTTGATCCGGCGTGCGATTAAGGAAACTTTCATTCGATGAATGCGACGAGCAAACCTTACGTTAAGACACTCACGCGGGAGGGTAAATTAGCCGCTGGGTCGGTGTTTAATTTTGAGACAGCAAATAAAAAGGCGCTGGTTCAGCTTAACCCACATTTCCGTCTGCGGGAGGATGGGAAAAGCTTTTCATTTATTTTCTAGAATGAGCTCGAGATTGCGCTCTCGATTGACGACAAAAACAAACGAACGTAACTAGCATAAGTGTTGCAAAACGCGTCGAGCCGACAAGGGTTTTTTTCAATTTGGAATTGGATGAAATGACGATACAAAGGTTAAATTGAAGGAAAAAGGACGCATTGTACTTACGGTCCTCGCCTTGGCATGGCATTCCCGGCGCAGCCGGTACCGTTGGGAACACTGCAACACAAAAACAACAAAAATGGTCCATCAGTGCAACTGTGTAGTATCAAAATGAAGAGTTGCGCATTGCGCATACACTCGTGTGCATACATAACTTTTGCGCGGATCGCTTAGCTATTAATTTTAGCATTGCTTCTCGTAATTATATGCCATCGGGTTATGGAATTGTTAAGTAGTTGCAAACTTAACATAATTTTAGTAGTAAATGAGGGGATAGCGCACGCGCGATCCTCGTAACGATAAAAAAAAAGAGACTCGGCGGTATATTTTTTCTCTTTTATTTTATTGGAACTTTAGATTTACAAAGAAACGGCGTTACGATATTACGTGTGTCACTTGTCTCGAACGCACGAAAAATTCGCTAGCAGAATAAAAAATTTATTACGCTCTTCTCGCTCAACTCACTCGTAAAACCTTATCCAAGGAAAAAACTGAAAAACTTTTAGCACTCAAATCACGACAGCTAAAAAAGAAAAAAAGACTTCTCTCCCTTGACAGGTATCGACATACAGCCCGAGGTGTGTTTACTCGTTGACTGTTCTTTACGTTGGCCAGCTCTTTCATATTAACTCAGTGCCGGTTTTTTCCATAAGCTGTTCCTCTTCGTCTTGTAACCCTTGAGAGCAGGGAAGACCTTGACTCATCGTATCATCACTGCGATTTTTCTCCCAAATGTAAGTTCGATGGATGCGCGAGGCTTAATAAGTTTATCAATTGCAAGAGCATCAGTGAATGCATTCTTCTTCTTATTGCGGTCTGCGCTGTCCTGACTTTCCTGAACGAGGCGATCGAAGCGTCGTCTTTTCTCGCAGTTCAATCGTTCGTCGGTGCGTACGTCGCGTTCCCTCGTAGCGGCAATCGTGGACAGCCTGGCATCCGAACGCGCGCGAAACCTCGCCGATGTCTGCGCTCTCGCGGTTCTCGTTCACTACGCGTGCTGCGCAGCGCACTCGAGCGCCAGCCCCGAACGCCTGCAGAATAACACGGCCTACTTTGCGCTACACCTGCCCGCATCGTCGCCGTGCAAGGTTCTTTTTATAATTGCGAGCGATTCCCTCGCGCGCCCCTCGCACCTTTTCCCTCTTCGTCATCGGCAAGGAAATTCAGGCTCGCCGCGTTTTTTGCCCTGGTGCCCCAATTTAGGTTACGAGCCGCCAATACGCCTTCGCTCCATACGCCACAAGCAGTCGAATCGTTGGGCTCGTCATTTGCGCATTACCAACGTTCGTCAAACGGAAATATCGATTTCCAGATCTGATGTATGATGGCGCGATATGCATTAGTGCGCTCGTAAAGCATTTTATAACGTTGCTTTTCGCGCACAAACGCCGTGAAAATCCGTATATCCGGTGATTTAATCGATCTTTGCCCGAAGCTCGCCGCTCGGCGTCGTAACGTCCGAGAAAACAACGTCCCCCCAACTTGGCGCGAATATCCGACCGTCGGAAGAGCTCGCTGTCGCTTCGCTCGTAAATCTGAGGGATCGCGCAGAATCCTTGTCTAATTCTTCATCATTACTGCGCGCTCACACACGTGACTTGACGCAATGCGCCGCATAGATTACATCCTTAAATAGGATTAGTTTCCAAAACTGTGCGAACGGCTTGTTTTCATTCTTTTATTTGCACTTCGTACGCGTGTTTTTTCATCAATCCAGCGTGCGCCAACAATACCCGCATAACTTACATTCGCCAAACGAAGGAAAGGTGTTTGGCTAACTTGTAAGCTCAATTGAAAAACACGATTTTTTTCCGAGAAAGTATATATCGTCTACTTGATAAAAAGGGAACACGCTTCGTTAGCTTCTCGAAGTGGTTTCAGCGTTTTGCGCGCGCCCATTGCGGCGCTTGGTTTATTCCTTCCTCCTCGAGAAATCCGCCGATCGTTGCGCGAGAGCCAGCTGCCAACTGGTCTCCCCTGTTTATCAATTTGCGAAAGCTCGATCCTCGTGAAAAGAGCCGTGAAAATGCAAATAACATACAGCGTCGGGTGAATCGCGCAAAAGAAAGACGTGGAAAAAACGGTGCCGAGAGCTTCGTCGGATTACTAAAGCGTGCGCTGATCACCGGGTTAAACAACAGTATGTGTAACGCTGTTGCAACGAAGCTCGGGCAGCCGAGGCAACACCGCGGAAGGGAGACAAGGGGAAGAAAGAAAGAAAGAAAGAAAGAAAGAAATAGGAAGGCGAAGAAAGGGGGATATATAGCCGTCGCATGCAATTAGTGCAGCGGCATCGGATGACAGCGAAGAAAAAAATCGCGATAAGAAAGAACAGACGCAGATTTGTTGTCGAGGCTTATCACCTGTAGATAATAAGCATCGCGACACGCGCTACAAGCTGCCCGAGAAGCAGAGAGAGGGAGAACAGCACAAGTGTAATAGTACATTATGCACCAAGGGAGCGCAGTAGGCAATTTCAGTGCGTGGTTTGCCTACCGCACTCCCGCGGTACATATACAATTTTTCCGCACAGCCCTGTAAAGGGGCGATGCTACGCCCTCGACAAGCGACACGAAACCGCATTGACTGTTCAGAAGTATTGTGCGTCGTGTACGTGCGCCGCGCCATGCTTTTACGACGGGAAAGGCGCATCGCGCATGCGCGAAGCACTTTACTGTTTTATGCTCTCCCTGCCGGGAGAACGCGCAGTCGTTACTTTGCGCGCAATATGCGGAAAACGTAATTTTTTAAGTCAAGTTTGATGAATCAAGGCTATTGTCAGCCGAGCCCGCGTTGGAACGCGGAGGCGCGGGGAGTGTTCGAACTTGGAGGTGGCTTTGTTGCAGGAACTCGCGCACCCCGGGGGTGCGACAATTATTTTTAGCAAATGCAGTTTGCCAGACGCGCCCACGCGTTAATGGCATTTCAACGATGCGGATAAATTTTGCGCGGCTTAACTTGATTCATTCGCCCCCTCAAGTTTGCGATGCGCGCCTCACTGGAATTTTCGCAAATTGCGTTATATCCCGCGCAATCGAAAACGTTTACGCTCGCTTTACACGATCCAAGTTTCATTGCGGTTCAGCGGCATAACATAAATGTTCGGAAAGATAAACTCTCTGCATCTGAAGCTGCGATAGACCTGATAATGAAATCTCCATGACCAATATGTTTCTTCGTTAAATTAACGCGAGATTCGTTTCTGACGCAGGATTCGAAACAATTAAGCTAGAAAAATCAACGACGAAGGCGAGAAAAAAAGAAAACACGAGAATTCCCTTAGGGCGCCATATCCAGGGAAAAGAATCTTGCCTCGTGGGAGTTACAAGATTCTCGAGGCGAAATCGAAAGACCGACGCCAGCAAATTTACAGCAAAAACTTTGATAATAATATCCTAGGTAAGATTGAAGAGAAAAAAGACTTTCCTCGTCCTTTGACGTATAAAAGTCGAACTTGACGCATATACGTCAGCTAAATATCGGACGAGCAAACGTGCCAAAGGGTTGAAATGACAAATGTCATTTTCGTAATGAACGTTCGAAACAATTTCCAGAAACGAAAGAAAAAATTCATCATCGATCTGTTTATTTCGCCAGCTCCGAGGACCAGATTATTTGTGCCATATATTAAATGGGAGTGATGTATATTTAATGTTTTGCTTCAAGGCGAAGACAAATGAAACATTCTTTCCAAATCCCGCAGCATTAGGTACGCGTAACGCACGGATATAACATTGTTGGCAGTTTTGCAGGCGCAATAGGCAAGTTCACCCGCGCTATTGTAGACCCCTCCCCCCGGTAAAATTAAACTAGCGTAATTTACATTTTTATAGCTATATAGCATTTTATTCAATTTGAAAACTCGCTTCGTTTATAATCGTGGCTACAATGAACTTGCGTGAAAGTACATGTGCGTATACCTGCCAAAGTATCGAAGAGTTGCTGTTGTTTGTTCTGCGAAGGTATATCATTGTACGACAGTGGGTAAACGTACGTCAAAGCTATCCTAAACATTCTGGCGTTTGACGATTATGTCATTCGCGTTTTGCCTTCTGACAATTTCTTTCTTTCTCTTCCAAGCGTCCAAGCTTTCTTTTGAGCTTTCGCGCGTTTCTTCTTCTCAATGATTATTCACTGTAGGGAGACGCGCGAGACAGAGACATGCATATACTTGGCTTTCCCTTTCATTTATCTTTGTTTCGAGTTTTTGGCATAAATGCCATCTCTCGCTCTTTGAGAAAACTGCAGGCAAGATCGCTCGTTCACTTCAGTTTCCGCGCTAAAATTGACACTCGAAGCTGCGTCGCACGAAACGGCATTTCGAAGCTCGGCGATGTAAAATCATCGCGATCTGGAATTCACATTTACCCGAAAACTTGGCCGACTTGCAGTTGGAGGGAGGGAGGGAGAAAAAAAAGAAAGGAAGCGTCGTCGCCGGATCGTAAAAGGAAAAAAGCTCCGAACGACACTCGATAAAAGCCTCACGCGACCTACATGCAAACGACGGTGCGCACACGTTGGTGAGCGGTGCAGCACTGTCAGATAAAAGCACACCGGTAATGATCGATTTCAGTTGGCGCGCTGCTGCTCTATCGCAGCTGTATACCTGTATATAAATAAATATATATATATATATGAGCCTCGAGGAAGCCGCATTATACTTTCCTTGACCTCTTAAACGTAATCTCGCACCGAGTTCTTTCCCCTCCCTTTTAATAGGCATCGCGACTAGATGCGTATTTTAGATTTCGCCGGCTCACAAAGTAGACTTGTAAACACTTTGTTGTACGGTCAGGCCGAAGAAGCTCGGTAAAAGCTCGCTCCTCGCGGCGGGCATTTACAAATGGGCGGGGAGGCTTTGCATTTTGACGAGGCACGCGCTTTTCTCGCTGTGCACCCGCGCGAACCACTTCCTCGCTGCCCAAGCGTCAATTGGTATTCATCTTTCGGCCTGCGCGACCGATCATTGGGTGTCGGCAAGGGAAATAAGGACTGCGCGCCGCGACGATTTCTCGTCGGCGCAAATACAGCAGCGCCGAGCAAAATAATTATATATCCGCGACGCTCGCTGGCGTCTCAATCTCCGGGCTACCGGCGAAATCGCTCTCCCCGCACGCGAAAGCGCAATCTCGCAATCTCTCGGACGCGAGGGCGCGCAACGTATCGACCGGCAAGCTGGCTTCTCCTTATCGTCGAATTGTCGCGGGCGGGGCTATATCGATTGCCGGCACGAGCGAAGACCGAATCGACGCGCTCCTCCGTCGCGTTATCACCAGGTGTCGATTGGATAAACGGACCTCGACTTTGTGTTTTCGACAACGTGCGCACTCGCGCTTCCTTTCCCGCGAGAAGTGTCTGCGCAGCTTGAATAATCGCCGAATTGGCGGCCGAGAATTCATCGTCGCCGCGATCAGCCTGCGCGTGTCGCGAGAGCTGAAGGGTGGGGTCAACGAGCGCGCGAAAGAAAAATCAGGAAACGCTGCGAAAGCAAACGCTCGTCATTTCGCTATGCAATTTCTGGAATCGTGCCAACCCCCCTCCCACTTTCCCCCGTCTCCACGCGTCTTCTCGGTAATCCCTTTTAACTCGTCTTCGCACGAGCAAAGCGCCTGGCCGACGAGCAAACGGAAGATGCTGCCCTTTTTTTTCTCTGTCGCCACGAAAATGCGCGGCGGTAAAGCTCATCGAACGCAGGAGTTAGGCGATGCAACGCCTAGCAGTTCAATTGCGGTCAACCGCACGCGGCGTGACATTACAGTGCCTACGTACGACCCCGCCACTCTAAATTCCTTCTTCCTGTTTTATTTTTTGTTTTTTTTTTTCGATACGCCACCAAAACCCGTTAAAACAAGATGAAATCGAAAACTCATCCTCTGTACAAGGTCCTTCGCTGCGTACAGGTGCGCGATTCGCAATGAAACAGCTGCATTTGCATACCGCATCAATAGGCGCGGCCTTGTCGACAAAATCCAATATCAGCCGGCGAGTATTTGGCAAAAGGGGGGCTAGCAAAAGATTTGACGGCGCACAGCGTTCGCAGCGGTGAACAGTAAACACGAGAAACTACTGTGGAGCGAGGTGAAAACGACGCTCGCAGGTTGCCGCGTCGTGGCGGTGCTTGTGTTACACATCCGTTTGTCCCTATATATCCGCGTGCGCGTGTATACGTGTTCCGCTGTTGCTTCGCCCATCGTTTCGCCAACCTACTGCCTACTGACCTGCATTCGACGTGGAGGTTCGATACGACTCGCGTGTGCACGCGTCTTCCTCGGCCGCAAGCGCGTGCTCGCGAGCTTCTCCTCGTCTTAGCGCTCTCGTGCGCGAAAACTCCGAAGCTCCGCGAGCAAAACGTCGCGCGAAACCATTGATATGTCGCATCGATTCGGAAGGACGCGGAACTATTGCAATCGATATCGGCGCGATACGATGCTTCTTTTGTGCGCGCGTGGGCTTGCGAGTATCGATAGAGGACACCTGCTCCTCCCCGCGACACAAGGCTGCTGTAGAATTTTCAACGAACGTAGAGAAAAGAGAGGGAGGGAGAGAGAGAGAGAGAGAGAGGTGCGAAAGCACTCTCGAGATATAGTTATAATCCGAAGGATATTTAGTATGTTAGATAGTCGAACGAGAAACAAGCGCGCGAGTTGCCCGAATAAACGGTAACTTCCATTCAATATGCCACACGGGGTCGCGTGTTTTTCATCAATATCGCCATTTTCTTCTCTTCGTTCCGGTCAATCGGAGAAAATGGCAGGCAAAGTGTCGGCTCGCGCGACAACGAACGAGACTTGTCCTCGCTACAGAGTTCCGGTTCCGTCCGCCCGATGTGTTGTGAGGTCACTCGAAAAATCGACCGCTGACGCCTCTTGGAAGAAAAGAAAAGAAAAGAAAATGAAGACGCGTCGGCTGCTGCGGGAAGGTCGAAACGGAAGACACGTAGAAAATCGCAAGGCGACGCTGCCGCTGCTCGACGCGTACGTTAATTGCACGCGGGGCTTAGATGGGCGCCGAGTCATTACCGTTAACCTGTAAATTCGGCTTCAACAGGCTGACGCGCATTGTCTGGCACGTGTGTGCTTTGAATATTCATGTCTTATAGTCCCAAGAGGATGAGCTCTGGCAAACAATGCTGAATATTCCCAGTTATTTTATACTCCTACGTTTTCTTTTCGTTTTCGGATGGTCAAATTGAATTCTTGCTTAATTGAAAGAAGGCGTTGAAGAAGGTTGTGAGAGCTAATCAAATGCGTTTTTATACTAGCGTTGAATTGGACACAACGGAGTGAAAAAGTCCGTGTAAAAGAGAAAAATGTGAAATTGTTGCGGGGAAAGGGCGAGGAGAGAGCGAGAGAGGTCGACAGAGTCTGCGAAACGGATGCTTCGATTACAATGTTAATTGCCCCCGATAATCCGAAAGTGTCCGTCGAGCACTAGGCAAGTGGAAAAAATACGTAATCCAGCGGCGAGAGAGAGTTTTCAATTAAAGCGATTTACGTCAGGCGCGCGCGAGCCAAAGGGGCGCGGAAATCTGCCGACGCGCGGTCTTCATTCGACGACGTGTCGTCGAAAAATCGGGATCGAACTGGTCTTCGCAAGACAGCATCGAGTCCAATTAGTATCAATTGACTGCGCGTCAGCGCCACCGCTGACGACCTTCGTCGCGAAGGCGCGCGATTGAAAAACGCGACTCGCGTACATGGAAAAGTGGGTTTTCACGCGACGCGCCATCACCGTCGACCGACGCGAAAGGTACATCGGCCGATGGCAATTATTTGTCGGCCGAGACGTTGGCCCACGTGCATGCGCAAGCGCGCGAGTCGTTACGTAAGTAACCGCGCTAATAACACGGTGAACGTCGAGTCGCGCGAGATCATCCGCGAGACAACCTCGTAATTGTCAGCGCCCCCGAGTGCTCCGGACGTACGCGTCTTCCGGCTAATTTTCATCCCTTCGCGCGCGCACCTCCACGCCGTATATAATATTTCGATACGAGCGCGCGTAGTACGTCGGAATGATTCCGATAAGGTCTCGAGCTCTCTTATCGCATACACAGGCGCAGTCGCGCGGAGCGTTCGGCTTTGAAAAAGCTCGCTCGATGCCACACGCTCTCTCGTCGAGCCGAGCAAAGAATTTCGCCGCCGAGCCGCTGTAATGCGTGAAAGGCTCGACGAGTTCGACGTGTACATTCCCGACGTGCGAAGAGCACGAAGAGATTCGAGTGACCTGTCGCGAGATAACTAAATGGCAAAGAGAGAGAGAGAGAGAGAGAGCCGGCAATTGGTATGCAAAATCATTCGCGCGCGCGCGATTCGCTCGGCAATGCGGCGAGGGAAGAGTCACTCGCGACGGATGCAAATCCACGGCGCACGGCTGCCGTGGCACACGTCGGCGTCATCGCTTCATTTCTCTTGGACTGGCGCCGCCATGCGTCCTAGACGCAGCTTCGTGCATTGATTTTCCTGCTCTTTTTTTCTCCTCCCCCCCTCCCCCCCTCCCCACGATCGTCATCGAAGACGCGTCACTGAAATTCTTTTTCGACGCGGCTGCGTATATCGAGCGTCGCTTTGATCGCATGACTCGCAGCGCTTAATAAGAGCTACGAAACCGTTGATTGCTCTTGATGATGTACGATGTGCGCAAGCTTTCGAAGCTTTTTTCTAATTCTACGTCCAACAGTTCGCTATTTAAAGTTGATTTAAGGGATGACCCGCTCTTTCCCTAACTGATTTCTTTTCCAAACCCAAGTTTTCCCCCGCCAGCTCGGGGATAATTAGCGGTAATTATCCTACCCCCCGCAGTTCTAAAAATATATGCGTAATGTTATTCATGCTCGGTAGCTAATTCCGGATTATCCGCACCTTCAATGTTTGAGCTACTTAATGAGATGAAAATCTGCGGAGCAAAAGGGTAAATATGTACAACTCTGCGCGAGGAATCTGATGAATTTGATAGCAAATGATTAGCGAGGGGAAAGAGAGAAAAGCGAGAACATTTCCGAAAAAGAATTGTCAGCTGCGTCGAATGAGAAATAATTGATCGGTGTACGACGCACGGCAGTATGGCAAATTGAAAAAAATTGCAGGATACGCCGGCAGAGAATGAAAATTCGCCAAGCCTCTCGGGCGAGGAATACGGGACGCGAGAGGGATGAACCAGCGACAGGATTTGGCGCGCGGCGTAGAAACTGAATATCCGCGGCTGGGCGGAGAACGCGAGAACGCCTACGACTTTCGACGGCGAAACCGACACCGAACTGGGGACGCCGCGTGCTTGCCCGCGACTCGGTCGCAGCGCTCGCGGCGAGGCTCGAACACCTACCCCATGTGATGTCGTCGAGCCAGAACTCGGGCTCCTTGTTGTAGCCGTAGGGCCCGGGGCGAGCGGGCACGGCCATCATCATGGGCACGTCGGCGGCGGCCGACCTGTAGGACGAGCCGGCGGGTTCGGTGGGGAAGCTGCCGGGGATGCCGTGCAGCAGGCAGCCCGCGCCGCCGCCGCCGCCGCCGCCCGGGTGGTCCATCCGCGTGGAGCTGGTGGTGGTCGCGTAGAGCACGTCGGCCCCGGAGAACTCGTCGAACTCGGCGTCCGACAGGCCCGCGGCGACGACGAGCTCGTCCTCGTGGCAGCGCGCCGACGAGAGCCGCGAGCGCGCCGGCGGCGGGCCCGTGTGCACGAGGCTGCTCGGGTGGCGGCAGTGGTGGTAGACGAGCGGCTGCTCGTAGTCGCTCTCGAGGGGCGAGTCCGGCGGCTGGTAGCCGCGCGCCGCCGACGCGACGACCGGCGGCGGCGGCGGCGGCGGCGGCGGCGGCGCGGGCAGCTCGCGGCCCAGCCCGTAGAAGGAGCCCGCCGGCAGCTGCGGCGGCGGCTGCGGGTCCGCCTCGGCCGCGATCAGCTCGGGCTGCGGGCCCGGCTGCGCGCCCGGCAGGCCGCGCGCCGCCGCCTCGCCCGCGGGCACGCCCGCCGTGCTGGCCTGCTGCGGCTGCCTGCCGCCGGCCTGGCCGCTGCCCGCCGCGCCGGCCAGCAGCTGCTGCTTCAGCTCCTGCTGCTGCTGCAGGTCCTCGCTGAGCTGCTGCTGCTGCAGGTTGAGCGCGGGCGCGGGCTGGGCCGGGAAGTGGCGCTCCTTGTCGCGGCGGGGCGAGCGCCCGCGGTCGCTCACCGAGGTCGCGCTCCAGTAGCCCCAGGCCATCTCGGGAAGGCTGTCGCGGCGCGCGCGCTCGGATCAGCGCATCGGCTCGCGGCGGCGGGCTCGGCGGCCGCGGCCGATCGATCGAACGCGTCCTGGGCGGCGCCGGCTCGCAGCTACCCCCAGGATGTGGGGCCGCGCACGCACACTCGGGCACTGGCTGGTGGCGAAGGGGAGAGGCGCCGCGGCCTCGTGCAGCAGCTGCGCGCGGCTATCGACTGCCTGCGCCCGCCGCCCGGCTCGAGCGGCCAGCCAGCGCCGCGGTCGGCGCGCAGCCCTCGCGCGCACGCCGCCCCGGCGCCCGCGCCCTGCTCCGCTTCGCGCTGGCGCTGCAAAGCTCGCGACATCTTCCGCCGCCTCGCGCGGGCTGCTCCCGTCGTCCTGCTCGTCCTGGCCTGCGGCCTGCGCCCACGTGCTCGCCACCGATAACCGTGCGCTTCTTTCCTTTCGTTGCAGCCCATTGTTACAGCGGCTTTTTACGCGCGCGCGCCGGCGAACTTCTGCCGCGCGTGATCGCGTCGGATCGCTGGAAGCGACGGACACACGCCCAAGGTATATAGCGACAGGGCCGGTAGGTGGAAAATCGTTTGAGCAAGACAGGGAACGAGCGAGCGCACGCCGTGCATGAGCGCGTTGCTTATGCGAGCGAGCGCCTAAGTCGACTGCACTGCTGCACCTTTCGGCGACACGCCGCTGATTTTCAGAGCGATGCCGAGGGTAATACGGATCTTGGAAGGGATTATCGCTTTCGCATTGGAATTTCAGGGAGTTTTTGCCGCGTGCGCTGACAGATAATATGTTTGGCGATGCTCGCGGACGGGAAGAAATCGTAAGAGGATTACGAAGGTCGAGCGGCAAGTGTATCCGCGCCAACGCGAGAGGACGGATAGCGTCGCGTACGAATTCGAGCGTTAATAATTTCATCGTGCGTAATTAGGATGCGCGGCGAATATCGGTGCATCGGAAAATGAAGATTAACTTATCCAGAAAAAATGCAATCGTTCGTCTATTAGCAGCAATTAATCTCGAAACGTAATTTTTGATGCAACCTTCTACGCGATCACTCAATCGAAAAGTGCAGCTGAACCAATTGCTCGACGATATAACTCTACGGACTATCAATACACACGCAACTGCACCGACAATATCCTTTTTTTCGACGAACGAAAAAAAAAGCAGAAAAAAAAAATTCCCATCGGCCAACGAAGCTTATGTAACAGCTTGCCCAACGTTTGGGTATATTGTTTACTATCCATACACGTACAAACGACGGAGATACGAGAGGGAGAGAGAGAGAGAGAGAGCAGAATGCATCGCTGGAAATACATGACGTGGGCAATAACAAGGTCAAACGATTTAATTTTTCAGACTCGTTTTCGCCCGCTGGACACGCTGTTGGCTCAAGGAGATGCTCACTCCGCTGGCCTGCGATATTGAGTTATTTTCTTCCAGTTTTTTTTTTTTTTTTCACTCTTGGCTTTGGATGTTTTGTTTTTTTCGCCCAATAGATATTTGGCTGCGCGCCACGCTTTGCATTATTCATTGTTTCTGCTTCTGCTGGTGCATAGAAACTTATCCATCATTTTGTTGGATTGTTTGCCATCGTTAACCTTCGCTTGTTCGTTTCTTTCTTTTTTTTTTTTATCGGTACACTCATAGCCGATCCGCGGAGCGACAGACAATTATTTATTCGTGTTGTTCGCTAGCTTCATTCGTTTCATTGCAATCTTCGTACAGTCGATTAGATTGCTGTCGCACGTGAAGCTTTGTATATTGGCTGTGTGCATTTATGCGCTGAAAACATACGAGGATAGGGATAATTTTATTTACAGTTTTACATTAAACTCGGCTATAAAAATGACGTAGTTCCGCACGAGATATATAGTTTGCTTGGAAACACAGAGTGGGTATTTGCTAAAGTAACAAAGGCCACAAGCACGACAAGACGGTTACTGCTCGAGAAACGTATCGCGAGTTTCTCAAGCTCAGCCACGCAAGAAAAGTTGGGTTGGCAAGTATAGAGACTTGCGCATCAGTTGATCGACCGACACTCGGTGCCATAGAATTGAAATTCGAAAATGACACACGCGCTGACTCATTGATCCGGAGAATAACAGCGGCGACCGCAGCGCGGACGTGTAAATATTCAAGGCTCGCGCTAAACGAGGTGGCAAACGAGGAGTGTTATTGTTTCTCGACGACTGCTCTCGCTCTCGCGTCGCGCGCTGATTACTTGGCTCGCGCTAAAATGTCAAAGTGCCAAGTAGGCTAAATGAAATGCACTGACACGCACGCCCTATATCCCGCCCACCGCCGACACTGAGATACGTACGCAGCGACGATTAACGCTCGCCTCGCACGCGCGACCATCCGCTCGCTCGGTATGAGCAGGCTCGCGCCGACCGCGTCGCTGCCCGGATGCAGAAATCAAAGGAACACGCCCGACAAATCACTGTGGCGAGAGCTCTCGCGGCAGCCCATGGACGAAAACCTCGCCGGCGCGAGCAATCCCGCAAATGTCTGAGGGGAGGACAGAAGAGGCGAGGCGCCTCCGAGCGAGACAACTACGGGACTGACGGAAACGAGGACAGACAGAGAACTCGGTACGTGTCAAACGCGGGGCGGCGGGTCCAAGTCGCATTAGCGAGAGAGGCAAGCTCGAGTGTGCAGCAAAAAACCAGCAGCAGCAGCAGACCATTAGACTTGCGTCTCGGCACGGCGCGATTGTGTTATGGAGACTGCATTGTTCGCCCTGCTGCTGGGCAAGGTTCGTTGAGTGGATGCGCCAGCTGGGGAAAACGACGAGAGAAAGCCGCATCGGCAAGCTTTCAAGCTTTCTCATCGACGGAGTACGTCGCGGATTGTCTTTGTGTCTTCGCCTCAAACAGCCGACCAAATAAAAATAGGCTGCGCAACGGTCAATCGCTCGCACAAAGCCAATCATCTTCTCTTCCTTCGGCTTCGATATGCCGACCATTATCCCCAAATTCTAGGGCACTCGGACGTTCCGCCATTCTTTTAAGCGCTTATATCGACCCCCAATCGGATTTCACTTTAATTGAACGAGGTGCACCTCCCCTCTCCCCCCATATTTAACGGTGTAAAAAAAAAGAAAAATTTAATCGCTTGTTTCTCTCCGCATGCAAATTTTGATAATCGCGTTCTATTTTCGAAAAAAAAAATCAGCTTAACCTTCCACGAGGAACGAGCAAGAGCTTGTTCGGCTCTTTTTTTCTCTCTCTCTTTCCGAGTTTATAATTGGATTATTGATTGAGAAACGAGCCGCGCTCTGCTTTCTCCACCACTCCGAGATATTTTTACGCGCATGATGAACACTTTCGATATATCCAATAATATAATTGAAGGATTGGATGATCGTTAAAAATCGAAAATACACATGAAAATTATTCCGATTTTTCTTAACTACGATTGATCTTTATCTGCGGATAGAAGAAAAAAAGCATCAAGTATCGAAATCTAGAAAAGCATGATTAATTAAGTCAACAAGTTTGAGGAAACGAAGAAAACTTTTGCAACAGGCGGAATCAAGCTTGTCAAGAGATTAGATTAGATTAATTTTTATTTTAAAACTTGGGGTAAAACCCCGTGTGGTTACAATGGCAAAAATATCTCAATAATAAATTATAGCTTAACGACGCACAAACAATGAAACGATAAAAAAGAACAAAACCGTTAACAAAAATTTCAAACGAATATAATGCAGGTAGACAAGAATATAATAAGTAATACAATAAACAAATAATCAAACAAAAGCTATGACGGGGCGGGGACTAATGTACACAAGTACAGAAGTAACAATAAGTAAAATAAATAGATAAGTGAATAGACACAGGATAAGAAGAACGTAGGCGCATACGACATGTAGAAACGAGGGGACGAAAAAAGCTCGTAACGAAAAACAGCAGCTAAAAATCCTGAACATGCATTATAGCTTTGCTTTGACATTCATATGGTGAACCTTATCGTCGCTGCTGAGAAAGTAGTAACGATGACAGCATTGGGGATCACTCAGATACGCCGTGGCATGAGTAAAAGCAGTCACATCGAATGGGCGATGCACTGCACGAAGGAATTTCAATGTGCCGGCGTGAACAAGATACTCAAACACAAACCAGTATTTAAGTTGTACAGTCTCCAATCAAATAAATAGAGCAAGGATTTAAGCTCACCAAGACTGTCCATGGAAAACTGTTACGGATAGCTGATTTAAGAGTCAGCATCATGTACGGCGAATGAGTGCTTCCAGACCGGGATGCACGAAAGTGAAAACAATTCGAGGATTTCTTACGGACCTGCATATCACAATGTCCCTTGAGAGCAGAGATATGTTTAGCAAACAAGTAAGAGGAAATGCCAGTGCATATAACCTTGAAGGATATTAGCCAGCGCAAGATGCCTGTGGGAGCTTAAGGTTTGCCAACCCAGTTTCAGTTGATGAAAGAAAATATAAGTAACTAGATCATAGCTTGGACAGAAGGGAATGAAGCCGATCACGAATCTGGTACAGGCATCGTGCACAACTCGTAGCTCAGCGAGGCGAGTCCTATCAACATCCGTGAAGACATAGAAGCATAGTTGAAATGTGACAGAATCAGTATCTGGACGAGATATTTCTTTGATTTGGTAGAAAGAGCCTTTCTGTAGAACTTGAACGAGTGCAATGAGCGGTGGTCCTTTCAGATCGTATCACAGATAGTGTATTGCTTCCATTGCAGGGTAATCGACAAAGTCATGTTTAGGCTTCTGACAGTGATCTACCATTGAGCTACCATTGATCGTAATCTTTGGGATAAACTGAGGTTGATTGAGGAGATGCAGAGTTCGCTACCCCGAATGATAATTTTCGTCTTCACAAGATTGAATGTCAGCCAATTCGAATCAAATACGGCTTCAACATCCCGCTGCACCGTACTAATAATGTGCTCTCAAGAATCTCTCGAGGGAAACAATGGATATCGATTTAAGTTTCACCAGCACATATCATGTGTCTTAAGTAGCGGAGGACACCAGGGAGGACATTGATGCGTATGGTGAATAAGAGGGAGGCAAGGATGCTGCCTTAGGGAATAACTGATGAGGTTTTCAGCCAGTGAAAGATGGTACCTCCTTTCATCGATGACCGATCGTGTCCACTAGGTAGTTAAAGTTACCTGAATCTGGTATCAACGGTATTAAAGTCCCTCAGCTTGCGAATGAGTAATGTGTCCGAGAAGGTATCGAAGACCTTCGTGAAGTCAAAGAGGATCAGAATTGTGACCTGCCGCCTTTCGATGACCAGTCGCATGTCATCTAACGAACTGAGAAATGCCGTCTCTGTCGAATCCAACCCGTCTGTCGAGGGTCAAGCAGCCTGTTGGTTTCAAGGTGGCAGAGATGACGATCAGAGATGACGATCAGAGATGACGATAAATTCAAGAGCTTTGAAAGCTCGCAAAGCTGGGCGATTGGCGGTGTATCGAGGAGTGAACGAGGCGTACTGACATTAGACATGGAACGAAGTAGGGCTGTATTAAAAGTTAATCGATATATATGCGTTTGTTAATATGTGTATGTGCATGTGTGTGTAATTTTTTTATTGTTATTATTACTATTATTGTTACGATCTTAAATAAATATTATTAATTCATGAAGCAATTGATCCATTTCTTAAGAAAGAGAAAACTTTGAATAACCATTTCACAAAGAACTTCTGCTCGCGCGAATCGAGGTCGTCGTCGGCTATACGGCCTAGAAAAAGAGACGCCGATTAAACAATAACATTCGTTTGCCCTTTTTTCAAGATAACAGCTCATTAATTAAGGTCCAATTGTCGTCTTCTTTTTTTAATCTACATAGCGCCTATCTGTCGTGCACGTCTGACTAATCTCTGTAAAGGCTTGTTTCTTTTTTTTTGTCACCGTTCTCATGACAATGGGATTTGCGCGTAGAGTGCGCCTCCAAACTATTTTCTCTGTTAACTTTTGCAGCAGCAGACAACAACGACATCTTTGTCTAACTCTAACTCTCTCTCTCTCTCTTTCTCTCTGCTCTAGCTGTGTATAGTTTATCTTTATACCCTCGACGCGATGTTTCCTTTTTCTGCGAGATGAGCTTTCAAAAGTTGACGAAGAAAAATATCGTCGTAGTTCGAGCCTGATGAATCGATCGCTGATGGGTGAATGACTTGAATTACCAACATGTTTTATTAATATTGGAACCTCGAATATGTTTAAAAAAACTCTTTTCACGAAAGAGTTTTCAAGTTAGGAATATAAGACGCAACGACTTAAAAAGACAGAAAAAAAATGAAATTCACGGCTTCTCGGTCTTATCGACGGAAAAGCTTTAGTCGAATATAACGTATAATTCGCGGAGTCATACCGCAAAAATACAAGAAGAATATTTTATTTTCGGTGCGCACTTTCTTCTCTTCCCCCTCCTCCTTTCTGTTATATGTAATAGCGGCTCGTTTTTTGCGACTGTCGGAGCTTCAAAGCGACTAGAAAGGAGCTTTTCATACCGTAAAATTTTGATTTTTCCATCTCGCAAACGTATAAAAAGGGTACTTGAATTGGCAAACCCAACAGAGGAAAAAACTTAACAATACACCGTCTCTCTCGGATATCGTATTCTTCCGCGACCGTGGAGCATCGTTTTCATTTAAAGTAAATGAAGACTTCTATAAAAC